ACATGGGCCATGAATCAGGCCACCAGAGTCTCGAAACGCAGGCAGGGAAGCGGGCTCAACGGCGATGCAAAGCTCTAGTTGTGGTGCATGCATATGTACGGATAGAAAGAGACGAGACGAATCTTCTAGCCATGGTTTGATCGCGCTAACTTATTGTAACCAATCTGTGGTTGCGAGGGCAATATTAATGGTGATGGTAAAGAGCGGGCTTGTTAATATTAAGTAAACGGATACGAAGTCTGTCAAGCAGCATTGTGCCACAACTTCCAGCTCATGCCATGTCAATCAATAGTACTTATCTGAGCGCCTGGGGCTTGCAGCCGCTGGAGGTGGTAACCGAAGCGCATTCGAAGCATGTAGGCACTGGGCAGGGCAGGACGGTATGTCCGAGACTAGCAAGACCATGCTAGTGCAATAAAAGAGGAGGCCTGAAGGACGGGGGCTTGCATGATTGTCGTGAAAGCGGACGCCGCACATATCGACTGTCCAGAGTCCTTATTGGGAGGTGGGTTATTAACTATCTCTGTCGTTGTGTGCTGGCACATGAATATAAGAAACGTCCAGGACACGGCCGTTGCAAGACGTGTAGTTCTGTACGATATCTTCTTACCTCGTGGTAAGTCTTGGCACGAACCGGTTTCGCGTGTAGATTAGCGCGTATGAAGCATGGAAAAAAGACGGAAAGGGGGAACTCGGATTGGAAAAAAAAAGTTGGGATCAGTCCGAGCGAGATGAGAGTTTGCCGCGACAGGTTTAGGCTGTCATTGTAGGACCAAATCAAGAGCCAAGTCCCAGCACATCAGGCCAGCTCCCCACACTTCCCCACGTGAAGCCCTGAGACAATAGACGGCGATGCCAGCGAGGGTTCGAGGAGTTCGTAGCTGAGTGGCGGCAGGGGGGAATGCCAGACAATGAGGCCGGGATGAACAATTACATCCATGGCAAGATTTGTGCCTTGATTGGACGGCGGCGCCAGGGGAGGCGAGAGAAAACCGGGTGCGCGGACGATTCGGCATTGTTGCTGGCGGACATCGAACTGGCAGTTGATGGCTGCGGGCTCATCGCACGGACAACAACTGACAAGCATAATAAATGTGGCGTCTCGATATTTTTGTCTCTTGTTCGTCCAGTCATGAATGTGCCGATATCAGCATGTCTTTCGGATACGCAGTAGCGGTGGTACTCTGGTATTACTGTGCGACATGGGACATGCGACACATCATTGATCGATGGGATCGTGGGCGGACAAGTTGGTGGTGAATCTTGGCATTGAAGACTCCGAGTCGGGCTCACTGGCCTATGCTAGTTGGTGACCTACTCGCCCATGTTGATAGGTAGGTACATGACTGAAGGCGTGCATCTCAACCCAGCCGTCGGGCAGGTTTGCTGCATAGCCGGAGAAGCAACCGAGCACAGTAACAGTGGCGCGGGCGAGGCCAGTGCACTCGGCACTGTATTAGTACCAATACGGGTGGATGACGAGGCTGCGAATTCTCCTTGCTGGTTGCTACTCGTGGGCCGGCGCCGGTTAGAGTTTTTGTTCGGGAGGGGGCTTCCGAATGAGTTTGGCGTCGTTATTAGTTGTTCTACTGCTGTCTTTCCGCGGCGGCTGATACAAGGTTCTGGTCATTGAGCACAGACAGCCACAGTCGGTGGGAGTTGTCAAGTCGGCAGATCATCTTGGTCAATACGGCGGTGTTGGCCAGAAGCAGGATCCGTTCCCGAGTAGACTGGGAAAAGAAATAGTAGCCGAGAAGACTATTTTGTTTCTATTTCGTCTATTTCGTCTATTTCGTCTATTTCGTCTATTTCGAGGAAGAATTGGTTGGCTGTAGGCACAAGGCGTTAGGGCGAGCCTGACCGTTCGATGGCGTCGAGTGTCGTCTGGTGTTTTTGCGGCTCGATGCATAATGTGCGGCAATGGCTGTCAAGAAGTAAAACGATGGATGAATGGCCAACCGATCGGGACTCGTCTTTGTGGTTGTCGTGGCTTGGCTTAGCTAGTATTACCAGACGGTGGATGTGATGGAGACGCTTGCGCACAGTTTCAACGTTAAACAGTGGAATGGGGTTGGAGGCAGACGTAGAAGCGAGGCGGAGAGGTACTTTGGTACCTGCCTTACATCAGCCGTCGTGGCACAACCAACGTCCACCAGAACCGATTGAGGTGAAGAAAAGTATACAGTGTTTATTGTATGAAATTTTTTCATTGAATGCAATTTTAATACTGGCAACAATATAATTCATACAAGATGCTAGGTACTGCACGAGTAAATGGAGATGCGCAGAGGTGCAGCTGCATTGCATTGCCGGAAGCCTACCTACCTACCTAGGTACCTAGGTGAGCGGAGGCAAGAACCACGCGACGGGTACCTGGTAGTGCTGATCGTGCTGATGATATCATAACTGCCCTGATTGCCTGAATAGCAAAATTGACTTGGGGGTGGTACTTTCGAATTGCGTTGTAATGTCGACATTAATTTGTTTGTTTCATGGGAAAAGAGATTGACTTGTGAATACATAGTACATTTGTCAGAGATGGTTTTAAGGCTAACAAGAGACTTTCATTATGCCCAATAAATACCTCTGTTACGGCGCCTAGTTCACCTGTAAGCGCATTTAGCATGTTGTGCGTTGTGCATGCACTGTGTACCTATGCTGTGCATACCAAGAATGCATGCATTTACCTACCAACATAGCCGCATGACTTGCAGCGTTTTCCCCAATTTTGCCGAGTACTCTGTAGCCGAAGCGAGTTGCGGCTGCAAGGCAGACAGGTGAATACTGGTAACTACCAGTAACTATCCGTATTAGGCAAGATACCTAGGAATTTGTAGAATAGCTACTAATAAGTCGAACTGAGCAGGTTGGCAAGCCGAGCTCGCCAGTCCGGGCCCTGGTCCGCGGCATCCCCACCAACTCCACTGCACTCGTGGTGGGTGGAAGACGCAAGAGGGCCAGGGGCCAAGGGGCTTCGAGGCGTCAGGTTGCTCGTCAGCTGCAGCCAAGTCGGCAAGACAGATTTCCATCTTTCTGTTTTCCGTGATGCTAATAACGACAGCCTTGAAGGATTCTGTCCGACACAAATTGTCACACAACCACAGCCTGGTAACCGTTGGTAATACGGTGGCTCTGCTTACCAAGGAAGAGGTAACGTTAGGTCAGGTAATATGTGCAATTTGTAACTACCTACCTACCTACCTGTAGGGACGGACAGCCAGCCATTCGGCCCCCTCCATGAAGCCCCTCCAGTCCAGTGGCCACCAAAACAGTGGCTCCCAGCCTCAAAGGCGAACAGGCTCGGCAGGAGACAGGCTGTTCATGGGCAGCCACTGGCCCTTGCAGCAAACTCGGCGGTACTTGGTGGCTGGCTGTGGCTGCATGGAGACTGCATGTACTCCGTAGTAATAATACACCAGAAGCTCTTGCTTCTTCTTTATCTTCTTTTGTTTTGCTATTTTGCGATTTTGCTATTTTGGTATCCATACTCCCCAGTCTGTATTACAGAGAGTACGGAGTACTTCTTTGTGTAATGTCTACTTTCTTCATCAGCACACATCAACACGCCACAGTCGCACAGGCATGAATGCAGATGCGCTGCAATGCATGTCATCTGCTCTCCATGACTCTACCGGTATGTATGTACTATTTCTCTCAACCACTCTCGCTACCACCCACCCTTGCCAGTCCAGTGACTACTAGGTAGTTGACTATCAGTATCAGGAAATACCGATAGCTACCGATTCCAGAAGGGATCCATCCTTTGATCAAGGCCGACCTTGTTCTCACTAGCGCAAAGGGTCGCCAGGGGTGGCTTGTCGATTGTCCCATCCCGACACGCCCGTCCATGATCCCCCATCAACCCACTCACCATGGATTCGTTTTCGACTTTGGCAACTGGCCATGATCCTTGCCCCAGCTGCCCCTGTTCGCTTTATTAGCCTATTGGGAACTAAACCGCCTCGCAGCAAGCCATCCCAAGCATCTACCTGCCGCAAGCCGCGGCGGACGAAACAACAGCCTGCCTACGAATTACATAGCAGCTCCGTAGTAGGCTGCAGGTACCTGTATTGTAGGTACCTACCTGGCAGGCCACTTGGCCCATGGACCGGGCCTCCGCCACCATCATCCACCATCCACCCACCATCCACCCATCATCCATCACTGACCAGGGAACAACAAGACTCAACCAGGGCCACCACCATCCACATCCCGTCCATGCGCCGCTGAACCCCTTTTGCCTCTTTTCTCTTGGCCTTTTTGGCCCTGCAGATTCCCCGTCCCGCCATCCATCCAAACTAACTACCTTTCGTACACACGGCTTGTTCCTTTTTTGTTCTTCTCTTGTTCTCCTTGTCCTTTCTCGTCACTACTTTTCCCTGGCCGTCGCTCTTCTCTCCTCCAATTCGCCCGGCAAACGAACGACATACTTTCAAACGAGACAAAAGGCAGAGGAAAACCAAACGAAGAACAATCCCGTCTTGTTCAGTTCCGCAATCTCTCTGGTCCAGCCCAGAAATCTCTTCGTTTCCTGCTTTGTCGGCAAATTCCTCTCTGCCGACGTTGTGTACAAAGCGCCGCTCACACCACGAATCGCCTCACCTCCCTACCCGTCCATCCACCAATTGCTTCTTCTTCTTCTTCCACCACCACCACCACCACACCTTTTTTCTCTTCTTACGCTTCCGCTCGACTCCTCCGTCAGCCAAGCCAACCCTCTTTTCCCATTCGGCCTGACACTGTAATCATCATGCGCAACACATCCCCGCCTGCTCCCAACTAGCATTGTTCACCAGCCCCAACGTGAAACGCCGTCCAGACGTCCAGACACCGGCCACCCCCACAATTCTCTCGACCACTATTCCTTCGCCCGCCCAAATTCGTCCGTCTTGCTATCCCGACTCCCATTGCTTCGGCTTTTCCTGCCGTTTTGCTCACCTGCCCAATCTACTTCTTTTCTCCCTTGGCTTACTTGTGCCGCACTTGCGCCTCTTTTCTCCATGTTCAATCGACTCCTCTCCAGGGCCTCGCACCATACTGCCAGCGCTCAATACACCCCTGATAGTTTCAAAGGCAACAAACACGCTCCTGGCCGTGCCGCTCCCATCGATCCCTGGGCTGCTGGTCCCGCTCAACAGCAGTCAGACTATACCAGCTCTTCTTTGGCTGCCGATGGTGAGTTTTCCCTCAACTACTTGCCTCTTCTCTTCCTTCCTACTTGGATCCTCATATGTCCTCTCCTTCTCCGGCTTCCCGACTCCTTGCCTTCTTCTCTACTCAGCCCTGTCGCATCTGTCGCGCTGCCCAATTCGCTAACTGCTTTCTCCTTCCCAGCTGGGCCACTGCAATCACATCCTACCGGCACCTATTCGCGTGGGAGAGGCACTTCTGTCGGCTCCAATACTTCGGCTCGCAGAGTCGGAGCCCTCGAGAACAACGTCATGGCTAGCACCACCGAGCGAAGCCGCCTGCGTCGAGAACGAACATTTGTCGGCAGCGAATGCGCCGTCTGCGAAGAGCCTCTCGAACACACCTTGCAAGGCGAGCGCATCCTCCAGTTCTCGTGCTCCCACGTCTCCCACGAGGCCTGCTTCTACGAATTCATTCGTGAGATTGAGTCGCAATACTGCCCAACATGCGATGCTCCCTTGCATCTCGATACTAGCCGTGGCGGCAATGTCATTGACATCAGTTCGTCTTCCACGCGCGCAACCGAGTTGGTGCAAGTCGCTAACTCAACTCCAGACAAAATTAGCAACATGGTTCGCTCGGCAGGAAGCGACAGTCGCTCTACAAACACGCCCACTCCCACCTGGGATAGCCAGACCATGAGACCGCCAAGTGTTGACAGCTCGCAGCGCCGTCTGCCTCAGCAACAGCAGCAACCACTCCCGCAACAACCTCAGCTGCAGCCCCAGTCTCAGCTGCAGCCGCCCCTACAGCAGCCCCCCGCCCCGAACGGTGCCAGAGAGAGCGGTACCCGTGGTAGCCTGCGCGACAGTCGTGAGAATCTCTCAGATCGCTATGGTCCCTCTAGACACACTCGCAGCGACAGCGATGTTACTGGCATTACGGGCGTCACTTCATCTGCTGGCTACCCGGAAACCACCCAAAGCGGCCCTCAATGGCGCCACGACTACGATGTCCAGGCTATGGAAACCTCACCCGGAAGTCCTCAGCGTGCCATCACCCGCAACCCCATCCCTGCTCCTCTGGTCACCGTTCGCTCCGAGTTCCCAACAATCAGCAGGTCGCGCCAGCAGCAAACTCTTACCTGTCTCATCACCATTGAAGTCCCAGACAACAAATGGAAACCGGACCCAGAAGATCTCAGCTCAAACAGCGTCGCTCGCCAGCCTTCTCTTGGTCGCATCGACGATATTGCAGCGTTCGCTGCCTCGCCTCCTCAACCCGCACCTTCACCCGCACCCAAATTCTACCCATATGAGTCACCAGTGGCGCTCGAGGAGGCTAGACAGAGCCTCAATCGTCGAGTAGAGAGTTGGCACGGTTTGGACTTCGAGAGATTTGGTCAGCTTCGACTTTACGGGACACTTCATGTCGGCAAAGACAAAAAGTCGTGGCAAGAGCTTGAGTGCTTCCTTTTTGGCGAGATGCTCATCTGTGTCAAGGAAAAGAAGATTACTGGGGGCCCTCCCCAGCCTCAGTGGGATGAGAATGGTAATCCCCGCAAGACGAGTCGCGTTGCGCTCAAGGGCTCCATCTTAATCAAGAAGCACCTCCAGGAAGTTTCCGAGACTGGCAATATTGACGAAAACATCCTCACCCTCAGTTTGTCGGTCAACGAGTTGCCGCAGTTCCATCTTCGCTTCTCAAACCGCAATCAACTCAAGCTGTGGAACCAGGCTTTACTAGATCTCAACGCCGTTGAGCCCTCCTCTATCCGAAGCCCGGAGTTTGAGCGCGCCGACATGTCAGAGACGGACGAGGAGACGGAATGGCAGCGCTCTAGACCCCAGCGAGTCTCGTCTACAACCTCATCTTGGGGCCCCAAGTCTGTTACCACCGCACCTACCGAGTACACCAACAACTTCACGTCCAAAGTCAGCCGCATGTCAGCATCCATTCACGTTCCCGTTGATATCGTTGTGGTTGTTCCCATTTCCTCCTCCATGCAGGGCGTCAAGATCAACTTGGTCCGCGACGCTCTCAAATTCATGGTTAATACTCTGGGCGAGCGTGACCGCATGGGTCTCGTCACTTTTGGCTCCGGCGGCGGCGGTGTACCCATTGTAGGCATGACGACAAAAGCTTGGCCAGGTTGGGGCAGTATTTTAGGATCCATCAAACCTGTTGGACAGAAGAGCCATCGCGCCGATGTGGTCGAGGGTGCCAACGTCGCTATGGACCTGCTGATGCAGCGCAAGCACAGCAACCCTCTCGCCACCATTATGCTCATCAGTGATGCTTCGACCTCGGACGCCGACTCGGTCGACTTTGTCATCTCGAGAGCCGAGGCTGCCAAGATAACCATTCACACTTTCGGTCTCGGCATGACTCACAAACCCGATACCATGATCGAGCTCTCCACCAGAACAAAGGCCTCCTACACCTACGTCAAGGACTGGATGATGCTCCGTGAATGTCTGGCTGGTTGCCTGGGCTCTATGCAGGCCTTATCGCACCAGAATGTCAAGCTCAAGCTTAAGCTGCCCGAAGGCTCACCAGCCAAGTTCCACAAGATCAATGGCGCGCTGCAAACTACCAAGCGCGCCACTGGCCGCGATGCGGAGGCCGCTCTTGGTGATCTGCGGTTCGGTGATAAGCGGGATATTCTTGTCCAGCTCGTCATTGTTTCCGACAGCTCATCACAGGAGCAGCTACCTCAGGATGCCTGGGACAATATTGTCTCTGGACTGGAGGCGCTGGGCGGCTCTATGGACAATGACGGTGAACGTACATTGTCTGTGGAAGAAGTGCCTCTAATCCAGGCCGACCTGAGTTGGGGTGACATTCTTCGTGACGGCAGCGTCACTCAGATGCCACGCCCATCGCTCCTCGCCATTACAATGCTGCCCTCCTCGGGCCAGAAGAAAGCGTGGGGCAATACACCGCCCATTCCACCTCATCCAAGCATCGTCCAACGCCGGATGGAGCTCCTTACTTCCGACATGCTCTCTCGCGCGTTGACGCTTGTCAGCCGCGGACAGCACGACAGGGCCTTTACACTGCTCAACGAGACGCGATCTATCCTCAAGGGTCTCGGCAAAGGCGGACTTCCACCTGTTCCGGTCCCCAAGTCGACACCTTCAACGCCTCACCCCGGCACTGAAGCTTCTGTCATCCCTTCTGCATCTCCCGACCGCAAGCGCAGTCCATCGCCGCCAACCTCCGCGACCTCATCGACAGGGAACAGCAACGGACCTGCATCCGCACAGATTCTCCGCTCGCGATCTGGAGAGGGTCTCGCTCTGGGCACCGGCATTGATGTCAACACAGTTTCAGCGCTCGATGCTGAGCTGGAGAGCAGTCTAGAGTGGATCAACCACCCAGCCGTCTTTGGTCGCGACAGTCGCAAGGCTGTGCTGCAGGCCATTGGTGTCATTTCCTCGCAACGCGCTTTCACCTTCCGCAGTCCCATTGAGAGTCTCTGGGCCAACCGCGTCACTGGTATCAAGCGACTGGCTGACAAGAGCCGCGAGTGGCGCGAAGAAGGCGGTGGTGAGGGTGGCATCATGGAAGAGGCCTAAGTCACATGTTCTCAAATCGCATTATCTTCGCATAGAGCGCTGATATATCTTGCTTCGCATTCATTACGCCCACTCAACAAAACCCACCAACCCCATTACGACACAGTCATGACTACCCAAGACATTTGTTCGTTCTAGCCCAAAGATGTGGCACCCAAGAATCCCTATTGTATCCCAGCTGGATGGATTTTACCAGCTCAGTCACTAGACTATGTTTTTTCCTCCTTTTTTTCTTTTTGAATTCGCTTGTCTATGCGCCCTTATACCCGCCTGGGCTGTATCATGCGATATGTTGGCCTTGTTACTGTCCATTGTTGCGGTTTTCTCCTGTTCATTTTGGAATTTTGTTTTTGGATCTTGATTCTGTCAATGACTTGACCAGTTGTTTATATTATTTGTTTCTTATTTACCTGGGTTTCTTGGAGGATTCTTAACTGTTGGTTCTTTCCCACTCCCATTTTCTTTCCTGTTTTTCCTGTTTTTCTGTCCTTCTTGTTCCGTTCTCGGATGTGGAGGAGGGCGAATAAATGAATCAGCAGGTTACAGCACGCCCTTTACCTTATTGTATGATTACAAGACTCTGCGTCTGATGCGTTTCTCATAATGCCACGTGCGTTTTTGCCTGCTTCTCTGCTCGTTTTGCAAGTTCCTCCAGTGATCTCGCGTAGCGGGGCTAACCAATCGCCAGCCTTTCTTCTTTCTCTCGTGTTTCCTTTTTGTTGATAGAACAAGAAATCGTTACAGAACCGTTCAGGTGCACAACGTGTCGTAATTTCAATCTAAAGCAAGGGCACAATTCACATGATAGAACGATAGATCAGAATAAATAGTCGGACTTCTTTGGTCCCTTTCTATTTTCAGTACGCCGCTCTCCAGACCCGAGCCTTTTCTAGGGGCTTTTCTTTTCTTCCTCGACAGCCCTCCCAGCCAGCCTGTTTCTTTGCCCGCGCCAGGTTGTTTATAGGTATCGCCTTCTCACGTCTGTGTACATGTTGTGAAATTATACTCGTCTCCTTGTCCACCAAGTTTTAGACATCCGCCACCTTTCAATCTTTACTTTCATCGCGGGTGCGTTACACTTAGTCATCGTCCCAGTTCTGACATGGCGGTTAGCGAATGTGATTGCAACGACAGGAGCTTACAGAGGGCAACTCACAGGGTTGGGGCCCGGGGGCTTAGGGCCACCTGCTTGGCGAGCGACGATGATCTGGTCAACAGAGAGAACTGTGCGGGCCGCCTCGGTGGCAAGCTTGATGGCCCAGTACTTGGAGGCCAGCAGGTCGAGGATGCCTTCTTCTTGCGAGTCGAGAAGGCCGGTTCCGTCAGAGTTCTCTATATCCACGCCAGTATCACCATCCTCTTCCTTGTGGTGGGCGGCGTATAGTCTGGATAGCACCTCGGTGGCGTCGAGGCCGCAGCTCTCGGCGAGTGTGCGGGGGATGACCTCGAAAGCCTCGCCATACTTCTTGATGGCGTACTGACTGAGTCCGGAGGTCTTGTCACCGTGCGCCTGAATCTTGGTGCTTAGCTGAATCTCGGTGGCACCCGCGCCAGGGACCAGGCGGGGGTCCTTGGTGATAGCCTTGACCACGTTGACGCCATCATCGACGGCGCGCTCAAGGTCGTCGAGGTGGTTCTGCGTGGCACCGCGGAGGACCAGCGTCGCTGTTCGGGTAACCTCGTCCTCCTGGCGGAAGACGGTAACACGGTCACCACCAATCTCCATGGTCTCGACAACATCAATGTTGCCCATTTCGTCGGGCATGGGGGCGCCGAGGCGAGCCAGGGGTGTGGCGCCGACGACGCGGCATATTCTACGGAGATCAAACTTGGAAAGAATCTTGATGGCGAGAAGGCCGAATCTGTTCAGGTAGTGGAGAGCAAGATCTCCAATGCTGTCGCCGCAGACGACGACACGGACACCGGCATCGTAGAGCTCCTTGATGGCAGTCTCAAGCTGGTTCTCCTCGCCTTTGGTGAAGTCCATCATCTCCTTGGCGTTATGCAGTAGCACTGTGCCCTTGGTCTCCGTCTTGCTGGTATCAATGGGGCAAGTGAAGACGGCGACCTTGGAGCGCCGGGCCTTCTTCACGGACCCGTGAGGCTCCTTGGGGAAGACCATGCCGCGCACCACACGGCTCTGCTCCAGATTGCCGCCCATGATCTTGACGACGCGAATGTTGTCGACATTGAAGTTGGCGGGGTTCTTTGGGAGGACAGCGAGGACAGCCTCGGCGACCAGGTCAGCTAGGGTATCCTCATTGCCGTTTTGCTTGCTGGCAATGACGGTGCGCAGAGCCTTGGTGAGCTCCTCCTGGTCGCGGATGTTCTCGACCTTGTCGACGGCCAGCTTCTCAAGGGTATCGAGGGCAAACTTTTGGGCCCTCTCGTAGCCCAGAACAATGTCGGCGGTCTTGAGGCCCATGCGTAGCAGATCCTCTGCCTTGCGGAGCAGCTCACCCGCGAGGATGATGACAAAATTTGTGGCGTCGCCCATCTCAGCCTCCTGCTGCTGGGAAGCCATGACGAGGAGCTTGGCGGCGGGGTGGACAACGTCGAGCTCGCGGAGGATCGTGGCAGCATCGGAGGTGAGGATCATCTTTTGCAGATGGTTAATGACGACCTTGTTGCGGCCATACGGACCCAGCGAGGTCTGGACGGTCTGGGCGATGGCACGGCACGCGTCGATGTTGCGTAGAACAGCGCCATCTTCCGAGTCGTAGCTAAAGCAGAGGGGCGGTAGAGTTAGCAGTTGTGCGCGCTGGAGGAGACTTGTTGTGTCTAGATGGCGGGGCATAGGGGTCGCGGGGAGAAGAGCTGGGAGAGGCGGTGCGCGTACTTGTTGTAGCCCTGCTTGAAAAGACCCGAGTTTGGGGCCTGGGGAATATTTAGGGACATGGTGATGGGATCGACCGGCGTCGAGGGGTGAAGCAGTGACGGGGTGCTGTCGTTGCTTCGGTGGTGGTGATGCCGCTTCCAAGAGCTTCCACCCAGAGGCTCTGTCGAAAATATTGGGAGTGGGTTCAGTTTGGAGGGGAGGAGGCGCGCCGTTGGTGGGCGGATTGCCCGGTGGTACTGATACATGGTGGCACATATTATTTTAGCTGTCGGATGAGGTATGACTACTTGGGGAGCTCGCCGCCTTTTCCAGAGCTCGCTCTCTTGGTAAGGCTCAAGGACCAGATGCAATTGAAGACTGAAAGTGTTCAATTTCTACGTGTACGTGTTTCCCTAAAGTACGGCTGTCTCTGGTAGCGCTAATTGCTACTTTTTTCCAGCATTTACTAAGCTCTGTGTGAGTTGGTCTACACGTGAACACTGAGTTGCTGCCTACAAGTGGATGTCATGCCCTTAGTACCTAGGGTAGGTAGGCGAAGTTACCCTGTACGTATTCGAAGGGGCGTTTAACGGTGTAATATCTCGAGGGGGCACGTAAACAAGAAGATGTCGCGTTCTCGTGGGGGGAACTGCTCTTGGGGGTGATGCTTTTTCCGCATCCTCTTGTTACATGAGGTTCTAAGCCTAACTATGTTGAGATCCAAGGATATACCAGGCATGTAAGTGCGGCTGCGTACCTACCTAAATAGTCACACCCGACAGTTCTTGCAGTCTCAATCCGTTTTTGGCGCTGGGCCTGAGCTGTCGCCGCTTTAACCTGAGCAGAGTTGGCTCTCTACACGAATTCTCACCTGCATCCTTCTCCTCCAACACTCGATGTCTCCACGACGCGCTCTGCGTGTTAGTACGCGACAACCCAGACGCGGCCTAAGAATATCTACCGGTACGAAACTAATAAAGTCACGTCAGTGCCCTATATCTTCCTTGCCTGCTGAGATTATTACGATTTTGGTGTCGCTTCCGGATCTGCACAGCCTTGAATCGGCCCTGCAGATGCCCTCAGACAAAGCCGTAGTAGCATGTCTCCATCGCGAACCCTTGTGAGGACAGTCTCGGCATCCGCACCACTCTGTATATGGCGCAATATCTCCTCGCCTTCCATGGGAGGTTTCATTTGGAGGATATCGAAGAGCTGTTGACAAACTGATGCGGAAGATTGTGGCTCCGGGTATTTACGCTTGATAGCTTGGCTGTGCGACTCAGACGGCGCACCAGCCTGGTACATTACAGGCCAGTACAGACAAAATAGGCTAATAGTACAATACTATGAGCCAGCACACTGGACAGGCTAGAACATCATGGACCAGCACATAGATTGGGCTAGTAACCGAATGAGCCAGCACATACTGCGATTGCCTACGCTCGATTCCACAATACAAAGTTTCAGGAGGTGACGATGGCAACCGCCGGACCTGAAACTGGCCTTCCCCATGGTAGTAAGGGCGCAATGTATTCAACGACAGAGGGATCGCTCTCATCATTATATCAAAAAAGCTGTGTGATAGCCCAAATTTGAGGCGGTGGGAACCTGATAAGAGATCCGATGTCGGGTGCTTCAGCTACCATTTAGCGTGCATTGGGTGCACTCGACCACCCACCAGGTACTAAGGCGGGGTAGAGGGGGGAATTGAGTCACTCTACTGGCAAGAAAAGCAAGAAAATTTGAAGCTCTTATCTTCCAACTCTTCCTACTGCCACTGCCACATTCTCCTGCTGCCATTGTCTCTCTAACGTTACGCTTCGAATCACGCCGCACAAGATGTCTGACGACAAACGAGTCTGCCTGTAAGAGATACAATGTTTGATTTTATGATGCAACTTGAGCTGACCTGAGCTGACCTGTTCCAGTGCCTACTCTGGAGGTGCGTGCTACCCTCGCTGCTGACCTCCACCCACCACACTCTCCGACCTCTTCTCTTCTCTCCTACCTCTTCGCTCCGACCTCTGCTCCCCGACCTCGACTCTTTTGACGAATTCTAATACAGCACAGGCCTGGACACATCCGTCATACTCCGGTATCTTATCAATGAGGTCGGTCTCTCTGTTTTATCACCCTGTACTGCGCCATTCTTGCCATTATCACAACTCGACCAGAGCGATGGTGCCAGACGAAGGATACAGGAAAACTCTGGAAATCATGTCGCTAATGTATTCTGTTTATAGGGCTACACCGTGGTTGCTTATCTCGGCAACGTCGGCCAGGACGAGGACTGGGCCGCCGTCGAGAAGAAGGCTCTGGCTCTCGGTGCCGAGCGCATGGTGATCGATGACCTTCAGAAGGAGTTCCTTGAGGAACTTGTTTTCCGTGGCATCCAATGCAATGCCATTTACGAGGACAGATATCTTCTCGGAACCAGTCTTGCCCGGCCAGTATTGGCACGCGCCCTCGTCCGCACCGCCCAGAAGTACAACTGCAAGATTCTCAGCCACGGATGCACTGGCAAGGGGGTGAGTCGAATCTACCTCCCAAATCTTTATTGGATCTCTACTAACTGCGAGTAGAATGAGTATGTTCTTGTTAAAACCATGGCCCTAAGTAGATGGCCACCCCATTTATATATTTGGTCCCTTGATGGTATGGCTATGCTAGGCCAGGAGCAGAGCTGCTGGTCGGGAGCAGTACTGGCAAAGGCAGCATTTGGTCAAGGTCATCACAGCTAGCCGCGAGGACCGCAGTCACAAAGGCCAGAGCTGCTGGTCAAGGTCATCATAGCTAGCTGTGAAGACCAGGACTGTAGCTGGCAAAGGTCAGCCTGACCTCTACCAGCAGCCTTGGCAACCTTTCATCGGCAGCTGCGATCCCGACCTTCGCAGCCAGCAATGGTAATGAGTTTCAACCTTTACCATTGCTGCGGTCGGCCCTGACCTCCGCTGCTAACAATGATGACCTTCCGGGATCGGCTTCACTCCCGTCTCTGAAGGCTTCCGGGACCCACACGGCGCCCGGAAGGTTCTCAACACCATCAAATGGTCAAATACACAAATGGGATGACCATTTACTTCAGGTCGAACATCACTATTGTTACGGAAGCTAATATTCATCAAGCCAGGTTAGATTTGAATTAGCTTGGCGAGCACTCGATCCTACTGTGTCTGTCATCGCCCCGTGGCGCATGCCGAAGTTCTTCAACCGCTTCCAGGGCCGACAAGACCTCCTCAAGTTTGCTGCCGAGAACAACATCCCAGTTTCGTCCTCTCCCAAGTCTCCCTGGAGTCTCGATGCCAACCTGGCGTAAGTAGTCTTTCCAACTGGAAAGGGAGGTCTGGAGGCTTGGTAACTTGACGATGGCCTCCCTTTTTGTCTTCCTCAACTATACTGCTTTTACCGGCTATTTCTTCTCTCCTTCATCACCCTCTGCTTTACCTTTCTTCCCATTACCATGAGGGAGTTCAAGTAAAACTAACAAGTATACAAGACATACCTCAGCCGAATCGGGCATCCTCGAAAAGCCCGAGGTGGTTGCGCCCAAGGATGTCTGGACCAAATCTGTTGGTATGTTATACTACACTGGCCCCGGTTCACCGCGGTAGACTCCCGAGCTAATCCTTGCGCTACCCAGATCCGCTCGATGCGCCCGATGTCCCGACCAAGTTCTCTGTTACCTTCAAGGCCGGCATCCCCGTCAAGCTTGATGTGGAAGGCGGTGAAACCTACACCGACTCAGTCGAGCTCTTCAAGAAGCTCAATGAGATTGCAGGCGCCAACGGCGTTGGTCGAGTGGATATCGTCGAATCTCGGTATTTTACCATCCCCGACCAGCACCCCTCAAGACTCGATCTTGTACTGACAATATCACAAGCTTTATCGGACTGAAGAGCCGAGGCTGCTACGATGCCCCTGCCCATACGGTGCTGCGTCTAGGTAAGTGAGAATTCTACCCCTCAATCGATGATGCTAACAACCCAAAGCCCACGTTGATCTCGAAGGCATGACCGTGGACTCCAAGGTTCGCGGAATTATGTCCTGGATCGGAAACGAGTGGTCCCAGTGCCTCTACAATGGTATATCTTCTTTGGATAATCTTGACGGTCCTGTCTAACAAATGTCTTAGGCATGTACTTCTCCCCCGAGCGTGAGCTCCTCGAGAATTCCATCATCTACAGCCAGAAGCATGTGAATGGCACAGTCAACATGATGGTCTACAAGGGAGCAGCTCATGTCCTTTCCCGCTCTGCGCCGGACAGCAACCTGTACAGTGAGGAACAGGCTAGTATGGATACTCTCGAGGGATTTAGCCCAGAGGATACCAGTGGTTTCATTGCCATCCAGGCGATTCGCCTGGAGAAGTATGGCGCGGCCAAGATCCAACATGGCGAACCCCTGGTTTAGGGCGCATAGAGGAGCCGCTGCCTTGGCCTCTCTCTACCTTGATGAACGGGGAGGAGGTTTATAGAGGTGCAATAAGGAGTGCTATGACTTGGGTGCAATTATCCCAACTCAGAGATAAAGATGCAGTCAGAAATTATATAGCGGGAATTCCAAATTGGTCTATGCAGTCATGAATTACTGAATACATGCACGCACGCACTCGCTACATTGTAGTCGGGGGATCATATACTGCATGCGTAGGTAAGGATCCTCATACTGGGCATAAACAAGTGAATTAAATACTCTTTCAAGACGACCGTCTATCGCGGTGGGAATAAAATAGCTACCTTATAATGTACCTTGTTACTACGGATAGGTGTTAATCACTTGCTGCTCCTACAGCTACGGAATTGGCCCAGCCTGTCATATGGCGCGTGGAGTGGCGCATCAGGCATCAGCCACAACTCCAAAGACCCGTAAACCACCAACTTGCCCAGGGACGGGCGCTGGGACTAGTTACAGCGAGCGACTCTGAAAGGGCGACACACCTTATTCACCCGGCTTCACCCCGAAACCAACCAATTTTTCGTCCCTCCTCGCCCACGCATCCCCATCGCGCCATTGCACGGTCGACCCATCGCTGAGCGCATCCTTTGGAATCGCGATTTCGCTTTCAAAGCCGGGCATTCAGCTCCAATCGCACCAGAAGCGCCAAGCGCGCTCCCTCTGCATACTCCAAATTCGCAGCTGCCGTCAGAGACAACAGAATGGCACCACAGACTGGTGAGTACCTACCTACCTATCTCGCCGCCTCCAAACCCCTTGCCAGTTCGCCATCAGTTGTAACATTGCCTGCATGGCGGCTATTCCAAGCAACCCTTTGCACCTTCTCTGCCGCCTTCGGTCCCCCAACATCATGCCATCGCGAAATACCTCCCCCATCCAATGCTTGAAAGCATCACCCTTCGCACGTTGCGGCTGCCACCATGAAGCAGACGGAAGAAATTCTAGGCGCTGACGTTGAATCGTAAACAGCCATTCCCGCATCACTTCCGCCCTCGGTCGAGGAAGCATACCGACGAAAATGCGTCCAGCTCAAGAACCGCACAAACGAAGTTGAGGAGGCTAACGACGCCGCCCGGCTCCGCCTGACGCGCATCAAGCGCCAAGTAGAAAAGCTGCGAATCGAGCGCGCGTTTCTGCTCGAGCAGCTTTCGAAGCGCACGAGTGCCAATGTCGAGGACTCAGAAGGCAGCCCTAGCCCGCCACCAACAGTACGTGTCACCACAGGCGCTGTTTCCATCCGAATCTGTAGGGCTATCCACCCCGCTAACACGAGAAACAGCCCAAGGAAAAGCCTCTGCGCATAAAGCGCGGTCACCGAAAGGTGTCCACCATTGCCGAGGATGGCAAGGAGGATGGCGGCCCCGAGTCGCCGACCCAGGAAACCAGCGCGCGCGGGAGCAAGCGAAAGTCCGCTAATGGCGTACGTAAGACGAAAAATATCGCCATTGTCAGGTCGGCATTTGATCTCTTTTGCGACGAGACGCGACCCATCCTAGAAGCCAAGGATGCCGACAGCAATATTGTGGAGGAGCTTGTCAAAGGCTGGGAAGAGCTCCCTGAGGTGGACAAGGAGGTCTACCAGAAGCGGGTGGAAAAGGCCGTGGAAAAGGACACCGAAGAGAAGGAGGGATCTCCCGAGGCCGACGTGGCACCCGGAAAAGAGGCCAATGATGACAAGGAGGATGACAAGGGAGACGACAAGGAAGATGACAAGGGCGAAGACGGTGACGATAACAAGGGCGATGGCGAGGATGAGGATGTCGAAATGGCCAACTACGATACCGACGACCAGGAAACACAGATGGACTAAAGACGGATCACAAATACCAACACCCTAGGGATGACAGGGGCATATGTACTTTCTGGCGTTTGATGCTGCTATTCGTGTATTTTGACGCTCACAAGGAATGTGATTGATTGTTCCTTATTTTCTTCATCTCAGAAAGGTGGCACACTCGAAATGGGGCAACGAAAAGAATAACATACAATTTTTTTTACATATTGACACATCTTGCGTAGTTTATAGGCCTTCATCATGCCATTCTACAGCACCGCGGACTCTGTTGAAAAAGATTTCCTCCAACCCCCCTCCCCTGAGCACATGGCAATATCATAACGAGCAGCTATAGTGAAGAGAAATATGCCAAAGTAAAATGAAGAATGACGTGCATAATGAGTCAGTGATATAGTCGCTATCCAGGAAATGAAAACTATGCTGTTCCATAAAGTAAGCCGCGAGGCGGCGCCACGCAGTGGCCTACTCGCCAGCGTACAAGTCGACAATAATGTTGATACCAGCAACGACGATTTCCATCGCGATGAGGACAATAACTGAAAAGAAAAGCCAACCTCGTTAGCTATTGTGTTTTTCGAGCACTGGGGCAGAACAGGGATTTGTTGGCACTCACCAATCCATTCCAGCTTTTCGCCGTGGCCATGACTGAGCTGGTCCTTGAGCACCGCGAGGAGATCGGCAATGACGTCGAGGCGCTCCGTCAAGAGGCCGACGCGCTGGTCCATCTCGAGGTAGCTGCGGACAGCCTGGTAGACGGGTTCGAGCTGGGGCTCGACCCAGAACAGTTCGGGTGTGTCGAGTACAGAGCCGTTGAGATGGATGTTGATGCGCAGGATGAAGAGCTCGCCAATCTGCATATTGATCTGCGACCTGCTCAGCGCAATCTTGCCGGTGAGGGCAATCTGGGTGGGAATATCCTTGCACGTCTCGACTGTCGATGAGATGAGCTCTTCGAACAAGGATGTCTGTCGGCTGTTAGCTTCTGCGTCAACGAGAGCAAGGAAGCGAAAAGTCACGCGGAAAACTCACTTTGACACTCTGAGCCAAGGCATGTGAAATGGCTAGCTTGGTCATGTAGTTGTTCTTGTCACGTAACGTGATGAAGTCGTTGTAGATGCGAGCTTGGTACTCTTTCGTGTAGTAAAAGTTGAACTGCTCCGTTTCGACATCATCTGGCGCCAGCTTCTCGAGCTCGAATTTTGAAATGTACTTGAGAAATCTCGCTTCTTCGCTCTCCGACATGCCCCATATTACCACGACACCATAATCAAAGAGAAACACTTCAGGCGTGTGGATCTGTGTATCAAAGTCGGGCACCACGTCTCTATCGCTGACATTGTTCATGTTGGCGCCGAGCAGGTCCTCCTCTACGATATGGTCTGTGGCGATATCGTGCTCTACTGTCGCAAAATCGTCGTCGGCGTAGCCCGAGTCGTGGCGATCCGAGGACAGGGCGGCTAAGGCGTCGTCGGCGCCACCGGTCGAGTGTCGGCGCTGATATGACATGACGGGGTCGCGCCGGGTCTTCGGCGGCGTCTGCTCCTTGGCGTATGCGTAGGGTGTGTATATGCACTCGTCGATGAGCTTGGGGTGGGCGCCGCGGGACTTGCCGCGACCCTTGAGGAAGCGCATGAGGCCGTCCATGTCGTAACGGTTGGCGGTGCAGTAGGCCGTAACGCGGGGCAGCTTGCTCCGATCCGACTTGCCGAGGCGGGCCGCATCACGTCGCGCGGTGGGGTCCTTGATTCGAGTGTACTGCGAGTAGACCTCGCGGCCGCTCTCCTCGTCGGCGCCGTCCTCGTCGAGCTCCGGGTTCGGAAGCAGCTTCAACTTCTCCGTCTTCTTGGTACTCCGCTGGGGACCGAGCTTGGCCCCCTGCGGCACCGAGCTCAGCATCGGCACAGCCGTGTGACTGTTGCGTCGTCGAAGCTTGTTATTCAGGGCCGCGAGCACCGGCGGAGCGCCCGCGGTGCCAGGCACCCCCCCTGCCGCCCCCGAGCTGGCTGCGCCGCTCGGCACACCAATGGCGATGCTGCTCGGTTTCGTGGGCGCGACCCGCGTCTCGGGCTCAATGGTGCGTGTGACGGGGTTGGCGCTAAACTTGACGTTGCGCGGCGCTTTGGAGCGAGATTCGACGGCTGGCAGCAGCGGTTCTCGCTCGCCGCCGGATGATATTGTCGATGAGTCCATGACGTCCCAGGAGCGCTGGGAGAGACGGATGAGTGGCGTTGATTGGTGCTAGCCCTTCCTCTCGATGAACCAACCTGTATCCCTCAATTAATCGTACACATAGCTAAAAATGAAAGAGAAATGCGTCGCGCGATTGTGGAAGCACGGCGAAAAGAAGGCGAAGAAGCAGTAATGTTGATGGGTCGTCAGACTCGTCACTGCTGGCGAGACTTTTTAATTATTAAAGTGGCAATGATGCGCTGCTTGAGTACTAACGAAAAGAGCACTGACACTTGTCCACATTCGGCGGCGCCACAGCTCCACCAGCCTCAGTGCAAGCCTGTAACTTTGGCACGCCATGGCGCTACTAAGGCATGAACCACTCAATATATTACTTCCACGTTACATGATCCAATTATCAACTTCCATCACAATGTTGACATGGTACATATTGTACACTACTGACACGCTGAATGGATCTCGTGAATCCCTCGAACAGTTTCACGCCATTTATTTTGCCACTGTCTCGACCTCGAAATGGAATCCAGCACTGTCCAGTCGGTCAATGAAGGACTGTCCAAGACAGGCAGGGGTGTAGATGCCGCCATCAAGCTTAACATCATCTTGGAGTACGGTAGCAGCAGCTTCTGCAAGCAGAATAGCCGTCACTTTATGGTGTTAGCATCAAGTATCAGGTGCAGTCCAACACTGGAGAGACTCACAAACGTAGGGGCTGCCATCGTATCGAGCCGTGGCAAACGCTTTCTGCGTCGTCTCCTCATCGTCGGGCACAGCGATGCCTCGGTATTCCAGAAGCTCCTTTGATCTAGCCTGGCGATCGGGGCCACCTCCTGGCTGAGTGACGAGGCTCTTCAGCAGGCTCCGGACCGGTGGCAGCAACGCGAGGATCACAGAGCCCCATACCAAGCCCCAGTGGACGAACAATCCTTGGAACCAACTATCTACTTTCATGTACTGCTTCCACACAAATTTGTCTCCGTAGAATTCTCCCTTGCGAGATGGAATCTCGGGGAGAAGGCCCCAGGTGCGTTCCACAATAGCAGCGTCGGTCGAATCCGCCAGGGAGGTCGTGAGGCGGCCGAGGTGCGGATCATAGTGAGAGCCAAACAGCGCATGCGCCAGAGGCAAGCTCTGTCTTTCCGGCTTTTCAGTGTGAGGCGTCGGCGAAAGTGCATATGGTGAGAACGCGGCACGAATTTCGGAGAGAGAAAAGACATCAAAGAGGCCGAGGACGGTGGCGAGAGTGCCACCCGAGGGTGCTCCCCTAAAACTGTTAGGTTTACACGCCGAATTCACCAAAAATACCAGTAATACGTGAATAACATACTTGAGCTTGTGAATAGAAATGGTGACCTCCTTTGTATCGGCATCCAGCTCCTCGCGAACATGCTCAGCCAGCAGCCAAGTGGTGAGGTCAGAAGGAGCAGACTCGACACCAATTTGAGGGACCATGATGGCACCAGAGTTTTTTGCCACGCTGTCGTACTTCTTGATCATGCTGCCCACCCACACAGACTCGCCGGTCACGTCAAAGTAGTGAGTGCCCGACTCAGCGCATACTTTGAAGACCTTCTCGCCATACTTGCAGTAAGGACCGACAGTGGATAACAGGACCTTGGTCTTGACAGCAAGAGCCTTGAGGCCCTCTTCGTCGCCAATATCGGCAATTTCAATGCCTGTCAGAAACATTCTTGTCAGTGGCCGTTCACCAGCGCATAGTCATAACAAGTATTTGAGCAAGCCAGGTGCTAACCAGGTGGTGCGCGGTCCGCGTTGTATTGCTTGCAATCTTCAACGACAGCCTGCAGCTTAGCTTCGGATCGGCCTGCGACAGCCCATTTGATGTTGATTGGGAGGTTTGAAGCAATGTGCTCAGCCGTCAATTGGCCCGTGTAGCCTGTTGCGACATTAGTGGTGCTCGGGCAGCTGCGGCGACATGGGTGAAGGTACCCGTGGCGCCCAAGACGACAATGTCGTATTTCCGATTTTGCCTGCGAGGTGCCATTCTATCGAGGGTACACAGATGGCGGGGAATCTATTATGCTGTGTGATGGCACGCGATCAGAGAATGGTGTTGATGAGGCGTGGCCCTTGAGCTGGAAGCTTAGGGACAGGCACCTAGTAAGTATGTGTAGGTACGTCGGTCGGTACCTACCTGTAGCTGTGTATCAGGAATCCTCAATGATGCGCCCGGACAAGACAGGCGGGGTAGAGGTGAACTTATTGTAGAAGGGATGTTTAGACTAAGAAATAACTCGACTGTTCGTACACCACTAACTAACTACATTCTACGATGTCATGATTGAATCACGGAGCTATTTACGCAATAGGCCACATTGGAAAACGTGGTGGTGGCGGGTAAACATCATGCTACCTCGGTAGCTTCATCGCGTTGCAGCTCCGAACACGGCTAGCCGCATTCGTGTCTCAAAAGCACGTGATCTGTCCCGTGACCCAGAGGCGGATCTTTTGACCACAAGTACCACCACACAAAAAAATCGCTTGGCCACCCACAACGACTCACGTGCTTGCCCTAAGGAAAATCACAACTCGCAACTTTGCAAGCCATCTTGGTGGAAACGGTTCCGATAGCCATTTGCACTCACACCTCAACAACCCAAATCACATACCACCGCCAAAATGACCAAGCGCACGAAGAAGGTCGGAGTTACGTATGTATACCATTTAAAAGAACCAATTGAACTATTTGCTAATTACTCTCTGTAGCGGCAAGTACGGTGTTCGGTAAGTCGATACAAAAATTATACCTCGTGTCTTCGATGCTCGATTCGATCCGGCAACCTCTCGGCGTCTACCCCTACTGCGATAATCCAGTAACTTGGTGTACCTCGAAATTTCTATTCGTTATCCGACCGCGACAATTGCCACCTGCTGTCTGTTAGTTGCTACGGCGTTCGCCGCGTTTGGAAACAAGTACACACCGACGAACTTTTAACATGAACCGGAAATCGGACCGCACACGCACCGTGGCGTCGCTAGAACTCGGATAGCTTACGCATGGATGACACACGAATGATTGCCCGGAACGAATCGAACATGGGAGACAGTCTTTGCAGACAATTAAAAGCTAACTCTTTGCCTACAGTTATGGTGCTTCCCTGCGTAAGCAGGTCAAGAAGATGGAAATCAGCCAGCACGCCAAGTACACCTGCACTTTCTGCGGCAAGGTCACCGTCCGCCGCCAGTCTACCGGCATCTGGAACTGCCGCTCTTGCAAGCGCACCATGGCCGGTGGTGCTTACACCGTTGCGTACGTCTTTACTCTACCACGAACCCACGACGACAAAATCACCCGAATACAATTGAAGATGGAGGAACCGAATGAAGAAATAAAAACTAACATTTTCTGCCACAGCACCCCTGCCGCGGCCGCTATGCGCTCGACTCTTCGTCGTCTGAGAGAGATTGCTGAGGTTTAAAGGGGATGAGGAGTTTTGGGTTGATGGAAAAAAAACTGGTGGACATATATGGCATTTGCTTTTCGGTCTGGTGTATGGGGAACATGGCTTTGCGTGCCTGCACTACGAGTCGACGAATTTTTGTATGTTCGACACATCGGCTTCGACCATGGAGGTCAAGTCGGTAAAGCAATGAAAAAAACAACAAACTTCTTAATGACCAGTTTCGGATCGGATCGGATCCTGCGTACGCGGCGCGCTCTGGGTCTCGACGTGACTTGCTAACGACAGTGGATTTTGGGTTTCGATATTCGCTAGCCATCTGATTTGGAGTATGAGTCGTCGCAGTCACCACAAGGTGAATGAATCCACTGTCTCAGGCTGCGACACTATCGAGCGTATATCCGATTCGATAACGGTACTGGATTATTCACGACGCGCTCAACCGAAAGTGACGCATATTCGGGCTGGAAATAGCTGCGCAAATCAAGTATCACAACAATTACCCAGAGGTAGACTGATGGGCTCTGCCTTTTGCACTGTTACGCCTGGTCGTTTCTGCTAGCCGGATGGTCCACGTGACTGAGTCTAATTCGGTACGTGTTAATGAGCGCTAACACGCACCAAGCACCAAGTGCCACGCTAGTGCCGCTCTTCTCTAGTCAACATCCTCTCGTGACCGTTGAATGCCTTTATTATAAAAGAGGGGGAGAGTTGTGATGCAATAACAAGAATAACAAACGAAGATTCATCACTTGATTCAATAAAATAAACAACCTACCCACGATGCCCACCTCTGCCGTTGCCAAAGCCAAGTACGAAGCCATGCTTGAGCAAGCCAAGATCAATAACGCGCATCGTAACTAAAAATCAGGGTGAAGCATCACTGCGGGGGGCAAAGCAGCTGACTGGAACCCCAGATCGGACCAACCGCGTCATGACCACTCGTCACCCGTCGACGGGCGGGTGCGAGGTGACCAACTCGATTGCTCGTCGCACCAGTCACAGCAGTGTCGATGCGTCGCATGGTCGTTTCCGTACTTTTGTCAAGAATTTGATTTCTCCGCCGGCGTACTGACGAGTGGGATGGCTGCCTGAGAGCAGGTGCCTGAGCACACAAGTGGTTATTGTTGACTGCGCTAAACGCGCCAAATTGCAAGAGAAAGTTCGTGTCGTGATTTATTTTCTTTTCAAGTACAGTTGTATTTTCGTCATTTAATTTAATTCATACAATTTCCCGCTCATGAAAACTCCCCCAATCACGCGATCCAGCTAACACCCCACCCCCAACCCAAAGTGGTTCTAGTTAAAACAGCGGGAACGAGGCAATGTCATCATAGTTGACATTGTTCTCCTTGCACTCGATGCGTTCCGTACACGTACCAAACAGCTTGTCCCACACGCGCGACTGCTTGCCGTAGTTGTGGCTGCCCTTCCAGCCGGTGCGGTGGTGCAAGTCGTGGTCCTCGAGCGCCAGCTCCATGCCGAGATAGACGAGCAGGCCCGAGATGGGCGACGCGGCCTGCAGATGGACGCGCAGCCCCGAGTGGCCGAGCAGCTCCGTGAACCAGACGTACATGTGGCACATCCAGAGGGCGTAAAAGTCGAGCTCCAGCCCGATGAGCTTCATGGTCAGGATGGCGAGCGCGGGGATGACGGCAATGTCAAACACCTCCTGCTCCGTGTCGGCAAAGATGGTGAGCAGCGCGTTGGGGTGCTTGGTGAGGTGGTGGGTGCGGTGAAACTTCCACAGCAGCGGCACCTCGTGCATCAGCCGGTGGTACCAGTAGAACCAGAAATCCGTCACGATCGGGTACGCGGCGGCCTGCAGCGGCAGCCAGTACAGGTTGATCGACGCCGGGGCGCGGTCGGCGCGGTACGCGAGCAGGATGAGCACCGCCGGCCGGAACAAGACGGCCAGCAGCAGCGAGTCGGCCACCTTTTGGACCGTCGCGTCGGGCACGCCGTCGCGGCCGTGCTTGTCGCCGTCGAGGTAGCCGTACCGGTGCCCGAGCCGGCGCAGCATCCGCAGCTCATGCACCGCAAACGCTACCATGGCCAGCGCGTAGTAGGCGTACGCGAAGACGATGTGCACGTCCCGGCCGCCGCTGAGGCTGTGGAACGCATGGTGCGCGAGCAGCGGCATCGCGCCCCAGAAGAGCACAAAGGCGTTCATCTGCCAGTTGGGCAGGTACGGCACCGGCTCGCTCTTCTGGTGCACCGGCACCGGCACGTCGAGGAGCGATTGGTGAATGTCCATGAAGCCAAAGAGGTGGTGCGCCATGGTCCAGCCATCCTTGTTCGGATCCAGCCGCCACGTCGACTTGAGCGAGTCCTTGGGGTTGCGCTGTATCGTTGTCGTTGTCGTTGCTGTCGCCATGTTGACTTGAGCTGTGTTGATATGTGTCAAAGGACGAGCTTCTGTTTCCGTCGACTCGGTGACTTCTGAGGCCAAGACACCGTACCCAGTAGTGGCCGAGGGGGGGCTATTTATCTGACGCCACCCTCCGTGCCCATTCTCTCGCCACAGGCTTCAGACAAGGGGCTCCCGGAGAAAGAGGAGGTGCAGGATGGACAGCTTACATGTGATGTGGACTCGGTAATTCCCCCCCGCCTTTTGGGCTGAACTACGAATCAAGCCTGCCGCCCAACAAAAATAGTAGAAAGACCGTTTCAGCGCACTGACACCTCAGTCCGGTGCCATGATGTGATGACGTTAGGCGTCCGACTGTATGTACCAGCACCGACTGTACTAGCATCGCAAGGATCAACAGTAGTGTCAAATTTATAGTGTCAAATTTATCTTGACACTGCCGCGTATATAGGCTGAAATCACACTAATTTCTGCTCCTGCCTGGACAGCCTCGCCTCCGAGTTGTGCGCACCGCCCGACTTACACGCTCCCCTGCCATTCTTGCCCCAACAGATAGATGGCATACGCACAATAAAATAAGACGGGTACAACACGCGTTCTTCATGTGATTTCTCTCAAAATTGAGCCAATTCCATCCAAGTTGTCGTAATGACCTATGGAGCCTGCGGACGCATCGGCTGAGGCTATCCCGTCTCCGTCCCGTCAGAGCGGCATCACCTGATAGTGAATTACCCTCCCACCGAATCATTCCTCTTTACATGATAAAAAACATGTTACAGATTGTTCTGGTACATACATGTGCAAGTCACTGCTCTGATACCCCGAGATTTCCGGGCGTCCGCGCTCGTGATACCTGCCAGCCGGGCTAAGCGGAAGGCGCATGGCCTCCGGCTCCGTTCGCCTTTACAATGGCCAACGTAACACAACAACGTCCGCATCTACGTACTCCGACACGTGAGCGATGAGTTGGGTGACAGGTATTACAAAGCCACGTACTTTTTCCTTGCCAGCACAGCATAAAAGCAACAACATGTGATGATGATCACTAGAAATCACTTGCGTCACTTACGCATGTGCAAGATGACGTGGTTGGACATTGTAATGAGACTCCAGTGCGGCGGCCCTCGGCGCAAGCTTGCTTCTCAACAAGTTTTGGAATGCTGGAGCGTCTTTGTGTCAAGATTGTCGATGAGTATAGCGCATAGCACTGGCTTCGCATTTCATTGAGCCCCAGCAAGTGACTCATGTGTGCCGTCACCTCCATACACCAGTGTCCGCCTGGTTCTGGTAGACTATTATATGTGGTTGATAGGACTATTAATAGTCTATGATTAATCAGGGTTAATTAGAGGAATAAATGCCACGTTCAGTTAGCTACAAATGCTGCGCTCAGTTGGCTTTTCCACAATTAACCCAAGAATTGGGTTAAGTATTTGGGGGATCTCTCTTTGCTTTTACGCGACCTTTTTCTTACCTGATACTCATCGATTGTAGACTATTCTGTGACATTTGAAAAATAATTCTTCTTTTACTTATCTACTGTAGACAATTCATATTCACTGCACGTATACGTTTTACTCGTGCGGAAAAAAAATAAGATTCACCCCGACTACCTGGTACAAGGTGCCGCGAGGCAGCATTGTAAAAATGACAAGAGTATATAGGAAATATCCTAACCCCCAATCCAACCCTTTTCGCTTTCCCTGTCCAGTCGCCCCTCCTGTTTATAGTTTCGGCGCATCCAACTGCCTGCCTGGTCATTTCCTGGGGCAGAATGCGGCTATCAAAAAGGGCGTGTGCGTAAATGGTTTAAACAGTCAAAAATAGACACAAGAAAAAATGAAGAAACAGAAAATGCAAAAAGGTATCGTCATGACCATGTACTATGCAAGGAGAGTACACACAAAAGGCCAGAAAAGCGAGCAAAAAAAAGGGATAAAAAGAACAACGCCCACTTACCAGTCATCACACCGTAGCTCTCCTAAATCATCTCGCTACGGTGTAGACCAGTCGACATATGCTTGCCCTTCTTGTCAATCGGCGAGCGAATCATATCCTGGTCAAACATGACGGGAGGCGGTGCCAGAATGGGCGACTTGGCCGAGTGATAGGCCGCGCCGCTCAGCATTTCCATCGACGACGGTGGGGGATAGGTATTCTTGCGGCTGCGGCTACGGCGCTCCGAATTCCGTGTGCTGCGCCCCGAAATACTCCCCTCGCCACCGACGCTGCGTCCGCGGTTGTGGCCCCGGGACGGCGGCGGTACTGGTGGTGACAGAACAGGCACCATGTTGTCATTCGGTGCAGCCACCGGCGGCTGCTCCTCGTCATCCATCACAATCTCAATCATACCAGAGCCTACTGCCCCGCCAGGTCCGTACGTCGGCCTCGTGTGCGGTAGCGGCGCAGGAGGCGGCGGCGGCGGCTTCGCCAAGTGTTGAAGCTCCTTTAGCATGGGCGGCAGCATGGGAGCAGGCGGAGGTGGCGGTGGTGGCGGAAGGGGCTCCTCGTTGGAGCGACGGCGATCAGCCCTTTCCACAACGGCATCAATGTTGGGAATACCGCCTGTGCTCATTTTTCTGCGAAAGTGCGGCGGGTCGTCGGGGATTGGCGCCGACATACTTCTTGGAATCATTGGCCGCGCTGGCGGCTGATACACAGTCGACGGCAGCAGCGTCAGTAAGCTTGGCGCCTGGTCCTGGGCCGCCGGTCGCTCTTCCTGTGGCTCTCTGGTCGGCAAGGATGGAACAGGCGGGGCGTTGCCGTTGGGCATGCCGCTGGACAAAACAAGTCGCATGGCTTTCGGTGTTGCTGGAAGTCCAATCATGGGGCTCGCGCCGCGAGCATACATATTCTTGGGGGGCTCTGTGGCGCTTCTGGGAGGGAGGTCCTTGGACAACGATCTCGGTTCCGAGGTTTCGACTGTGATGCGCTCCTGTATAGTAGCGGGTGCGTATTCATCAGGATACAGGATTCCAGGTGTGTGTGCCCGCTTGGCCAGCGACTTTCGGCGCTCTTCAAGTTCGCGAGCCGCCTGTTCTTTCCGTTTCAGCCGCTCGTCCTTGAATTGACGCAAATCTCCAGCATGTTCAGCTGGCACAGCTCTTGGCAGTGAATTCAGTGGCAGCACACTGCCCGGCAAGTCAGAAATACTCAATTCCTCAGTCCTTTTCTGTGAAGTCTCTCTCCTAGATGTGGCCGGCGAGCTTAGTCCTTGGCTGACACTGCGACTATGCTTCGCTCTGAAAGCCTCTTGCTCCTCCATAGCGCGCTTCAAATCTTCTTCGTCTTCAGAGCCTTGCAGGTGCAAAACGCTTGCCGACAACGGGACGGGAGAGGTCGGTGATCGGGCCCTGACAGTTTCTCTGCCTTGGCTTCGCCCACGCATGTCCAGTGCCGAGGACGGCCGCTTTCTCTCTGGGCTTCGTCCTTTGCTGCCACGGCTTGACGTGCGGCTCGAAGTCTTATTTCTCGTCTTGGCGGATCTTCTAGACGCCGTGGACTCTGCCACATCAAAGTACTTTGGAGTGGTCAAGTTGGCCAAATCCTCAGGCGACATAGGGATCGGAGAGGTGGGTGATCGCTTCGGTTTAGCCCAGCTCCGATCTTCGGTACGCCCACGATTCTCCGGCGCCTCTCGGGACCTGTCTTGTCGCTCTCTGCTGCCCTGGCGAGTCCTGGAGCTCTCGCGTGGTCGTTCGTTGCTGTGGCCTCTGCTTCGGTTTCGGCCAGAGTAGTGCTTAGCAGCCTCGAGGCTGTGTATGTATTCATCCCTCTGTCTTCCATGTCTATAGCTTCGACCTGCGCTAGAGTTCGAAGTGATGGAGCTGGCAACAGAACCCGGACCGCGGCGCCTTGTCGGCCAGTGGAAACGAGTTGAGGATGTGACAGACTGCTCCGGAGATGTCGGGCCGTTGATAGGAGTCTGGTTCATGGGCTGTAGCTCAAGAAGCTTACCGTTTGGAATCCGACTTCTCGAACCATTTCGCACATTGCTTTTACTCTCTTGCATGCGTGCCATGACAATTTGATCGGGAGAAGGCGGGCGCTCACCAGGTTGAAAGTCTCCAACAACGCGCGTGAACCGGTCGCGCATCATCATGGGGCTGGCAGTGGAAGCGCGTGTAAGAGAGTTTCCAGCAGCAATATTATCATAGTCAGCAGACGCCAAACGGGAGTGGCCGTTGCGTCCATGTCTACTGACTTCACTTGTCAGTGTGTCACGGCTCATGTCATTGGGAGCTTCACCAATAGATGGGAGGCGGCCACGGCTCGCTAAAGAGCCTGTGGGACGTGCAGAGGTAGGTGTGTTGAAACGGCTGTTGCTAGATGGGCGTAAAAACGCCGTTGCGGCATCGTACGATCCACCTGGGGAAATGGCAGAGTCTGCAATTGGCGTCACACCCGCAGCAATTGGGGTTTGGCCATCATCCATGTTGGCATAAAACTTGGCCTTTTGGTTCACATCGCCAAAGGAAGTGATGAGCTTCAAAGCAGATGACTTGGCGACGCTTCGCTGTGGGCCGCGTTGGATGCCTGGGGGCGACAGGGGAGGGCTGAGGACTTCGGGAATGCTGGTTGTCATGCTCTGGAAGTTGAGCTGAACGGCAGAGGGTGATCTCCATGGCTCGGTAGACTCTTGGTCCGTACAAGCAAAGCATCGAATTGCCAGCTGTTGCTGGTGATGTTGAACTGCCCATTCACCCCACTTCCTAATAATGGCTGCTTGACGCTCCCAAACGGCAGGAAATGTTAGACAGGTCAGGATAAGTGCCTCCATATACCGCTTGTGGGAAATATAAATCTCAATGGCATCGTTGTGGTCGCCCATGCCGAGCATGATGGTGACTGCGACGTGAATCTCGCCGCTTTCTAGGAGCCGCTGCACATAGACTCGCCCAATCTTTTGTTGTCCAGCAGCGCTTCCCATGCCGCTAAGAGCAAATAACATCCAATCAGAAGAAGTCATGTCTTTGGCGCTATCAGCCATCATATCTGTTTCCATATCGCCAAGCCACTTGGAAAGAAGAATGCGGCTGGAAGAACCGTTCGGGTGTCGACCTAACTCATCGCGGATGAGGTCTTCGACATCAGCATGCCAACCAAAGATGGTGCTTAGCATCTGTCTTCGAAGATCGTCGTTGGTCAGGCGCGAGTTGTCAGCATTCATTGGGTGCTTGTATGGAATGTCGCTTAGTCGTGTTCTCGTATATTTGAACAAGTCATAGACCTTGCTTTCATCGGGGCTTCTAGGCACTTCGTGGCGCAGCCTAGATGGGCGCTGTCGCGAACGCGAAGATGCCATGCTAGTGCTTCCCAGAGAGTACCCCATTGAGTACGTATCGATTTCCTGTTGCCGACCAATGGTAGATGACTTCAATGAGGTTCCAGCCGAGATGTAGGTATTCTGCGACCGAATGGATGCGGGATGGCGACCTGGCGTTTGTGATCCAGCAGAGACGGCAGAAGACTGTGACTGGTGGGAGGAAGACAGGCCACTTCTGCTGGATGCTGGGCTCGCCGATTCGTACGTCTCGTTGCCCGAGTCTGGATGTGCCTGGCCACGAGCAATGCGCGCAAACGGTGACAGGTGGTCTTCGTCACTTTCTGAAACGTTCATTTCTAGAGGGATGGAACTCAAGGAGCTCTCTGACTCGGATGTGTGGATTGTGGTCGCGGAATGAACGGATTGGTTGGCAATCTCCTCAATCGAGTTGGGAGGCGACGGCGGAAGATGGCTTGTAGGGTGTTGGACATTGGCGACCATGATCGCTGGCGAGTTGAGATCGAATTGTTGCACGGTGCCGTTGGGGCCAACCGTGAAGAGGCTTGCGCCGGGCCCATAGAGCGCCATACCGCGGACATGCTCAAGAGTGGGAATCGAGTCAAATGTAACGTGCTTTGTGCGGACATCCCACGAGAGGGTTTCACTGCTCTGATCAGTACGATGCCAATGCCGCAAACCAAAGTTTTTAAACCTACCTATCGGAGAACTGGATGACACGGCCGTTCTTGGACCAACCCATCCAATTGGAACCTTTTTCAATGGCTTCTGCCTTGCGCAGAATTCGGACGACTTTGGCGGGGTCTTCAATGTTGTACGATTTCGTGACACTCCAAACTCGCAAATCGCCATCATGTTTCTGCACGGCAAGCATCTCCGACTTTTGTCGAGACGAAGAGGCATGCCAGGAAAGATTAATAATAGACGATGGGGCTCTAGACGTTGTCAAGTTATGCATAATGGCGAGTCGAGGCTGGAGGCGAGCAATGAGCAGAGTTCCGGTTTGGAATCTAGGTCGTGTCAGTAATGCAGCACTATTTCGAGTTCTCTGGGGACAAACCCAATAGCAAAGGTCAGGCAGTCTTGGGATGGAGCCAGAGCCGTGATTGCTGTCCGTTCCAATGTTTTTGACCTCATATGCTCTGAAGTAGCAATTTCAAATATAGTAATCGAACCATGGGTGTCGCCTGAAAGCCAGTTAGAGGGAAGACAGGTTGAATGCGGATATTGACGTACCAAATGCCAAGTTACCATTGCGCATCCAGGCGATGGCGGTAATGTGACAATCTGCGACGGCGGTGAAGGTCTTAAGCTGTTCACCCGTCATCAGGTCCCAGACAATCATCCTTCTGCTGCTGTCATAGCTGGCAGCTACGCGACCTCCGCCATATTGACTATGGTTGTCGATGGCAAGCAGCAAAACTTCATGCTGGTGGCCAGTAAAGCGGCGCTCGATGGTGAGTGAATCGTGGTGGCAGCAGACGACGGAAGAGCCCTGGACATAAAGAAACATGGATGCTGTTGCTCCACAAGGATCAAAATACTTGAGATCCTGTATTGAAGGCATAGCAGACTCATGTACATTTCGCCCCCTCGCGGTAGACGATCGCTCGGAGGCTCGGGAAATGGCATGGCCTTGTGAAGAAGCCGGGGCAGACATGCTGAAGGACGGGATAAAATGGTTTCAAAGTGACGAACTCGCGTGATTTGGTGTAGCGTGGGGGTTGATGTCGGCCGTTGACGGCGTGGTTGTTGCGACCGAGTCCGATGTCCTGCAGGAGGGACGGTTCGCAGCAGCGGTCCTGCAGTGAGTTGTCGTCACAGGCTCGGTGCGGCAGACAATAGCGTGGGACGGCGAGTGCACCGTTCCACGCCGGTATCCGTGGATCAAAGCCTCTGTGCCTCGTAGTGAGAGCGCAGAAGGCGACGACCCACGAACGTGACTTAGATGGCGGTGCGTTGGATTCCGATGGCGGTCCGGGTCGCGAATTACATGGAGGCGCTGGTCGAGGAAGAATCAGTATCGGCGCAAAAGGTGGTCGCAGCGAGCGTCGTGGAAACACTGAGCGTCAGGCGTGTGACGGTTTGCGTGTGCAGAAGCTTTGTGCGACAGGAACTGCTGGGTTCTCAATACACGGAATGGTGATGTTGCGACGACGAGGATGCGACTCGTCTCGGTGCGGCGCGGCAGGGAACAAAGCGCAGAATACACGAGGCAGGTAGTTGGAAGAGGAGACTTGAAGGAAAGGGGTGACAGCCTCGAATAATAGAAAAGGGCAAAAGACGGCGGACTGGAAGCGGCCTGAAGTAAGTAGCCGCAGAACGAGCGACAGGTTGGTGCGGAGTGGGTCGGTCGGGCGCTTGTAGATGAGGGGATACGCAAAGGGCTGGCGGTTGGAGGAGGGAGTGTAACTTACTCGGACCCAGGGGCGGGGGGGGCAGTGGCGCGTGCTGCGAACAAAGAGGGTGCGAAGAGTTGCACAGCAGATTGCAGTCAAAGCTAGATCTGGGCTGTCGAAAGAAGAGGGAACAAGAGGTTTACCAGATTGTCCAAAGGAAAAAAGTGTGTCGAGGTGAGAATGCGAGTGCGGTGGGCTGGGCAAGTAAATGTGCAAGACAGCGGAGCTTCAGTAGGCACGGAGAGGGGACCAGTGACGGATCAAAAAGAGAGGCGGAGGACGGCCACAAGCACGACGCAACGCAACACAGGCAAGACACAGACAGGCTACCTAGTTAGTTACCTACCGCCTGGTATCAGCAGCAGCAGGCTTTGTGTATCCGTTCGACAGAGAGAGAGACGGTCTGCTAGCAGGGATCTGGCGATGGAGAGCGTGCTGGGGTGTGAGTGAGCGACCAGGGGTTGGTATGTACAGTATCGAGGTCCTCTTTGGGTCTTCTTGGGGAGCGATGGACCAAGGCGGCTAACGTTGCAGGAGTGGCGCGATGGATTGTTCGTGGTGGACAGGCTGCTGAGGGCTGTATAAAATTAGAGCTTTTCGCAGGCAAACGAAATCGGAGACCACATGCGTTGCTTGGTTGCAGCCACTGGTAACTACCTAGGCAAGACAAGCCACAGCCTTCTGAGGCAAGCCGGTTTGGATGCGCTGGCAGGCGAATGTGCGCGCGCAGAGTAATAAAGCGTTGGTTGCATTGGCCAGCTGACGGTGCTCAACCGAATGAATGCCATCCATCACAAGAACCATCTGCTCCGGACAGGAATTGGCCAGTGCTGTCACGAACAATGCAGGGCTCCCATGGCTAGCTCGGTGGGCGGTCGTCCCGCGTGGACATGAGCCCGACTATAACGGAGCCTATCAAACGGCATTATAGGTTGTTTCCCAGAGGGCTCATTCGATAGTACACTGCCTTGTTTCGCGATTCGTTTCTTTTTCGTCCTCGTCGTCTTTCTTTCGCCCAATTCGCCCCGTCTCTTGGGCCCTCGTTTCTCCAGTGCTTGCCGTGCCCGCCTCAGATAAATTGCAGCGTCGTGCTCGCACGTTTTGGTAGACTTGCGGGGTCCGACACCACACACACACAACACACACACAACACATCCGACAGTGAGGGTTGTGCTGCTCTGTACGCCGCATGAGCGCCACTCCTCTATACACAGCTGCCGGCGTCGCTGCAGATGAGATGGGCTGGCGTGGGCGCGCGCCGTACGAGCCTGGTGCCTGGTCATACCGGCTTGCCGCTAGTTACTGGTACAGCAGAGCAATCGATTCCGGTTGGTCGTTTCCTGCTAACTATCGGTCATCGGTCATGGTGCCTGTACGGAGTACATACAAGGGAACCAGTGGTCATGAAGAACGGGCGACGGTTACCCCGTAGCGGGAGCTCAAATTGCGTGCGTTTGCCCATTTCCAAAAATAACAGCAACCGTGCTGACCTCGACCCGGGCGAACAAGGATGGTTGATGCACTAGCAGATAATTCGCTCTTCCTGGGTCAATAGAGTCGGCGGGGGAAAGCGACGCCTTGTGATTGCTGCTGGGCATTGTCGAGCACACACACAGTGCAACTGTGAAGAAAGAGGGACGACGAGGAACAAGGTGAAGCTCGAGCACTGACTGGTTTGACTGGGTGAGCTAGCGTGCAGCGAGGCTTGATGGCTGGCGGTCCAGAGTGGGGACGCGCAGGCCAGACGTGCAATCGAAGCCGTCGAGGAAGCGCCCAACTTTAGTTGGCCCTCTGATTTGTCCGTTGCGCTGCAAGCGTGTCTCGAGCTGCGGCCAATCGTAGCGCCCATCACACTTGTCAACGGGGCTTCTCCCGGGACTTGCAAAGGGACTTGCAGGGGTCCGATCGTCGCTATCCCCATGTCCCGCCGCTAACAACTAACAACGCTAACAATTCACCACCTGGCAGGCTCCAGGCATGCACCTGACAGCGCTGAACAATGCACCTAACAGCGCTGAACAGTGTGAACAGTGGACCTAACAGCGCTGGCGCTGGCTAAAGCCCACAGTACTAATTTGTACAGGTCATAGTAACTGCCGCCATTTCCTTGGCTCTCCTCCTCACTCACTCCTCATACATACTATCCCATTCCATATCCTCCTCCACACAGAATCACGCTCCTTCCCTCGCTTTACACGCCATTCTCCTCTCCATACTCCCCTGTTCCTAACTACCTATTCTATCCAGCATTTAAATGAATCAACGCCACTCGCTCCCAGACTCCACCGTCCTGCGCCTCGCCATCAGCCAGCTCCTAGTTACTCGTCAACCAGCCACCAATCGCGATTCTCTCTCCCAACGGGCATGGCTATCCTCACCTTGTTTCCTTCTTCATTTGCTTCCCGTGACTAGTCTATATCGTTTATCCAATGCATTCCCTGTCTGCCAAACCTCTTACCCTGATCCTCGCCCACGACTCATCTACGGCCCGTCCCAGCCACGTCCGACATGGTCATTCTCAATCCTGAAATGAATGAATGTAGTCCGTACTCCGTACCATGTACGAATTACGGAGTATTACCGATAACTACTGTATCTCGCTTCGGACCTCTGGTTCTTCCACTCTTCCACTAGACCCTGCCCATCTCCGCCGGCCGACTATGTACCCATCTTTTGCTTTGACCGCCGATCCTACCGACTGCCTTTGCATGGATATGGCATCCTCTATTGCAGAAATGTCTTGTTGCTCTGCATCTGCTTGAGCTGTGGCTTGCTAGAGGCCGCCCTCTGTCATACGGGAACTCAATCCTCCGTGGGCCGGCTGCTGCCGCGCTGTCTCACTTGACGGCTCGTGGCCAGCGTTGCAGAACTTGCCGTATCCGTACTTCAGTACCTGGCATCCACGTACGGATACTCTGCAGGTAACACCGGTGACAGCTCTTGGCCTATTCGGATCAATAGCTATTTCGCTTTCGGATTTTCTTGATTCTTTGTAGAATGAGTACGGTCTCGCGAGATCGCCTGTAACCAAATGGGCAGCACTACCCTTGTGCGTGCTCCTCCTCATGACAGACACTCAAGACTTTGTCTTACACCAAGTCCTTGACCATCGACCGATGGTTCCTTTCTCGTCTTTCTTCATAACGTTAGGCGAGCCAACCACGGCACCTCATGTCACCTATTACCACGACCACCGTCTTCCTACCGACCAGACATACTATACATGCCAAAAGAAAAGGTGCCTATCAGTCGCGTTGTACAGCATCTTGTCCAACAGTCCGAAGCCACGAATACCTCCGTTTATTGACCCTCCCTCTTTCTCTATGGACTAGCTACATTCGTAAACATTCCGTCTCTTTTCAGTTGGGCAGACCTTTGGCTGAGACAGCATTGATAATCACGGGTAACCGCGTTTGACAACAATTCAATCTTTTTACTCTAGTCCCATGCTGTCAGACGCCGAATTCGGCTTATACAAAAGTACAGAGATACAAGGCTTGTTTGAGAGTTGAGAGACATGGCACGCCTGCAGGCAAATCGGTCAAGCGATCGTTGTTCTGCTCCCTCATCTGTTTCTTCATCGCCCAGCCTCTTTCTTTTCTCAAACATTACTTGAGAAAAAAAACCGACGTGGTCAGGGTGCTCGGGCTTTTCGGCAGCCGGGATGAGACCACGACCCCGGCCCAGAGGAGGAGCCTTCACACCATCCCGTATAACTATGCCACTCAAGCGATTGCAACGGCTGTGAGGCTTGGCCGCAAAAAGAAATTATGATCAACGAACTGCTCGGCCACCACACTTTTTCTTTTACGACTCCAAGCCCAACATCAGACCGGCTGCCCAAAGCCAGAATACTACACATCACACGAATTATTCAAGGATTTGGCTCCGCCAGATAGCCACGCTGAATGCTCGACATCAACGCCTCGCATTAGTTCGCCGGCCCCCCTCAACAGGCTGCCCTAGCGCGCCCTGTTTTTGTGACCGTGTGGACATGACGCAAGTTCTAGCCTCTCCAACTATCGAGAAGCAGTGAAGATGCACAGATGCCATTAGGTAGCCTTGCATTTGCCAACCACCAAACACCCAGCGAGGATCAGTGGCCGGTAATGCATCTCCTGCAAAAGCAACAAGATCTCCATGCTCGTCTTTCAGGGCAGTCTCCGCACTTGGTGCTTCTCTCCAGCATGGAGTGCAAATCACACAGTCGTGATGCCAAGTACAATGCACGGCCAGGCTGTCATATATCAGTCTCGCCTGGAGATTTTACTAATACCGATTTTGGATCCCAGTTTTCTTCCTTTGAAATGATAGAAACTTGTTATTAGTTACAACCTAGCCAGCCCACTCCCAGTCGCTTGTTGAATAGTGAGTGGATGGCAGGGTTGTTCGCACCATCTCGGATGCTTCCCCCCCCCTCCACCAACTTGAATAGTTGTCAGCCACACTGTAACCCCCCCATGTTAGCCACAATATCTTGCCAACAGGCTTTCCCATCACCGACAATGCGAAGAAGACTTTTACATGTACGCATTGCCGGCATCAACGGGCAAGTCATGCCCTCTAACTAGACCATGAATCAATCCGGGGCTACTGGTGGTATATTGGGCACCCACCGATTTGTACATTTTGTACATATGTCAATGGCTCCCTACCCAAGGAAAGTCAACTACTTATTCCGTAACGAGATATCACACCCTTTCCACCTCGCGCTGGCAAACGTCCCCCGCAGCTGCTCCAGGCTAGATTCGCAAACGTGCATTGGCATAGTTGGTTACTACCAACCACTTTGTACAACGCAACTTGCAAGCCAAGAAAACTATGTTGCACGTTTTTCGTTGGGGGCCACACTCCGCATCACAATCACGCCGGAACAGGGCCGTTCCACCGTTGCAATCACTCCCGGTCGGCTCCATTGGTCTGGCAGGGGTGGTATTTGACCTAAAAAGCCACAATCATGCAGAGCGGTCTAACATATTGTTGGGCGGTCAAGTATTACCAGTAACTATTTTATTGTCCAGGTTCTAAAACAGCGGAAATGGACCAGTCATGGAGCATCTCGCTTGTGGATTGATCAATCAAGATTCTGCATTTGCTTCTCGGCACGTTGCGTCGGTTCGTGGATACCGCCCGAAATAGAATGAGAAGAAAGACCCGTGTCTGAGTTTCCCCTCACTTGTATCACGTTGCCCAACAGTACGCCGTCAGATTGTAGCGAGACCTGTCAGTCGTGCTTAAAGCTAACTAGTTCAAAGCCAGTGCACCGGGGGGGCTTCCGCGAGCGGGCAGCCAGCCTCTCTCCGTTTTCTTTGCTTTTTCCTCCTTGCAGGGGCACATGGTGGAAATCCGGTGTAGCCAGGGCCGACGACGACGACAGAGTTGAGAATTGGGGGGGAAACTGATAACAGCAAATGGTCAATCGAGGCGGATTTGGACTGTAGGGTACAAGGACTATTCGCGACATTTTCTGCCCAAGTCCCTTTCTTCATGATAGCAGATAAGCCATTGATAATATCTTTTACATGTACAAGTAGCTCGGTGGTTCTTTTACTTTATGGAACTATTACCTCTGTACTTGCCGATGTGTTGGCTGTATTCATGATGGCACTTTTACGACAGATTACAAGGCACGATTGCCACAGCAGGATTGGAAAACGAAAGGCTGCAGCGACGAAGAATCCCACAAGGCTCTTTGCCGCATCTATTGTCCAAGCTCAAGTCTTCAATGACGTATTATATGGTCAAATCGAGGGCTTAATTATAGGCGTGGAAACATGAGATTGGCCGCGAGCAGATAGTGAGATTGGTACGCGGGAACGAAAACGCGCTGATACTACTCAGAATACCTTCCATCAACATGACAAAAATCCATTAGTTGGTAATAATAAGAGTAGGATCCATTTTCAAATTTCATTGTTTTCATCTGGTAGAGCAGTCACGTTCTTGCCAACCTGTCTTGCCAGGCCGCCGCGTCGGCCGCGTTCAGAACGCTTCAGGGCCACTTTACACGTCTCACGCGCTCCCAAGTACAAACCGGTGCCATCTTCACCACGTACCACAACCCCCCAGAGAGGCCTCAATGATTTCCAGCATTCGCCACCGCGAACCTACACACGGCGCCATCGGATCCGAAAATGGGACAGCATGGGCTCGGGGCACCAGCCGCACATGGCCTTCCCCAACTTCCACGACAGAATCTGCCCCCGAAGAACCGAGCCGCAAGAGACAGCGAACCAATCATCCCAACTCGGCAAGAGCGCTCGATTCCGAAGCAGAGGTAGCGCGATATCTTCGACTTCTCCCCTTTAAAGAGGATCTGGCAGCGCTGGGATTTGTCCTCGAGAAACCTACAACGGCCCAGCATGAAGTGGCGTCCTCGACCTCGTCGCCAGCTGACATGGGCTCGGACGATGGACTGTTCGTCCCCTTATCGGAAGAGAGCACACCGAGGCCCGACGCGATACAATACAGTGCGAGTCACTACTCGGACCAGAGCATAGAAGATGGAGCGGTGTTTTACAATGGTCGAAACATGGCTCATAACAGCCATGCTGACACGGGCCGCGCGAGAGCGGGTTCTAGAGCAACTCGCCGTGTCGCAAATACTATAACGCCGGGGGGTCTCAACGGCGCTGCATTGTCGTCCGTGGCATCTCCGACGTCACACCTGCGCGCACCTTCTCCACCGCCGTCTACTTCACGACTTAGATCGCAGGCGAGTAAGGAGCGGCATGACTAGCTGGCGAAACTATCGCCGAATGTGATTGGCAAAGCAGCGACCAATACGGATGCGATCACTATGCTCCCAAACAGCCTTTGGGAACTCCATGTTGAGCTGCGCCGGGGTACGGATTCTCCCGGTCGCTATCGGTTCTTCTTCCCCTCATCCATGAGAGACATCATCACAGACCGGCTCGGGCGAGGGCCGTTACCTGATGCTTTCTTCTACCCTGACCAGGCCTCTTGCCAGACTCAGGCTGGCTTGGCGCTGTATACAGGCTTCAACGCTGAGAAGCACTTTGACAATGTCGAAGTTCTTATTGCCAAAGCAAACGAATGCGAGGCAAATAAGTTCCCTGATTCTCGTTGGAACACCAATGTCCGCATGCCCCTCCTGAAGCATGTCATGGCTGAATTCCCCAACGTTCGCCACAAAGTCCTCCCAGCAAAGCATATAAGAATAGCTGACCCTGTCCCGACCTCTGCTACGAACCGCCCGCCTAAACAGACAGGAAGGGTGACCATGGGCCTGTTCTTGGAGGAGCACCGGTTGTTGGAAAGGGTGCAAGCAGGTACAGACGTGGATTTCTACGAGGGGGGAACTGTGAACCCGTGGGAGCAGGACGAGTTGCGGTTCTCATTCGTGAACTGCTTCTCACCCGTGGCCTGCTTCTTCGAAACGAGCGCGACGCAGCCGGAGCAAGACGCCGTGGCCGACTGGGGCGCCGAAATGGGACGCCAGGTCGCCGCTGTCCACAAGAGGTTGACCGAAATTCTGGACGCACACTGGCCTGTTCTAGATATGCCGCTGGGGGAAGGCAAGGACGGGTTCAGCGAGGGGTGCACTGAGGCGCACAAGGAGCATTGGAGGCATGATGAGCGCGCAGGCTTGGATCGCCCATACGATGACGGTCGCGAGATATGGGAGCGTCCCCTGATTCCGGCTAGCCCTCAATTTTGTGTGCGCGGGCATGAGTGGTATCTGTACTTTGCCTGCGATCGCGGCGCCCATGTGGACTTGCTCGATGGCCAATGGATCGGAGGTACGCGTGATTTGGCGGACATTTACCTTTTGATCAAAAACTTGCGCTTTGTTGGAAAATACCTGGAGAAAGAACATCTTGATTGCATAACTGAGTTGTTTGATTAATTTTGGGAGAGGCTGAAATCCAATACTGATAGTGATTTTATCGGTACTAGATATAACTATCATGAGACCTTCGTTTTTTTGTTGCTAGGGACGAAGCGGCAACTTTGTATATTATAGTTTGTGATACCCTTCTGCACAGCTCCCCTAGAATATCCCGAGTAACTTATTTATAATACACGATGCCCCTTGGATCTTTCCTGAGAACTCTCTTATCACTCACCACCCAACACGCGAGAACACGTCGGGGGTGGGGCTACTCAACGCCTTCTGCATCCGCCCTTCTCGACATCCTACGCTCCTACACTACTTGCGCTGTAAAAATAAAACACCCTACATGTCAATATGTCAACAGGAGAGAGCACAGTCCACAACGCCGTTCATACTCCCGCGCTGAGCGAAGAAAGGGGCCCAGGTTCTACTGGCAACGCGCCAGCCCCCGTCGGCGCGTACCAGGCCTACTTGGATCGCAAAAGAAAAGCCCGCGAAGACGACGAGCTTATCAAATTGGATATTGCCGGCGGACGATGTCCGACGAGCATCACGTGGGAGCAACACCGAGCCAACCTCGCTGTCAAGCATCAGGCCTTGCTGGATGCGCACGCCCTGGCGGCGAGCAACAGCCAGGCCGAGCCACCCCAGCAGACCGGCCGCATCGCCTCCCCTCTGCCGCCACAGGCGAATCCAGATGCCGCCGCGTCCAGAGCACAGTCTACGCGCGCGGCTGAACCGCGGCGGCCGCAAAAGGAGAGTCTCGCGCACAAATGGCTGAGCAGGCTCCGGCCCCCCGTGCTGCGCCAGGAACACACGCTGGAAAAGGGCCACCGCGCTGCTGCCCAGGCCGCTCTGGCAGCTGTACTTTTCCCTGGCCCGGCGGGACGACGAACCGGCCACGCTTTTCCTCCCCGCCTGCATCCGCGAGGACGTGACGGCGGAGCTGGGGCAGGAGGGCCCGCTGCCGTCGTCCTTTTTCTACCCCGGCCCGTTCGTCAACGGCCAGGCCTTTCAGCAGCGCAACGAGCGCGAGCAGCGCGGGAAGGAGCTGGGCACGCTCATGAAACTGGTCGACGCGGCGGCGCGCTGCGGCGCGCACGACGCGGAGTGGAACGAAAAAGTGAGGCGGCCGCTCATCGAACATGTTGTCGGGACCGCTCCTGGGGAGCAGACGCTGCGGTGCCAGTACGGCGACGTCGATGTGCTCCTCGCGTATGACTCCGTGACCGAGGAGCTGCTGCGCGAGAAGCCCGGCGCCGTGGACGGGCGGCGGATGAGCTTCACGATTGACATTTGCGACAAGGTGCGGCTGTCGGGCAGCATCGCGCGCAAGCTGGACGTGCCTGGCAGGCCGGATCCGTTTGTCAACCACGTATCCGGGGACGTGGACGAGTTCGACGAGCTTGTGGGCAACAACGACCCGATCGGCGCCTTCATCGCGACGCGCGCGCCGTCCTCGGCGGTGGCGGCCGACGTGGACCTGTGGGGGCTCGATCTGGGCGTCCACGCCGCGGCGCTGCACAACCGGCTGTCGAGCTTTCTGGACGCCAAGTACGGGACCGATCCGGGTGCGTGGTATGGAGGAACCTGTGGGGCCTGGTGGCCGTCCCGGGGCGTCGAGGGCATCCCGGAGCCGCATAGACGGCCGCTGATACCGGTGCTGCCGCTCGTGTACGTGGCGGGCCACGACTGGTACCTCTACTTTGGCTGCGATCGCGGCAAGGAGATTGTGCTGCTGGACGGGGTCCCGATGGGCTCGACGCGCACTCTGCTATCGATATACCGGCTCGTCAAGGTGCTGACGGACATTTGCCGATATATTGACGAGCATTACAAGCCCTGGTTGATGACTCTTTTTGATTGCTCGTGGCCGAATAATCCATGGGAAGCCGAGCGGAAGAAATGACGAGCCAGCGTTCACGTCACGGTATTTTGCATGGGGCACTGCTGTTGAAAAAAAGAGTAACAAATGGGTATTGAAAACTAGCTAAAAAGTCTTTCCATAGCTCAAGACTGGGAGAAAGGGGGGGGTATCCTAAACGTGACTATCTAATGCGTGTGAACCAAGTAAAAAAAGAAGAAAGGCAAATGCCCCTGATTGCCGAAACAATCCACAGTGTGCTGTACTGTCGTATTATAATAAAATGCAACAAAAACCAAAGAAGAAAAGAAGAAGAAAAGAAGAAGAAAAGAAGAAGAAAAAGAAGAAGGGAATAAAGAAATCGAATGGCTCGCTCAGATGCTAACAAGCTGACTCAGAAAGGCGTGTACGCTGATGATGAGGAGAAGAAGAAAACATGTGAAGATGGTAAAAAAATGGTTATATCCCGTCAAGGTCGATAAGAAATGGAACAAGAAGAGGAAGAATATAAGCGGGTGCCAGTCACCAGCCGAGGCAGATAGCCGGGAACAAGAACAAGCCTGGGGTAATCAAAGTTGGGGAAGAAGTGGTTGCGGCTCTGCGCATGTTCAAAGTGGCGATTCACATGTGAGCGAGACCCTGAATGTCCAGGGGCGGACTTTTGAGTGAGTGAAAATCGCCGCTGGGGTTGTTGAGCGCTGGGCGGTACCAGGCAGCAGGCAGCAGTATGGAGGAAGGCCGGCCCTCGGCATGTATCGCGGGTTGCCTTTTTGGCGTTCCGACAGGACCCGGTCCCACATGTGTGCCCAAGTGTCCGAGACTTGTGTTTGGCGGGGCGTCACCGCCACAGACGGGGTATCTTGTACTCTTGGTGTGGCGCTCCGAGAAATCCCCCCTTTGACAGCCCTTGCAGGCGGGCTGTCTGTGTACGTCATTTCCAGGCAGAGGCTCTCTGCCTGTTTGTTGCAACGAGAGAAACAAAAAGAGTAGCCGCCCAAGAGTGAAACCGTGTTTTTGCCTTGTGAAAAAGTCGGTCGGCCTTTTTTGGTGTCGGGCTAGGCGCGCCTTCTTTTGTGGAGAGTCCGTGGAATAAGCTTTCCGGGGAGGCGCCCGTGTGGCCAGTGCATCTATTGACATGTGGCTCACAATACAAGTCGGCGCTGGGGGCGCTGGGGCAGACCAAGCAAGGTAAGGGTTTTCGGACCGAGATGCGCCTCATTCTTCGGCCTCGGTGATGGGTGCCATGGCGTAGGGGCGGCTGCTCTTCTTCGAGGCCGCTGCGCGACGGCTCTTGCTGGCCTGCTGCTTGCGGCGCTCCTTTTCCTGCTGCACCATGCGGATCAGGTCCTTGCGCATGTTGCTGCGCTGGCGCTGCGCGTCGAGCATCTCGGCCTCGCTGGGGGGCGAGCGGAGCGGCGAGACGAGATCGACGCTGACCAAGGGCGGCGAGGCGCTGACGCTGGCCACGCTGCTGCGGCAGCACACGTCGTCGCCGCTCTCGGAGCCGCTGGGCTCGTCGGACAGGAACAGGTCGTCGTCGGAGAGATACGCGCTGGCCCGGGGTTCGTAGGCGGTCGAGGAGGAGGACGAGGACGAGGGAGAGCTGAGCGAGGCGCGGCGCGGCCACGACGGAAAGGCGCACGACTCGTCGCGGGATGTGACGCTGCTGGTGCTGCTCATGGGTAATGAGCCGATGCCCATGGAGCTGTAGGAGCCAAATGAACCGTACATGGTTGCTGTTGGCATGTCTGTCTGTATGTTGTATAGAGTGGTTTGGTGATGGATGTATGGGGTTGTGGGCAGGAGCCGACAAGTCGTGGGGTCGAGTATGGTAAGTGTTGTTGTTGATGGAGGATCTGGGGTAGGAGACAAGCGTGGGGAGGGAAGGATGTTATAAGAGGGTATGGCGGCTGTCGCTTGCTTGTGTCTTTGTTTGAGGTGAACCGTGTGAAAGGGAAGCAAGTGTGAGTGCAGTAGGGCTTATAATAAGAACTGCGCCCGGAGACGTCTCTGGCTTGTGCTTCTTCTGGCTTGTGAGCCTGGGGAAGGGGGGGGGGGGTGGGGGATGTCGGTAGGGGGGGTGTGAAGTGGTGAATGGGAGGCACACCGATTGTACTTTGCTACGCGAGTAAGCACAGCCGGGCTGGCAATCTGTGGCAATAGCCTGGGGCCGAGGGCGGTTGGAGCCAAGGGCGGTTGGAGCCAAGGGCCTATCTGGTATGAATAAGTTGCAACTAGCGAAGCTTCTTCTTCAAGTTCGCCTCGGGTCGCGACTTTTGCCCGGGTGTTCGGAAGTATGGATCCGGTTCCAATTTGCAAGTCGTAGCGAAATGATGGGATTCGAGAGGTTTCGACAAAGTGTCCAAGCTGTGAGACGCAACGTTTTGACTGGGTTCCGGGGCCGGAATTTTTTTTGGTGATGAGTCAGGCTGATGTTATCGGCGTCGGCGGTGATGCACTCAGCGCTTGCGAGAATGGTGTCGTACTATGAATAAGCTGGATGCAAATAACGACTGTATCGGCATGTACTGAAGATCAAAGACGTAGCAACGATCCAAAGGCAGGGAAAAAGAGAAAAATAGCTGATACAAAGAGACAAGCAAGGCTCGGGCATGATACAAAGGGGAGGAGTCATTGATTTCTATTAATACGTTGGTACGAAGCATCACCGCCTGAAGACGATGGCCGAGGAGGGTGGGCAAAGAGGGCAAAGAGGAAACACGGCATCAACTCTCAGACGGCGCGTGGCACCCAAAGTGAATCAAAGTACGTAGGGGTTGTGAGTAATGAAATGTAACGAATCAGTATCAAGAAATAACCGGAAGGGGGGGGTGAGAGCAACGGGTTGCCGGCCGTGTTCAAGCTGCCCCTTTGGGCGGCCCTTTGTCAAGTCGCCGGGGGGCGTGGGCGTAGAAGCGCTCCCAACTCGTTGCTCGTTGCCTCCAACATTGCAAAGTCGTGCCAGAAACTTTTCTTTCTGTTACCGCCCTTTGTTACGGCGACAAAACGCCATGCGCACATCAACTCACCGACCGCCGCTGATAACTAGAAGACGATGCAGCCACGGGGCACTACATGAGTCGCTTTGCAGTTTTGACCGCTTTGTTCCCTTTCTTTTCAAAAACCTGTACATACTAATAGTCTTCTTTCGCGCGGCAAGTTTTTTTTTTTTTTTTCTTTTTTTTTACTGATATTGCGCGACGCAAGGGTCTTTCTGGATGGACGCAAGGGTGTGCACGGTTGGGCACAGTCGAAAAAGAAATGTTTCGGCTGGGACCGCGGGCGGTTTTGCTTCCCCCTGGGGTTTTTTGAAAGGAAAAAAAAAACCGAGGCGGGCGGCAGACTAGGCTCCTGCTCCCCGTGCTGCTCGTTTGGAATTGATCCGGCATCGTAGTCTTGACAAGAGCCGGCACGGCACGCCCATCATCTTCAGGGCGGGCGGCTCCTCGCTCCCCCATAAGGTAGATACCTAGGTAGGTGGTTACATACTGGTACATGCGGTTACGGAGTAGTTCGTTCTTTCTTCTCTGCGTCATTTTCAGGCTGCCTCTTGTTCCTCACCCAGGCTGAAAAGGGCTGCACGATGCAAGTGGTGGCATCCTGTCGGCTGGCGGGAGCCAGCAATAGACGATGACTCCTAAAGAGGAGCCCCCGAGCAAAGGTACGGACGTCGGTCGCAGCTCTCGAAATGTCGGGCATTTGCGCAGATGGCATCGCGTACGGAGTACACGGTTTGCATATCAGTACTCCGTAATCTGTACAGCGTGGCCAGCTACCTACATACCTAGTATGTATGTACATAACTAGGAAGCCCCGGATGACCACATTCTGGGCGTTCCGAGCCGGACGAATTTTCACCGCCCTCTGACACGCATCTTGATAAGGCGATGGGTTGCAGCAGCGAGCTTCCGTACCTACATATAAATGTGTGACTCGACCGCATTTTCAGCGCCCAACCAGTTGGTACCGTGTGTACCGTCTTGCTGGATGGGCCGGGTGGGTGACTAATTATTAATACATACATGCTCCATGCTCCCCTACATTATTCTTTGGAACGTGAAGACGGGCCGCTGTTTCGTTTCGCTGCACACGCCCCCCCGCGTGGCGGCAGAGATGGCTTCAGGCGGTAAGGATAAGGGTTGCCAGCGCTGCACTATCTACAAAGTACCTACCTAGGTTCATCAAAAAAGTCTGACAAAAAAGCCGGTTCGCGAGGTTCCCGGCGTTCCGGAATGACTGCCAAGGATATACCCAGCTTTCGAGACGTTTTCCGTGTTGACCTATCCAGCGTACCGGTTTTTTTTCTTTTTCGTTACTGATACATAATATGGCCTCTTTTCCCATCTGATAGATCGCAAAGTAACTGTACAAGTTACCTAGTCGAGACATTTTTCCAAGGCTTCATCAAGGGCACAAGAAAAAGAAAGTGCACTAAATAAGTAACTACATAGGTACAAAAGTTGGTGAGGGTTGAAGAAAAGGGGGAGACGAGAGAAAAAATAACAGGCACGCAACAAGGCCCAACAACAAAACAATATTGCATCCAGCCCAAGTTTGCTTCTCCCAAGGCGCTTGGCTTGATTCCAGAACCTGCGCCGAGTGTCGGAAGCACAGCAGCCCTTGTCTCAACTCAGTGGGTGCGCCCGTACGCTTTTTATTAGCTACTTTCCCCAACCAACCGATCGATCTGGCAGGCAAACATGTTAAAAAAAGATGTACATTCGCGCTGCGAGGCTTTCCTCACATAATTTACGCGCCGGACTCGTGACGAAATGTGTGGTTGTAACCTACCAACCTACAGGTTAACTAACGGTAGTCACTCGTACTGGTCATCGGCCAACCAGATGCGCGTGTTGACGTGACGGGAATCTGGTTGGTCAACGGGTTGCCGCGGACATGGCCAAACATTTATTCTTGTTATAATTAGCCAGAATAACTACTCCTTTGTCACACTGCAAATTACAGAGTGCACCCCTCCGATTCCGCCGCCACCAAGCAGGCAACAGCGCAACAGCGCCCGCCCAGCCTTGGGAGATGGTTACAGGCTATGGCTCATGTAACGTTGGCAAGCCTGTATTTGCGTATTTGCTCGAGGTATCTACCTGGAGGGAGCAGCCAGCGTGTCGCCCGCCCAACCTCTTTCAAATAGCAAATCAGAACAAAAAGTATTACTCTGTACCACCACCAACTCCGAAGCTCGGGCAAATCCTGGTGACGAAATTTGTCTCGCGGGGTAGTACAGCGACGGCCTTGTTGCCTTGTTCATCAGCGACCGCAGCCGTTTTCCTCTATAAAAAAATCGTTTCTTTTTACCAACTAATATCTTTTTTTGTCTTGCTTCTCCGCGGCGCCCGGGCCCCTCCAAACCACAAACACAAACTCTTCTCCACGATAACGTTGACTATTGCATGGGGTAGTGAATAGGATATGGGTGCCTTGTTTAGTGGGACAAACCAGCGGCCGCTGCTTTTGCTTCGACAGGGTTTAATTAAGAAGAGAGACAACGATCCCTTTGCCGCACAGAAGCTTCTGCACCCCGGGTTCCAGAAGGCATCAAGCAACGTGGCTCGTGCATTCAATCAAATTGCAAACAAGAAGACGGAGTTGGGAGTTGCTCATGATACTGCTACCATACGACATGGACCGTGCAGCAAACGGGTTTGACACTTGTTTTTGACGAACAATGCCCGTCAGACCTGTTCCATCTCATGAGTCGCGGGGTCGCCGAGTCGCCGTCACGGACAACCAGTGTGCGGGCGGCACGCTATAATAAGCTGCATGTTTGATCTTCATCGCAAAACGGCCTTGTTAGTCAACTCCTAGTTACTGTCAAAATCGCACAATTTTCATTGCCGTTGCCATGGGCGATATGGAGCGCCCGCGACGTGCACTTGTGTAGGGTAGTTGATGCGTGCCCAGCTCGAGTTGATTTTTGGCAAAATGCCGCGCCGAAAGGACATGCTCTGTAATAAGAATTCAATAGAATGTGACATGCAGACGGAATAAATTTGAAAAAAAAAAAAAACTCTTCGGTGCCTTCAAAACTCAACGATGTGTGAGTGTGCAGCGAATAGTATCTGAGCGGGCACACTTGCCCAATAGAACCCGGTCCTGAGTGGAAACTTGGGAAATGCAGAGCGCAACTAGACTTATCCAGCCGAGTCCATGGATTCGTCAAGAGGCACTAGGTAATCAATAGCAGTAGATTCTTTTCTTTGGAAAAAATGTTGTCAGCTTTTCCCATCCTCCTTCACCAGAAATAACGTCCTGATCCAATTTCCGCGCGCTACAGCCACCTTATTGCCGCCGCCTCGACGTGTAAGTGGCTTGCTCCTGTGGCGTTTCCAACAAACGGGCCTCACTGCCGAGCAAATCGCCACTCTACCGATAATGGCGACAAAAACCTGCTTCTCACTAGCCCAAAGCCAACAATGTGCTACATCACTCCAAATGTTGGCATCATGGCATCCAACAGCCAACCTGCCAGTCCATCGCCACCCCTCAAATGCGGGGTGAGGGGTAGTGGCAATCTATGTAAAAGTCATGTCTACTCGTCACCGGCAAGAGTTGCATTTCCAAACAATCATTACTCCTGCAGCCATGATGCTTCTCATTGCAGCTTTCCTCCTTCTTGCAGCCACGGCAGTAGCCTCTACTTCCTCGTGCGCGGCTACGACCCTACACCTACCCGACCCCCCTTACGACAACTACTTCTACTCGGACTGCCATGTCGATGCCCAGGCCGTCATCACAAGCCCACTTCCAGACAGCAATCTCTCCATCATCGGACCGCGCTTGATTGTCGCCTGGCCGGGCGGCAACAGCGGCGTGTGCGCCTTCTTCGCGCCCCAAAACGGCAACAATGGCAGTCTCGCCATCGCGCTCGTCAACTCGACACTGGGCTCTCCTCTGTCGTCCGTGGTGCAGAATGGCTCGTCAAAAGAACCCAAGACTGGCGTCCAAGGGGTTCTGTCTTTCAATAACTCCGCTTCATTATCCCTGTCCATTCTCGGCAGCGTGCGCACCATTCGCGACTTTGTCGAAGGCCCGAGCCTTCTCACGCCCTTGATCCAGGATGCTGTCAAGATCCAACACGTCAACGGCACCGCCGTGCAGATATCCCGCCTGTGGCTCGACAACGTCACCACCACAACCCTCACACTCTCGCCTTGGCAGAACCAGGACGGACGGGTTCACGTCACCAATAAGACTGTCACGCTCGGTGCCGGCTTCTACCGCTTCTCCGCCACTTACAACTACCCGCAGCTGAAGCAGCTAAAGCCGCAGGATATCCTACGCAACGAATCCATGTCGCTTGTCGGTATAGACCCCGAACAAGTCGACGCCTTGTCCTTCTTTTCGTACTCTGACAAGCTTCTCGCCGGCGGCTGGCGCTTCCTGACCTACTTTGGCAGGGACAGCATGATTGCTACCCTCTTGCTGCAGCCGATCCTAAAGAGCGGCCCCGGGTCCGCCATGGAAGCCGTTTTGGGCGCGGCGCTGGAGCGCATCAACAAGACTGACGGCACGGTGGCCCACGAAGAGACCATTGGCGACTATGCCACCTTCACCAACATGCAAAACGGCATCTTCAACTCCACGGCCGCCGGGTTTACCTATCAAATGATTGATACCGACTACTATCTGCCCATTCTCATGAACAGATACTTCCAAGGATCGCCCGAACGCGTGAGGCCGCTGCTGACGACCAAGGCTGGCGCGGTGAATGTGGCGAACAAGAACATGACGTGGGGCGACTTGGGTCACAGACTGGCCTCCAAGATTATGAACCTCACGGCGGCTTTCGAACAGCAGCAGACGGCGGCCAATCTGATGCATCTGCAGGACGGCGTTCCAGTCGGACAGTGGCGTGACTCCGAACGCGGTCTAGCGAATGGCCGCATCCCGTTTGACGTCAACTGCGCACTTGTGCCGGCTGCTCTGCGCGCGATTGCCAGCTTGTCCGCCATGTCCGGTGTCTTTCCGGCCGAGGACGCGCAAAAGTGGCGGGCGGCGGCTGGCCAGCGCGCCGACGTGTGGCAGAACAAGACGCTCGCATTTTTCAAATACAGCGACTCTGTCGGCAACAGCACCGCGCTACTGGAGAATTACGTCAAGGAAAATACATTCTACAACGGTCCGACACACGCAGACTCTGTGGCGAACTACTCTTCTGGAGAGACGCTTGTGGACTATGGCCTTGCTCTGCCAAGTGCGAATGATTCGGGCCCCCTCCGCATCACGCATACCGACACTGCGTTCCGCAACGTGCTTCTTTTCAATACGACGGATGATGAAAACCAGCTCACCGAATTCATCAACTCGACTGCGAATGCTATCCTGCGCCCCTTTCCCGCCGGGCTCACGACGCCGATTGGCGCCGTCGTGGCGAACCCAGCCCTGTCCGGGGATGCCACCATCATTGCCAACTTTACCAACGCGGCGTACCACGGCACCGTCGTCTGGAGCTGGCAGCTCGCCCTTGTAGCCCAGGGGTTTGCGCTGCAGCTGGGACGATGCGGCAACACCACCACCAGCCAGCCGGCGGCGTTCTGCCTCGACGTGTCCGTGTACGGCGCGCTTCGGGCCGCGTACAATCGCATCTGGGACGTAATTGAGGACAACCAGAGCACGCTGCAGTCCGAGGTGTGGAGCTGGACGTATTCGCCGAATTCGACGCGCCGGGACGGGTTCACGTACGCGCCGCTCGGCGTGCTCCCGCCGCCGCCGGGCGCGGGGGCCGGGACGGAGAGCGATGTGAGGCAGCTCTGGAGCTTGGTGTTCCTGGCGATGAGTCGCGATATACAGTATAGGAACTGATTGGAATTGAAATGTACAAATATGGGACATGCGTGTATTTTCATGCTTCCCGATGGAGTTGGTGTGAGCAAGATATTGGCGATTATGCTAGTCTTCCCCACGCCAAGAGTACCGTTATTTTGATCGGCTACGCTTGCAAACAAAGTTTGATCTTGATAAATCAGACGATAAGGGTTCAAAAAGATGCGGCCATATCAAAGTGTGAAGGGGGTGTTGAAGCAGACTATAATGTAGAGTCGAATGATGGACTCATTTCGTGCAAACGTTCACGCAAGGAAGGAACTATGGTCTACATTGGAATTAAACAGACATCTCTGATAAGTATATATATTGATTACTCTATCACGTCTCGAGTAAGACCTTCGCCAAATCCACCCAATCAACGGAGGCTTCTGTTTGCTGCATCCAGCACAGAGTTGATGACCATCTGCGAAGCTCATCGATCACCACATCGCTCCGTCTTCCACGCCGCCTTGGCCAACCCCTACTATTAATGACCCCCTTCAACTTGCATGTATCAGCCCATCAAGGCCAGATCGAAACATTGCACGGCTCGTCTTATATTGATTACTATGTTCAGAAGGAGATGCCGTTCATGCCGTCGCAGCCGCACAGACGCGGGCTTGGACGTGGAGCGCCGCCGTCGTTCGACACGCACCCTGAAACGACCTGCGTATCCGCAATTGGTGCAGGTTTTCTCGTCAATGTATTTCTCGGCATGAACGCTTGGGGCCCGCACGCGCGCGCACGGGTGCGCAGCCAGGACAGCTGAGCAGTACGATGGCGTAGTTTTGAGGCCATCGCCGTATAAAGACGACGGGATGGCGCGTTCGTTGTTGACACCTGCAAACTCGTTCACTTTGACAGTCATTCGCTACTATACACTCTTTTACAGCAAATTTTGCTTCGCCAGCCAATTCTTTTTAACTCGATACTTCAACATGCGCTTCTCCATCGCCACCGTTTCGCTGCTCGCTGCCGTTGTCGCAGCCGCGCCCGTCGATAAGCGTGAGTAATTTCCCCCCTCTTTTGAAAAAAAAAAGGCCTGTGTTATTAAAAAAAACTCTGACAAAAAAATCCAGGCCAGCAAGGCGGCAGTATCCTCAGCGGCATCACCAGCCTGCTCGGAAACCTCGGCGGCCACACCAACGGCGCCAGCTACGCCCCCAACGCCGGCGGCACCGGCGGCGTCTTCGCCGACCTCCAGGTGCCGGCCGACCACTTCAAGTACACCATCACCCCGGCCAGCGCCGAGGAGCCCATTCCCGCCGCCCAGAACAGCCAGCTGCGCGAGGGACACCGCCAGGCTCACGCCGCCATCTACAAGGGCATGGGCGGCAACTAAGCGCTTCGGCGAGAACCCGAGAGTACCTCATCTCCGATAGTTATTTTTCTCTTCTATAATTTTTCAATTTTTTTTTCTTCTTCTTGGTTCCATTATTTCTCACGAGTCGGACAAGAGCTCTGAACAGACAATCGCGAAATTCGTCGACGAGACTGGAAAGCAATGGACAAAGTATCCAATAACATGTACAACTTGCTACTCCTTCACTGTCACCTCAGCCTCCATCGTCGCTTCTAGTTCCGGATAGTGGCGCCAGATGCCGTCGGCATACTTTTGATGTCGCTCGCTCGCCAAGTAGGCTTTGATCTTTGGCCGCTCCTTGACGGCATCGTAGAGCGCAAAGACGCCATCATACTTGCCTGAGCTCTTGAGCTGCGCCATCGTCTTGGGGAATGCGAACAACGTGCCGTCGATGCACTTTGTTTCCTGTTAGCAGCGACGCTCTGCCCATTCGAAACGGGAACGTACCTGGAAGAGAACAAGGTCGACATAGGTCAGGCTGTTGCCGTGGATCCACGGCCCCTCGCCGCTCGTCTTGGCGTCGAGCAGCCGCTGCACGTAGGCGAGGTACTTGGGCGCGCGCTCCTCGATAAAGGCCTTGGAGCGCCGCTTGGCCTCCGCCTTTTGGTCCTCGTAGAAGAGCGAGACGGCGATGGGGTGGTGCGTCTCGTGGACCTCGTTGCAGAAGCCGTCGAGGATGGTGAGGCTGGCCTGGTGCAGGTGGTAAAAGGCCGTCTCGGTCGGCGGCGGCGACAGCCCGAGCTTGGGCGCGAGGTAGAGGAGGATGTTGGGTGTCTGGTTGAGCAGGACGGCGCCGTGCCGGAGGGCCGGCACCGCAAAGATGGGCGGGTTGCTGGCGTCGCCGGTGTTCTTGGCGTCGGTGAGGGCGAGGACCTGGGCGACGGCTTGGTCCGGCACCTGGGCGTGGTCCGTGTACGGCACGCCGGCCTCTTCAAACAGCAGCCGCACGAACTCGCCGCGGCCGGGGAGGCCGGGCCAGTAGATCAATTCATACTCGGGCTCATCGTCGGTCTTGAGGCGCTTGACATCGGGCTCACCCATTTTCGCGGTTCTTGGTGCTGGGGGGCTATCAGCGATGGATAATCTGGGAGTATAGTTGGTGATGCACGGTCAAAGGGGCAGATAATGGGTAGCCGTATTCGATGATGCTAAGAATCAAGTATCCCGTTGACGGTGCGGGGGAAGGCTGGTTAAAGTTACTTGCAGCGTTTCTGACCAGTCAGAGAGGCGCGAATCACGAAAAGAAACCAGAATAGTACCCATTTAGCCCAGCAAGCTGCATGGCTGGAACGGTACCCCCGAGGTACTTAAATGCAGTGGACCTCGTGACTCCGAACCTTCTCTCGAAAATTGTTTGAGGCATTCGAGGATAACAAGATGCACCACAGCGGCTGATTCTAAAGCAAGATGTAGCTTATTCGCAGTAGCTCTTCGCGCTGCTTTCATACCTAACGAATGGCTATTAATAGTAGCTGCACACACAGTGGCAGCAGTCATACCGGTCAAGTAAAAATAGAGATAATTCAACGATAAATGAGATGGCAAATCTGAAAAAAGTAAGCGTAAAAACGACTATAAATCTAGTTATGTAGTAATAATAATAGAACTAGATAACATCACCTCTACGACCCTGAGAACGTGTCCCGCCTCACGGCGGCGACACTAGCCACATAATGTGGCTTGTTCTTGGCCCCATATTAGTACAGCATCCTTGCTGCCGCGCAAGGAGCCTTGGTTCTCTCAATCAATTGCAGCAGCCTCTTGGAAGTTGGATGCTTTGAGTTGTCATGTCAGCGGATCTGTTTGCCGAGTTCAGCCAAGGGAATGCTGATCAGATTCCGACCACGCAATCAACTCAACCACTGTACCATGGTGCAGTCAGCGCTCCGGCACAGCAATATGCTGTTCATGCGGGGAGCAACGATAAAAAGGGCTACTTGAGCGGCAGCCCGTCATTGAACTCTTTCCATTCGCCTCAGCAATGGTCGTCTTTCCCGGCGCAGCCGTCGTGGTCGTCGCCCGCAGCAGCACCGCAACCGCAAAATGTCGCGGATGAAGACGACGGGTGGGGTGATTTCGAGGTAGCAGAGCCAGACGCTCCTCAGCCGAGCCAAATAGAGCAAACCTATCAACAACCTCCTGCGCAGACGATAGCATGGCCAGGCACGACGACTGCTCAAACGGGGAGCATGCCGGTGACGTCGGATCGTCCTGCTGGCAATGCAGCCCCGTCATTTACGTTGCCAGCTCAAGCACGGCAAGCTCGCGGGTTTCCAGAAAACACATTGTCGAGTCCCTCGCAAACAGCTCTCCGAGATACGCAAGGTACACAGCCGCTACCACAGCCCAAGCGGAGGAATCCGGTACCGTCGCAGGACAACGACCCAGGCGTGCTGTTTGACGCCGCAGACTTTGAATTAGAAGACGGGGAATTCGCGGGGGAGAGCGATGATGAATTTGGCGATTTTGAAGCTTTCCAGCAGCCATCTACAACGACAAAACCGGCGCCCCGAAAAGAGGCGGCGTCTGCTCGAGCACCGCCACAACCTTCCATGCCGTCTATGGATCTTCTATCGCTGGATGACCCTATTCCGGCGCAGGAGAGTCGGCAAGAGCCGCATACTTCAAGCGCCAGCGGTGCGCTACACTTTGGGGCTTCAATACCGGCTAGTTCAGAACCCAAGAGATCTTCAATACAAGACCTGAACTGGACGCAATTCGAGACACACGCAGCGTCGACCAAGACGCAGAAGATAACACAACCGAAGACTCAGCCGAAGGGGCAAAATAAAACCAATGTGTCAGTACCAAAATCGGCAAACTCATGGGCGACGGCTAGCAATGATGAGGAATGGGCCGCTTGGGACGATGAGCCGAGTCTACCCAGCACCAGCGGGAGGGCGATGGACACGATACCTGATCCGTCCTCGTGGGATTGGAATTCGACAGATACCCCGGCACAAAACACAACTACGTCTTCAGACAATACTTTGATACAAAACACAGCTACATCTTCGGACGATACTGCACCGCCCGTCAATGTGCCACCTCCATCCGTTCTGCTCTCGCTCTTCCCCGAGCTGTTGGGCTCCGGAAGCGCCCTCTTCAAATCGACATTGGGGCTAAGCGGCAGTGTCAAGGAGAAGATCCTGTCCGATCCCAAAGCGGTGCAGTTTCTACAAGGCTACCTCTCACTCGCGACGACAGCGGCGCGCATCATAGCCGGCCGAAAGCACCGGTGGCACCGCGACAAGATCTTAGCCAAGAGCATGTCCATATCCGCGGCCGGCAGCAAAGGCATGAAGCTGGCGGGCGTGGACAAGACACAAGCGGCGCGCGAGGACCGCGAGGCGGCCGACGTGGTGGCCGTGTGGCGCGAGCAGGTCGGGCGGCTGCGGTCGGTGGTGGCGGCGGCCCAGGCCGGCCTGCGGGTGCCGGAGCTCAGCGAGACGTTGTCGGCGCACACGGCCAAGATGGTGGGCACGGCGCGCAAGGCGTGCGTGGTGTGCGGGCTGAAGCGGGACGAGCGCATCGCCAAGGTGGATTTTGAGGTGGAAGATAGCTTTGGCGAGTGGTGGGTAGAGCATTGGGGACACCGGGCGTGCAAGAATTTCTGGTTGGAGCATGAAAAGAGTCTGCGGCAGCGGTAATCTGTTTATTTGCTGGTGCAAGCTCGTTTGGGGGTAATTTCAGTATATGCTTCATGCAACGGCCGAGTGTCAGCCGAGAGGGGCCATGCTCCCGGCATGAAGAAGAAAGAAAATAATGTACACTATCGCAAGAAGAATACGCCTGCAATTAAACCTCGTCATGTAGATCATGTCCGGATATCGGTAATGGGTGCCGGCTCTGCTGCCGCAGACATTGGGATGTGAGAAGCGGGGAAGGGATTGGCGACAGTGAACCAGGCGTGAACCAATGCCGTGTTCCGGCGCGCGCAGCGACGTCATCGCTTGGTCGACAAGGGCATGGCCATGCTTGCCATGTTGGTGATTTGAGCTTCTTGTGTTGCTCAAGTTAATGAAGCTCACGGCAAACCGCCCCCGCACCAGCACCGGAACGGGTCCCACTGCCGCTGGTTGGTTGGCTGGCTGGGAGTCACCATGACGTGAAGAAGGGAGCTGGTGGTGCCCTGGTGGCGTACCTAGGTAGTAAGCAGTTTGACAAGGGAAAAAAGCATCAGGTTGATAGGCAAACCGTTCAATGGGGAATTCCAATTTTTCCTTCTTCAAATGTTCTAAGATGAAAATTCGAAAGGAAAAAAAAAGGCATCTTCATCTTGTCACGTTGTCGACATCAATTGTTTACCTAGAAGGTGGAGGTTTGTTATTGTGGTGACTGTACCTACGAGGAACTTGTTGAGGACGCGTCTAATAGACACGAAGACAAGTACCCAGCAAGTAGAGATGCAAACCCCGCCTCGTCTGTTGAGGAGGGGTCCTGGCCGCCTGATTCTACTGGTGGGCTCTCAATGGGCCTGTCCAGCGGTCCTTCCAGGGCTCCCAATTTGCGCTCCTGCGACAGTCCCTGCCGTTTTCTCCTCCTTCACCTACCTTGTCACCTCCACCAAGCTCTTTTTTTTTCGCCCTCCACCACTCCTGCTACGCCAACTTCACCTTCTTCCTCCCGCCTCTCCAACCCCTCGCCTAACCCTCTCTCTTCCTCCTCTTCCATCTCCTTTCCCGACCACTCCTCCTCCCGCCTCTGTCCTCGACATCTTCAGCTCATCTCTCTCCCTCAACTCAACGCCCTTCCCCCCCGCCGCCTCCCCGTTCCTCGACCCCGCCAACGTCGTCGCGTTCATCCCACGTCGACTCACCAAAAAACACTTCTTCAACGGCCATTGACCATTGTTGAGCTCCTCCCGCCGTCCTAATCAACCTTTTCCTCTTCTCTTTGGAACAGGATTCAGGTACGTGGATAATGTTTGCTTGCTGGCGCATCCCCTGGTCGGCGCGGCCAGTAGCACGTCTCGGCCCCCAGGCCACACGTGCTCAACGTCTACGCCTCTTGGCAATGCAGCTCCTATCGCCAGCAATTTGTTATGATGGTATCTTCTCACGATGCTAACACTACTTTTGCAGTATCCAAAACCTCTCGATTCCTCCCATCCCGAGCTTTCGTTTGCCTACGTCATCTCCCTCATTCCACCCACCATGTCTACTCAGGATATCCACTCCTCCAATGGCTCCAACGACCTCATGGACTCCATGGATCACCTCAAGATGGAGGACCGCCTCGGACCCGACGGTGAACCCGCCCCTAAGACGGACGAGGAGTACGCCCAGGCCCAGCTCACCCTCCGTGCCATAGTTTCCTCCAAGGAAGCAGGCGTCATCATCGGCAAGGGTGGCAAGAACGTCGCCGATCTACGTGACGAGACCGGTGTCAAAGCCGGCGTGTCCAAGGTCGTCCAGGGCGTTCATGACCGCGTTCTCACCATCACGGGAGGATGCGACGCCATTTCTCGCGCCTACGCCATTGTTGCACGTGCGCTCCTCGAAGGTGCTCCCGCCATGGGCATGGGCGGCGTTGTCCAAGGCAACGGGACTCACCGTATGTATCAAAGCCCATAAGCCCTACACTTTGTTTTACTGACGCATCAAAGCCATCAAGCTACTCATCTCGCATAACCAGATGGGCACCGTCATTGGACGTCAAGGCCTGAAGATCAAACACATACAGGACGTATCTGGTGTCCGCATGGTCGCCCAAAAGGAAATGCTGCCCCAGTCGACCGAGCGCATTGTCGAAGTTCAGGGAACCCCCGAAGGCATTCAACGCGCTCTTTGGGAGATTTGCAAGTGCCTTGTCGATGACTGGCAGCGCGGCACTGGCACCGTTTTGTACAACCCCGTCGTCCGCACTCAGGCTGGCACCACTGGCAGCACCGGTAGCACCGGTAGCTTTGCCGCCACGGGCAACACACGCGCCGAGTACAGCACCCCCCGTGTCATGCGCACCGGCAACGGCTCTGATTTTAGCAACGGCGGTGGTTCTCGTCCCTTTTCTCGTCGCTCCGACTCTGATGCCGCCTCTCGCGGCCCTCCTACCCATGATGAGAATGGCGAGGAGATCCAGACGCAAAACATCTCGATCCCCGCAGACATGGTTGGATGCATCATCGGCCGTGCCGGTAGCAAGATATCGGAAATCCGCAAGACGTCTGGTGCCCGCATTTCCATTGCCAAGGTATGTCTGAGACACACAATGTAAATGGCCCAGCTAACTGTTTAGGCCCCCCACGATGAGACTGGTGAACGCATGTTTACTATCATGGGCACGGCCAAGGCTAATGAATCTGCCCTCTTCCTCCTGTACGAAAACCTCGAAGCCGAAAAGATGCGTCGGAGCCAGCTCCAGGACACGGAGTAGGCACGTTTGCACGTTTGCATGATTGCTGCGTTGCTCTCTTACCTGCGTTTTTTATACCACTTATGCATGGGCTTTATTTGAATGGCGTTTTGGCAGCCTCTGCGCAAGAACCAGTCTCGTGATTCTTGGCAAAAGGACCAGCATCATCCACGGCGACGCACTTTCATTCCAGTAGTGAGCCGCGTTATCATTCTTTGCTTCATTTGTTTACGCTTGCGACTGGGATTCGAACTCTTCACTCTGCTTCAACTCACAACGTCGATTCACACAACTCTCCTTCCGCCTCTACGACACCGCCACTGAACATTATCCGCCTTTGATCGACGCTTTCACTGTATAAACTTTAGCTATGCAGGCTCGCATGTCTTTTTTGTTTTATTCTTCGGAGCATGTGCGCTGGCTCCATGACTTATGCTGATACCACGACATTGTCACCCTGGGACACTCTACAACTCCGCCTCCCCGACAAGGTGCGCGCCGCGCCCTCTGGAATCATGATATCCTCCCTCTCTTCTGTCCTGACGCACGACTTGCTTTGCTTTACAAAACAAAAAACCTAGTTTGAGCCCAGTTGGGCTGGCGATTCACTCATCTCTTGCTTATACCCCTTTGCCGTTTGCATGGCATTGTCTTTTTGATTGGGCATCGGGTCACGGGGTAATTACTAGTATTTAGCCTCTGGCCGGGATGAAATATATTGCTACTTCTCTTCTGACTTTGATGAGTTATGCAGCTGATGTGCGTGAGGCTAAGTGGTGGTGTTGTTGACACGTAACATGGTGTAAGTTTACAGAGTTCCTGGACTGCTATATTTATTTTACAGGCTACCTACCTCTACTTAATTACTGTTAACCTGTGCCTGTGGCGTCGCGGCACTCGCTATCTCCATTAGCCCCACCCACCATCCAGGGTCCATCTAAATCTGGGGGCAAGCTAGCCATGAAGCCAACTTGTCCAGTTGCCAAATCCAAGAGTTGACACTACACACCTGTCCACGCCGTCCTGATTTTTCAAGCGCGCTTTCTTTTCTCTCGTTTTTATGCGAATCCTCCCTTCTTTTCTTGTCGTTTTCTACCAATTGATACGAGGCACGAACAGCGCACGACACTGATCCCTATCCGCCCACCACACACAAAATCATTCGAGCCATGACGCGCACGAAGCAAGTGCCCAACAAACGCCAGGCGTCATCGGAGTTCTTCAACAAGGAAACAGCCGCCTGGGAGTCGTCCAACGCAAAGCCCAAGCCGAATGGATCTGCTGTCGTGGGCAAGCCTGCGCCGGCCAAAGCGGAGGCGGGCGTTGTGCAGCTCGTCATTGCCGTCGCGGGCATCTACGCCTCCTTGTGCGCTCCTTCCTAATCAACTTGCCGCTCTTTGGAGCTTGAGAAATCAAACTAACTAACGTTGTTGTATTTACAGCCTGATCTGGGCGTACCTCCAAGAAAAATTGACCACGACGCGCCACGGCCCCGCGCAGGAAGTCTGGCACTTTCCCGTCTTCCTCAACACGATCCAGTCGGTCCTGGCCGCGCTCGTCGGCCTCGTGTACCTCGTCGCGTCGACGCCGCGCGGCGCGCGCGTGCCGCCCGTCATTCCCTCGGCGCGCATACTGGCGCCGCTCGCGCTCGTGGCCGTGACGTCGAGCCTGGCGTCCCCGTTTGGCTACGCGAGCCTGGCGCACCTCGACTACATCACGTTCCTGCTGGCCAAGAGCTGCAAGCTGGTGCCGGTGATGCTGCTGCACGTGACGGTGTTTCGGCGGCGGTACCCGCTGCACAAGTACGCGGTCGTGGCGGCGGTGACGGCCGGCGTGGCCGTCTTCACGCTGCACTCGGGGCGCAAGAAGCGCGGGAGCAAGCTCGGCGACGAGGCGAGCGCGGCCTGGGGCATGCTGCTGCTCGGCATCAACCTGCTGTTTGACGGGCTGACGAATAGCACCCAGGACTACATCTTTGGCGCCTTTCAGCCGTACGCCGGCCCCCAAATGATGTGCGCCAACAATGCCATGAGCTCGCTCGTCACCGGCGCGTACCTGCTCGTCGGGCCGGCGCTGCTCGCGGCGACGGGCGCCGGTGAGTGGCTCGGGGTGGGCACCGGAGATGCGGGTGAGATGGGTGCTGCGATGGCGTTTATGGCACGGTACCCGGCGGTGTGGTGGGATGTGCTCGGCTTTGCCGTCTGCGGTGCCGTCGGCCAAGTATTTATCTGTAAGTTTTTATGGGTTCCTCGCTTCGCTCGACGTGGGTGGTTGTGCGTCACGCACTTTGTGTCATGCCCGGTTTTAGAAGGGCAGATGAAGATGGTTTACGGGCCGACGTCGAGCGAAGCGAGCAAAAAAAAAAGAAAAAGAAAACAGGCTAATGATGTGTTAGTTTACACGCTGTCGACGTTTTCATCAGTGCTGCTGGTGACGGTGACGGTGACGCGCAAAATGTTCACCATGATTCTGTCGGTGCTGGCGTTTGGGCATCGGCTGACCGGCATGCAGTGGCTCGGCGTGGGCTTGGTCTTTGGCGGCATCGGTGTGGAGGCGGGGATTGCGAGGAGGGACAAGATGGCCAAGGAGGAGGCGAAGAAGGCCAAGTCGGGATGAAGAAGGTGAAAAAAAAAGGAGACAAAGGAGATGACAAGGGTATGGAGTTGGAGAGGGGAATAGACTTGTATATACATAATCTCTTTATAGAAGGACGACTAGGAGATGTCAGGGTGCGGTGTTGCAGTGGGGAATAGAACTGTATATACGTATTCTCTTCATAAAAAAAATAAGACAGAGAGATGTAAGATGCGGTATTGGAGGGGGAATAGAATTATATATACATAATATTTTTTCTTTGTCTTTACCAGCCAGTCCAAGGCGAAAAACATTGGCTGGCTCCTAGTTATGAATACAACGAGATGACTTTCGACAGGATAAAAGACGTCTTACCAACTCAGATATTCAACGTTCACGACATTCACATGGTATGCACAAACTGAGTATCATGGTCATCGCTTTTGTATTTCCACAGACATCTCCCGGCATTTGGAAACTGCCCAGCCTCCGTCACGCCTAATAAGCATCATCATAACTAAGAAACCAAAACCGAAGAAAAAAAGAAACTCATGCCACACGCCCCGGTGTAAGACTACACGCAACAAAGGGCGAATAGACTTCCCAAAAGAGAAAAAAATCACTTGTATTACCACCGGCCCCGTGAGAATAAACGACAGACGCGGAACCAAAAAGATTTAGTTCCGCATGTAAGAAAAAAAGGAAATTAAAAAAAGATGGCGCTCTTCTCATCTCCTTTTCGCACCTGCAATAGAGAAAAAGAGAAGAACTGGTCAAAAGTAAAGAGTTCGTTTGGGCTCATGACAAGCCCAGCGTATGCAAAAATGCGTCGTGACCGACTGTGATTTCCACCAGAGGAAACGGCAGGGGGGTATCGCTGATTGTATACAACGCCCAACGTGTAAAAAGTCTTTTTTTTTGCTCAAAAGATGAAAAAAGAGAATTCGTGTGGCTCTGCGCACAAAACGCCGAGGGCATGCAAAATAGTTCTGGGAGGGGGTGGTGTGAATATTTGCCACAGAGGGCTTGGATTAAAGGAGTGGATTCGAAATAATGTAAGAGAATAAACGGCAGCAAGTCCTGCTCTGCCGGGCTGGCGCGTCGTGGAGGCTTGGTTGTATATATAATAGGGTTAAACGCCAAGTTCGTCAAGGAAAATCCCTTCTCATAACAGGTCATCAATTGATCGGATAATGGGCACCTCGCCTCTCGTTGGTGGACTGCGCGGGTCCGTCGTCGGGGCTGGCTGACCAAAGAAAAATGCCGCCTCGCGCGGAAACGTCGTGCCGCGCGGTGAAAACAGGCCGCTGTCAACGGGCACAGGCGCAGCCGCCGTGTCCATGAATCGCATACCAGCGAATCCGGAAAAGCCAGTATAGTCGGGAAGCGCGTTCGTCATGGTCTCGGCACGGGGCGACATCAGCGGCGGTTCGTCGAGGGGTGTTGTCGGGGCGAGCTCGACGGTCTGGTGGCTCGCGGTGGGCGCAAGGGCCCGGGGATCAAGCACGGTGGGCATCTGGTCTTGGTAGCTGCGCAGCGGAAGCGGCCGTGTGCCCACGCTGGACCGCGGCCGGGGACCAGGAGGCGGTTGTAAGCTACCCAGCCACAAGGCGGTATTCTTATTGGAGCTGGGTTCCGGTCGGCTCATGCTTGACTTGGGTCGCTGTGGCACGCGACCAAGCCGCAGAGGCGCGAGACCTGGAATGGGCGGAGGTGCCTCGGTGGGCATTGGCGGAATGGGGGGCGACGGAGCTGCCATCGTGGGCATTGGCGGCACTGGCAGCTCAATATCCTTGCTGTTGTCATTTTCTACCGGGGCAAAGGGTTCGATATTCTTCCAGGAAAAGGTCAATGGGGCTGAGGCCGGCCCGGGTGACACGCTTTGCAGGCCTGGGGACGAGTTCCCGCGGGCGCGTTTACTGCCGTCCTTGAGCATTTCTTCCCTCGACTTTTCCTCCTCACTTGGTAATGGCGCCGATAAGGGTTCCTTGGGAGATACGTCAATGGCATCGGCTGACAAGGTTAGACGATGCTTGTTGGGACTGCGTCCTGTGCGGGGGCGGAAAGCGGACGAGCTTGGGGCCGACCGTTTCTTGGAGATTTCTTTTTGAAAGTCTTGTAGCGAGTACATGAGCTTCATGTTGGGGCTGATCCAGCGGCTCTTGGCCTGGGCAGCATGATAGGCGTCGTTGACGCTCAGTCCGGGGTTGAGGTATAAGCCATAGGCAATAATCAAGCTGGCAGAGCGGCTCGCGCCCTGTTGACAGTGGATTAGAACCTTTTTACCCTGCTTGGTACGACCATGGATGATTTCACACAGCTGCATCAGATCTGGTGCAATATCAGTGTTGTGGTCCCAAGGGATATGAATGTATTCAGGAGCCTTGAGCGGGTTGGGCTTGGGCGTGGTTGGCGTTTCAATGGTACCGTCGTCGGGCTGAAATTCAAAGGCGGTGGCGAAGCTGGCAGCAGTGACAGCAGTGTCGGGAATTGGACTAGAGTCAGGCTGTATTTGACTTGCGAGCTCCTCGGCCTGCTTTCGCTTCAGCACCTCAAAGGGATTCTCGACTTCACGCGCAACATTGAAGACGACGTCAAATTTGGCGGCCTCTTCTGCGGTGGGTTCCAGATACAGATATACGTTGTCATCGTAGATGGCGATAGGGCCACCGGGATATGTGGGCGACTTTTGGTCTTCGTTGTTGATACTCTCGTCATATGGCTCACACCCGTGGCGGTTCGCCATTTGTGGTTTGATGGGCGAATCCTCTTCAGTGATGGCAGCGTCAAAGGAAGAGCGCATACCAGTCTTCATGGGTCGCAGAACCTCAGAGAGTCCAGATTCGTTGCGTTCGAGCATCCGCGAGGAAGGCAAGGGTGGGAGAATCGGGGCTTGCGAGGTCTTGATAATACTCAGCATATGCGGTGTCGATGTTGAGTGTTTAAGCGCGCGGCGCTGAAGCATGGGCGGCAAGGCAGGTGAAGGCGGTACCTGGAGGACTGGTCGTACAAGTTCATTGGTGTTTGTACGGAGGCTGAGCTGGCTGGGTTTGCGTTTCATGGCCTGTATTTGAGGCTTGATGAAGCAGGGCGAGGGGGGCTCGATCGCGGAAGCCTTGGTCATGGTGGTGACAGCTAGAGGCGGGAGAATAGAGAGACCCTTCATGTTACGCGGGCGACGGGGGGCGGGACAGGTCATAGGACGGCTGAGGGCAGGCGAGTCGCTGGCCGGGAAGGAGCTAGTGACATTGCTCAAGGCAAGTGCGCCAAAGGTAGTACTCGGGTAGTTGTTGAGAGGAATAAGGTTGGTATTGACGGGAGAGTCCGGCGAGGAAGAGGGTGAGCGATCAGTAAGAGGTGACGAGTCAGTGGTTGATAATGTTGTGGTAGGCGAGGAGTCGGCCGACTCTGACATTTGCGTCGATGTGCTGTCGCTATGTTTATGGTTTTGGTCCTGGTGAATGGTACCATCCTGACCGTGCGTGGGCAGGACAGTCTTGGAGTCCATGCCAACGAGCTTCGGTTCGAGGACGGTAACGGTCTCGCAGTCGCCCATGGTATCAGCGTCCAGATCAAACACGGACATGAAAGTCGGTATTTGATCCTCGTATAGTCGACGGGCGGCAGCGGACGGCATGGTTTCGTACCAGATGCCGCACCGTGTGTTACGAGAAATTATTGCAACAATCGGCGCGACTATTAGGCGGCCGTTTGTAAAGCAGAGTCAAGGTGAGAAAAGAGGTGTTTCGCAGAGGCGTCGATCGGAGGAAAACAGTCCTGCTGGGTCCGAGGACAGCGGCGTCGAGGGCGCGTATAAAGATGAAAGGAAAGTCGTTGAGACGGGAGTAAGCGTCGGAATGTCGTCAGACTTGGGCCGTGAGGCGCAAATAAAGGGCAGTCTCTGGGTGTGTGTCGGACAACGAGTCAATGCAACACGGTTAAGAATTGGAGGAGAAGAGTTTGAAGAATCGAGTCTCGACGCAGGGCGTATCTCGTCGCAGAAACGGGCAGTCTCGGTCGGGGGGCTATCTGGCCAGTCACCAAGGCCACAGTCGTGTTTGAAGAGGCGCGGCGGCGAGGAGCGAGGTAAGCAGAAACGGGCGGTGGGCGCGTGTGCAAGGGAGGATAGTGTGGTGGTCGGTTCGAATCGCAAACGGAATGAAGGTGCAGCGACACAAGTGAGACAGCAAGACCGGTCGGGCGGCTAGAGAAGAGCAGTCGAACGTGGCAGCGAGACGCAGAGACACGAAGGGTTAAACAGGCGGAAATGGGCGCTGGCGAAACGGACGGGTAAAAAAAAAAGAGACGAGGTCGAAGAAGAGAAAAAGACAAAAGTGGAAGAAGGAAGAGGCTACAGTCAACGCATATTCCGGAGAGGGATGGAGGAGGAGGAGGGCTAGAGGGAGAGGAGATGCCAGTTCCGGGACGGGTCGACAGTGTTGGCACGTCGATGTTTGGTAGAATGGCAAAATAGGTTTCCCTGGAAGGAGAGGAAGAGGAAGAAGGCGGAAAGATGGAGTGTGGGAGGAGTGGATGAGGGAGGGGGGGTATGGAGAGAGTGTGGTGGGCTGGCCCTGGGGGAAACTATTTTCTGCAGCTGCAGGTGTCTTTCTTGTCTGTTACAGCGGACAATGGCCCTGTAACTTGGCTGCGGGCGGCAAGGTAGTGTAGGTACCTGAGGCGTTAGCGTACATTGAGGTACAAGACCGCGACGGACCAGGCCTAGGCCAATGGCAAGTTGGCAACAAACCCAGCCCTGGGAACCATGAAGATGGCCGGCTGGGATTCGGATCATCAATCAATTCATCATTCGCCCATTGTTCAAACCTACCTACCTAACTACAACAGGTACCTACCTGGTTCCTGCTGGGGTGCGTAGCTCACTGGGGGCCGTCGGGTCCAGCCAAGCGCTGATGCACACAAACCAGGATGCGTTTCCGCAGCGGCATCTGAAACGAATGGGTTCTTTTTTTTTTTGTGTTCATCAACTTCCTTTTCCTTCTCAGCCTCTTCCTTTGTCTGTCAACGGTCAACAACCACAATCTACTCAAAGTTGCTCTCTCCATTCACTCCTCACTTGTGATGGTGCCGCCTTGGCCAATGTACCCTCGTTGTATCGCCCCAAAAATAGCCCGCGCTTGTGGGCCCCGCCGCAGAACCCAGAACCCAGGTACCGTTTGGTCAAATTACAGTGCATTGCAGGGAAATAACAACGAACCTGCGAGTGACCTCTTTGACAGGGGGGCACGCGTGCTAAGAAAAGAAATAGGTCCTGGCCTGGTCCGGATCCCCTGACGCGCTGACTGGTCCGGCACAAGGCAGACCAGCAAACGCACAAGCAACGAACACAACACCTACTAACTACCTACCTAGGTATGTAATTTGTACCTAGGTAGTTACGGTCATCACAAGCCGCCGGAAAGCGTGATTATTCCCAGTCAAGCGCCGGTGCCTCGAATTCGAAACTCTTGTCCCCCCCGCCTCCCCCCAAAAAACCCCCATTCCTGCAAGCACGGACAACCACCAGGCCACTGTGGCCAGACAGCAGCCAGCTATGTAGCCCTCTGAAAAAAAAATGCAGTCGGCTGCTAAATATAGACCTCCCACACATGCATGACGCCCCCCTCCTGCAAGCCACCGGTCCTCTTGCCCCGCCCCAGCGCCTACACTCGAGCCAATCACACACTCTCCTACTCCCCTCGAGCAGGTACCTCTTGGATGTACCTTTTTGTCCCAGGTTGAAGAGTGAATAAAAATACATTTATACTTTTGGCCTTCTTGGCCCTGCTGGTATTCGCAAGTTACTCATCATTAATATTGTACTTTGCCGATGACTATCATAATCACATCCGACGTGTAGTTGTTGTATTTCTCCTATTCTCCCTTTTTTTTTTGTCCGACGCCCGCCAGGAATCACATGTTTCCTTCATCTGCATATAACAATGGGATTTCTCGTACATGGAAACGGACACAGGCCCATTCTCTTCTTCTCTTCCTAGTTATCGCCACCAAAACTACTTTTACGCTCGTACCACTTGCGCGCGTGCCCAAACAGAGTTGGCAAGGGGGTCTTGACCTCTCCCAACAGGTAGTTCACTAATAGTTAGTCAACTACCAGTATGTATGACCACTCGATCCCCAAAACTGCCCCACGATTCCTCCACGAACACATCTTCGTCTCCTCAATTTGTCTCGCCCTACCATTCCCTCTCGAGTAAGCGCCGAGCTTCCCGCAACTTTCCAGGTCGCGAGCCTCGAACTCTACTGCGACCATGTCGTCGCATCTTCGTGGGCATTCCCCGCTCGCGGGCTGAAATCTTATAACTCTATCCAAACCCTTTGTGCATCCCTTCTCGGGGGGGCCGCCTGATCGGAAGCCGTTCCCGTCTCACGTCAAGGCCTCCGCCCAGATAACCACGGCAACGGTGCATGGTCGCAAACCACCGACGTCTGCAAACCAAGGTGAAACGTGTATCAAAAAAGATACCATGATACCCGCCCTATTTGCCCAGCCCCCAGATGCCATCGTCACAGACCGTTTGCTTAACCCTGGGTGATCCCGCCCCCATGCTTCATATAACCATAACGGCGTCACTCCACTGGCTCCGCGAAGGTCTACCGGTAGATGTCTCGTTGGCCATGGGGTCTAGCGATGCGTCTGTCCACAAAATAATCCGATGTTGCAACCCTATTCATCTGGCGCATCGCACAGAGGGCACTGCCTTCCCATGCGAAACATTCTCGGCCCTCTTGGCGTAGCCAACTCTACATGGATAGCCTTCATCTAGAACTCGTTTTCATTGCGACATGTGCTTTTCCTCTCGGCAACTCACTACAGATCCATTGTACGAATCAACGTTGGTTAAGTGTACGCTCAGGGTACGGAATCAACCCAGCCAGCGCCATCGCTACAAGGGCTCACTGTCAGGGCACTCTTCAGCGGCAATCTCAGTCACACCGCATGCGCCCGATTCACATGGCCGCCCAAGTAAAGTCAGGTCATTGGCTGTGGGATACTCGACCTCGAGGACCAAACTTCCCGCCGGCATCCCCCCCGATCCCCAACCACTCGGACTTGCCTATTATAACCACCGTTCGCAGTTATAGCCGATTGCCCGGCAGCATGCCAATCACTGCCCTCTCTTTGCCGCCCGGCCTACAGACACACACACACACACCCCCACCCCCTCCCTCTCTGGTTCTCCAATCTCATGGCATAATCCGAATAGAGGAAAGCCAAGATTGTTAAAGTGAAAAAGAGGGGGGCGGTCCCATCAGTCATAATAAGAGCATATATTATCAAGTTTGGCACCTGGCATGTTTGAGAGGCTCAGGTGTAACCGACGTCGCAGGCTGACGTACAGTCAATCCCAGACTGGTCCGTCCGTCGACAGCGCCGCCGCCGCCGTGGGGAACAGGGTTATTACTATACGAATGGGCGAGTACTGCAATCTTGCCATGCCGATCTTGTGAAGAAAGAACCCCTTGTTTGCCTTGCTTTCCCAAGAACAAAGTAAATCAAGTACAATAAAGTCACTCATTGTTGTGGAGAGCGCGATCATCGCCCCGTCCGTAGCCTCGCCACCCACCTCGGTCGCCGCCCGCCTTGTCCCTTTGCCACCAGAACCCGAAACTCGACCGCCGATTCTGAAACCCGAACGGCCCTCCGCCCCGGCCCTCTGCGGTTTAGTAAGAAAATGACACAAAATGACGAGGCCCCTGTATTACTGGTATTGGTATTGCTAGTTTATCCCTAGTAGTCGTGGTCGCCTGCCTGTTTTTGTAACTATTGCTTCTTTTGCTCCGACTTGGCTTCGACTGGCTAGTGCGCTTGCTTTCACGGCGGCGGGCTTGTCAGGACGTCGAGCCGACGTCGAATCACAGAGATGCGACGAACCGGCGGGAATTAAGTTTGAGGCGGGCGGGATGGATGAGATCGAATAATGGATCCGGTCTGTCAGATATTATGCCCTATAATTAGGGACGGAACTTTATACGTGCTCCTGTGTATTATACTGGTCAACAAGATGAATGTTGAGTATATCCTAGTTGAATTCTCCTTTACACGTAATAAATTGCTAGTCTTGACGACGCCACCTGGCTCCAAACTTGCCTACAACGAGTCCACTAGACAGGGCCATTCGTCCTTCACGCCTGGTGGTAATCACAATAATAAGTTAGCCTAGGGAATGATTTCCCGTCCGTCAGCGATGCTGTACGTGGCCACCTCCCAGGTGCTAAACTGATCACCGGGTGCTTTCCCGTCGAAACGATGCTCCTCCATCTTATTGCGCACATACCAAAGCGCACGTTCGCTTAAGGTCTCCCAGTCGGGGCATGTGCTGAGGGCCTTGCCATCACTTCTGAGCTTTTCGTACGCTTCCGTGACCCACGACCGGCATGTCCAGCCAGGCACATTCGGGCGTACAGGCACACTTCGCATAATTGACTCGACGCGGTCCATGTTCTGGACCTTGGCGGCAAAAATTCGGATAAGGATCATATTAGTGGCCGCGGTACTAATATTGACCTCGTTATACTGCCATTTCGTCAGGTGCTGCTTGGCATGATACCGCGTCGCTCTAGTATTTTGGTCCTCATGTTTAGGCCCAACGAGCAGGGCCCAGTGGTACCTAGATATTATACGTATTAGACGACATTCTAGACGATGCGGTAATCTGTCTTGGTACTTACCCGTCGCCTCCCCGAGCGTAGAGGGCAAGATAGAGTCGAGGCTTATCCGACGGCATGGCGACACAGGTTAACGAGTTACAGCGGCTCGTAAAGACTGTAGTTGTATAATGTTCCAACTCAACCGTAATGATAAGGAGCAAGTTAGGCTGGGAGGAAGACAGTGGACGCTGGCAACTTTATATAGCAGCACTTGAACAACCAGACAAATATGCCTTGTTCCCGGCCGCTGAATGTGGCCGCTTTTGCAAGTGTCGTAGTGGTTGGCCGTTGTGACTGGCCATATGCCACCCTCATGCACCTAGCCGCCCAGGCGGTTGCATGATGAGGACCACAACATGCAAGGGCTGCACTTGGAGGAGAGCGGCTGGTGGTACCATTTAGTTATTGCGCAGTTCCTGGCGCATCGAGCTACAAAAGAGTTTCGCAGTGTATTACAAACCCCTGTCATTGATGCTGGCCACACGCGACAACTTCGTCCTAGGTACCTACACGCGTGAGGTCTGTTTTTTAACAGGGCACTTGGGACACGTTGTCCGTTCAGCATGTAAATTTCCCCTGTCACAACGCTGTCAGGTGTCTGGCACGGCTTATAAAAAATAGAACAGTTTTTTAGCAGCCTGATAGTGTTGTGATAGGGGAAAATTATAAATAAGAGGCCTATCCTAGGTACCTATGCGCCTGTCACGTGTGTTGGAACGGCCCGCCAACGGGCGAAAGCCCCTGACCCAGCGTCTGCGACATCCAGCTTCATCAGCAACTCGCTCCCTCCATCTGCCTGCACGTCGAAAGCAGCCATGTCATCTCAACCCTTCAATGACGGGTTTATCGTGCGATGGGCCGTGATTATCCTGTATAAACTCTTCTCCATCCGATGGTTCCTGCGACTCTTCCCGCGGGCCGGCCCCGTCATATTCTTGTCTTCCAGGATCTGCATCAAGTCCTCACCCTTCACCTCGCTCGCCGAGGCATCTGCGATGCGCCTCGTCGCTAAGCACACCACTGTACCTGTTCCTAAGGTATGCGTCAAGTCCACACCCTTCACCTCGCTCGCTGAGGCATCTACAATGCGCCTTGTCGCTAAGCATACAACTGTCCCTAAGGTATATAGCGCATTTGAGCACAAGGGGAGCGTCTTTATTGTTATGGAGCATATCGACGGCGTTATGCTTGCTCGAGGCTGGCTCAGGCGCACGCCCGAGTCACGAAATCGCATCCTCGAGAGTATCCGAAGCATGATCCTGCAGATACGCCAGATACCAGCCCCGGGGCACGGCGTATCGAACGTAGATGGGGGGCCTATATATGATGGCAGGCTGCCTGGGCCAAACTTCTGGGGCCCTTTTCAGACCATCCACGACTTCCATCGAGAGCTTCGCGGTGGTGTAGACGAGCCAGCGTATGATGGCACCGCGATACCAGAATTCGGCCCTCTTATCGACTTCCACAATCAGCAATGGTCGTCCCCTATCTTCACGCATGGTGATCTTAGTTCTTTAAACATTTTAGCTCGTGGTGACGAGGTTGTCGGTATTATAGACTGGGAAACAGCGGGATGGATGCCTCCATACTGGGAATACACGTCTGCCTGGCATGTCAATCCCCAGAATCAGTTTTGGCAGCAAGAGGTAGACCGATTCTTGGAGCCGCTCCCGGAAGCACTGGCAATGGAAACGATTCGACGCAAATACAATAACGACTATTGACAGACTGCCAGTTCGTGAATGCTACGACACCATTATTGTTCTACTCTATCCGTGCTGACTGGTCTGACAGATGTGATCTATTCAACATGTGACGTAAATGAGACGTCGACGTCGTATGAAGTACCTTTGACATGCTGGTCTGCCGGGACAGCACTGGGTGGCTGTTACTGGCTGGTATGAAAGGCCAGATACCAGACAAAGCAAGGCAGAAGTGAGAATGAGGAAGAGAATAAATGGAGAGCATGTAGACTCGCATTTGCGTGAATAGGGTTGACTCGTGACGACTCGCCATGTCATGCAGCTCGTTATATCTACCGGTTTTATTGTTTTATTGATACTTGACCGATCGATGTTGCAAGGGTCGTAGTAGGTAATAGTGTTGGAAAAACGTCATTGGTCTGGTTGCGAATGAATTCACTAATAAATTCAACCATTGATGGGCTACCTTGACAGCACCGTTGGTTGATGGGAATGTTGTACCCGCTAATAGCTTTTATTTCCTTTCGCATCCCCATCCCCTGATCAAAGCCGTGTTCGAGTATTTGCCATTTGAAAAACACCCCTTTGTCCTGCATGCGCCAGTTACGTGCATGTGTTATGTTAATATCAAATAATATAAATATCAACTGTTGATCCTCGTTCTCTTGTCGGGGGGGCCCTTGATTCGCGAGTGCGCATTGAAACAAAGCCCATGGCGCATTTCCATTTTTCGCCCATTTTTTTTCTTTTTTTCGTTGTCCTCTTTGGATGGGATGGGCAAGTTGTTGACAAGGCCCAACAAAACCCCCATGACCCCTATGACCTGCATCGTCATCAACTAAAAAAGCCCGCGGTGGAACGCGAGCAAGCGAGCGAGCGACGCTATCTCGCCCACATGCCCACTACACTAATTAATGATATGGATGCCAACGTGCCTCACTATTTGCTCCAGTTTACCAGGCACCATGCATGGGCTTGGTCGTTTCAGTCGCCGGCCACTACTGAGCAGAACTGCAGGGTCGGGCATCAGCTTTGCCTCGAGGGCTTTCCCTCTTTGGGTGAAATTCGGTCATGAGCTAAATTGCAGAATCAATGGGATGGGCGGGCAGTGCAAGCATTGGCGTCCTCTGTAATCTGTACAGATTACGGAGAGCAGATTATATAGTTAACACTGCAGATATCGCGCGCGGATTGTGCTCTTTTGTGGCGAACGCCTCGAAATGAGCCTGTGGGTTGCCACTTGCCAGAGCCGCAATTGTTGGCCGCAGAAGGAGGCGCAGGAAAAACGTCGCAACTAAATTTGCAGAGTGCGACGACTGCTAACTACATAAACTGCATGCCATCGGCAGTGATGGGACTGCAGCTGCATACATATCTGTAGCCTGTACGTCCGTATCGACTCTGGTAGTTCTATTTTGGACGTCATTGGCGAGCTTTGGACGCGAGCTGAGTGACCCCTTTCGCACTTGGATGCTGACGGCGCATCGACAACGGGGTTTGGCCCAGTTCTTTGTTTGATCTGCTCGAAAATCCAGAAATGTGCACAGGCCAGCTCTGTCTCTAGCTTAAAACGGAGCCAAGGATTTGTGCTCCGTCGGTAGCGATCGCTCCATGCAACCCGCTTGGACCGAGGGGGACGGCCGACGTGGAAGCCCGTCTACCGGTAAGCACGAGCACGAGCACGAGCACGGCACGTCCCGTAGCGTCCGGCTGGTGTTGGATATTGGAGATATTGCTGTCGAGAGTCGCTCTGTGTCTCTTTTTTCCTTTTTTGACGTGACGAATTCTGGCTCTTTGCGTCTTCGGCCGGCCGTTGTTGTCGTTGAGCTATGATGCAGGTTATTGAGGGGCATGGAACAAGCCACATGCAGGACAGCAAGCCATGAACCTGGCTCGATGCCGGCAGGTAATAGTGTAATATGTAGTGTAATAGTGTCATGGCACATCCGAGTAGCGTTTGGATGTGCATGACAAGCGACCCAGTGGTGCATGGCGCTACCGAGCATGTGCGCTGCTTTGCGAGTGCTTGCGTCGTTGCTTGCTTTTTCTTCTTCTTCTTCGTAACCAAATACCAGGAGCAAGCCGGGTTTCCATAGTGCGTGCTGTGTCAGTATGCTGCAAAGGCCCGTCACACATCACATTGCAGTCCTGCGCGCTGTCCGTCACATGTACGGCAGCCTGTTGTCGACATGGCCGGCAGTACGGATACGTATGTAGGTATGTAGCGTTGCATTCGTTTTTTTCGTCCGTGAGCTGCCTAGCTCAGGATACTGGAGAAATGTCTCGGTTCTGGAAAAGGCTGAGGAAGGGGGACTGTTGAACAATGTGAGGCTTGTTGGACTGGTGGTGCGCCACTGCGGAGAACAGGAGCGAAAAGAAGGAGAGCCAGGCACCTAACTAGAATTCGTGATTCTCGGCAGCCTGCCCCCTGGGTCATCGGAGCCGACAAGGTCTGGACACCAAGGACTGTACACGCACGTCTCTCTCGACGTCGTTCAAGTTTGCCGAGTCCCCCTCCTTTTTTCTTTTCATGTATCTTTCAATCCCCATTGTCTCTTTTTTCTCTCTTTCTTTTCCCGTCGCTTGCAGCCCGGCCCTTGCCCTTGTGCGCCATTCATTCATTTTACCTTGACAAGTACCCGTCCGGCTTGCACGACCAACGACGGCCCGCGCCAGGTTGAACCGACGGCAGACAGCCCCAGCCTACCTATGCATAAGTTACAGGCATCGGCACCCATTCTTATTACGTCGACGCGCATACCGGGTGCTGCACGAGTTTCGAGAACAAGAAACCAGCTTGTCCAGCAGACGGGCGAGCCCAACTGAAAGCCTGATTCAAGTACCGGCCACTTCGCACACAACGACGCTTCGCACACGTTGCGACGAGGCTACGAGACAAAACACAAAAGCTCGGCGATACGCTACTGTGTAGGCTGTTTCTTTTTTTTTTTCTTGACTCGTCGCCCGTTCGTCAGCACTCTACTTGCGACTAGCTGAGTCGCGCAAAAGTTGTTGACAGCTTGGTTCCTTTCCCCGCACCCAGCATCCGTCCAAACGGTGCCGTTCAGCCGCTCTATTCTATTCTTGTCGAATCTCGGATCGAAAAAAAAAAAAAAAACCAGTATAAACACAGAAACCTCCCAACAGACCACGCCAAGGACGAAGCAGAAATCGGCAGCTCGACAAGTCAAAACTTGGTCGGACGATTGGTGCCCGTCGAAATCGGCTTGTGGAAAGCGGGCTCTCCATGACAGAAACAGTCGGGCTAGCAGCAACAGGACCCAGAGGTGGTCAGGGTGGTGGCAGCAGGACAGGCACCGGACAGGCTATTGGCCGCGCTATCTCAAGCCGGCGATCCGCTGGACAGGCCAAAGAGCCGCAAGGGTTTTCAGGGCGCTGTCGGGGCAGTCTGGCACTGCGAGGTTCAGCTCCAGCGCCCGTGGCTCAGGGCCATCATATCCCCGGCTCCACTGAAACCGCCCAAGACGCCGCTGAAGCGCTCCCTGCAACTGCCACTGCAACGGCCACCGCAGCAACAACAGCGGCCCGCCTCGCCAAAGCCCGCCTCCCCGTCTCGTCGAGCGTCTCATCCTCAACGGATCCCCAGTGGCCCTCGTCCGCCTCCTCGCCGCCCTCGCCGTCCCTCCTCCATCGACCGCCTAGGACCTACCTCCGGACGCGAGCCTCGTCCTCCCTCGCCGCCGCGCCTACTCGTCCTCTCTCCCACGCCGCCACCACCACCACCCCCGTCACCGCCCGCCGTTCTCGCCGCCCGTCCGACGACTCGGCCATCTCCCTCGACGACTACCACCACAGCAGCAGCTCGCCCCCGCCAGGCTCCTCGCCCCCCTCCAGCGTCGGCCACGATCGTCAGCCATCATCGCCCTCGGCCGCCGCCGACTCCAAGACGGCCTCTTCGGCATACCGTCGCCGTCGCCGTCGCGCCTCGTCCTTTGACCTCGCGCCCGCCGCCAGACCGCGTCCGCGTGCCTACTCGGATCAGGGGCCGCGTTCTGACGACGTCTCCCGCCCGCCCCAGGCCTTTTGCCTACGCCGCTCCTCGAATCCTGAACCGCTGGTCGGTCCTGATTCCCGCCTCTCGCCCTCGTCGTCGCACTCGAGCCTCCGGTCCAGATCCTCCCGCGAGCCCGCCTCGTGCAGCGCCAAGGGCGTCTCGACCTCGACCGGCCCGCCGCTGTCCATCAACACCCGTTTGCTCGACGGGGCCGCCCACGACGCCAGAAACGCCGCCCTCCACCAGCACCACCAGCAGCACTACCAGAATCACGCCCAGCCTCGCCTTATCGCCGCCTCCCGACAGCTTCTGCCGCTCAAGACGGCCGCCGCCCACGCATCCTCACCTCCCGATGAAACCAGGCGCCGCTCCTTTCAACAACACTCGTACCGCCTGTCCCTGACCGGCTCCCTGCCTTCCAACGCGTCGCCCATCCGTGTTCCGCCCATCCGCTCCTTTCGGTCCTCGGGCTCTCGCAAGAGCCTACAGAGCGCCGACATGAACTTTACTCCCCGTCCCTACGACCTCGACGAGAGTGCTGGCCCTTCCATCTACGACCAGGACCCTGCCCACGCTGCCACTGCCGGCCCCTACGACAGGCAGTCCAGGTTAATGACCCCGCCCGTCTCAAACCGTCAGGCTGTCAACAGCGAAGAGTCTGGCGACGTGTTTTTGCGTCTCGCCCGCGAAGATGCCGTAAACCGCTCCGCTAACGGCCGAACCCCCGACGGCACCTATAGCCCAGTGTCCGCCACGCATCGCTCCTGGCATCGTCGGCCGCTGTCCACCAATCTGACCTCTTCTTACCAGCCGCTCTCACCTCCCAAGCTGAGCCGCAGACTGTCTGATCAGCAAGAGCGGCCGTTTTTGGGCAACCTGGACGATGACCAGACCAGCCAAACATCTCGCATCTTGCAATATCGACCCTTCGGCAGGGAAAAGGCTGCATCTGCTCATCCCGGGGAGAGTGCAAGCCAGTTTACCCCGTCACCCCGAACTCACCGCCCACCTCCCGTCTCCTCTCGCTCTCCTGTCTATCACGACAACTCGGACAACTATCGTCATACCCGTCGCCGATCCTCTGTCACAGAAAGCACACCGCCCATCTCTGGCAGAGGGCAAACGTACAAGACGGGTGCTGTGCACAACTATTCCAAAACATACAACTCGTCGCCTTTGGTGCGTTCATTCGACCTGCCCCCGCCACAGACCCAAGAGCCTCAAAATGTCATCGAAGGCACAGAATCCACTGCGTCGACTACGGCCCCTTCCACAATGTGGGACGAACTCGACGTGCTGAAGTCAAGAATTAATCGCCTTGAAGTCACTGGAAAGCTGCCTTCTACGTCTGGTGCGGCAGTAACAAAAATATCCGACGAGCGGCCCGTTACAGCCGGAACTACAGCCACGACCAATTCGACCTCACCAAAACGCCAAATCAACTTGCAAACCGACGAGACGGCGTCCGTTTCCACGCAACGAGAAGCCTATCCGATTTTGCAGAATGCGCTGGCCAACTGCAAGCTGAACCTCAGTTCCCAGGTCTATCTTGCCTTGGACTGTGTGGCGCAGGACGCGCTGGGCCTATCGGCCGCCATGGGCCACGGCCCGATCCCCAGCGGTGCCAGCACCATTGGCACCGGAAGCACGGCCACGGATCGTCAGCTCCGGCGCAAGGCCGAGAGTGTGTGTCGGAGCCTCACCGAGCTATGCATCACCCTCAACGACGAGGCAGCCTATCGAGCAAACACCAGCCAGCAGCAGGTGCAAGCATTCACACCGGGCACACCCTTGACGCCGACGCTCCCCAAGTCGCACAGCAGCGGCCTGCCTGTTGTTCGACGCTCTAGTGTAATCGAGGGCAACATGGCGCTGCCGCACTCGAGCCCACGCGTTATGTCCAGGTTTGAGGAGCGCCGCCACTCTCTCCTCCTCGCATCCGGCCCGCCCGTGTCTCTGCACGCTGCCTCCCACGTGTCTGTACCCAGTGATGTCGCTCTCAACCGCCACTCGTCGCTCCTTGTGTCTCGTACGCGTCAACCCCGCCAGGACGACCCCGACGACGGTCGAGAGTCTGTTCTCTCGCGAACCCGCCGCGCCATGACGGAAGAGCCCGAGGACCACCGCAAGAGCACCTTTTTAGCCCGCAGCCGTCGTGGCACCGCCGAAGACATGGACCAGCAGCTCCCCCTGTCACGCTCCCCGACGCGGCGCACCGTGACCATGGCCTATCAGCCCGCCAACGAGCACGCCCTCGACATGGATGGCACCCCCGACAGGCACGACACGTCATCGGTCGTGTCGTCGGCTACCTCGCGCCGGCGACTCGTCTCCGACATGCACCACCACACATCCCGCCTGGCCGGACCGATGGGAGCGAGTCCTGCGCCGGCGCGCAAGTATCTCGAACGAGCCGTCTCGACGCGCGAAGGCGCCGGCACGCCTACGATGGAGCGCCTCGCACGCCACGCCTCGATGCATCATAGAGCGGGGAGCCAGTCGTCGCGCAGTAATCGGGAGAGTATGTTGCCGCGTCCGCCAAATGGTAATATGACCTTGAATGGATCGCCATGATTGAACGTCTTACCATGTTTTGTGGAATTGACACGTGGCTGGTCTATTCTGCTGAATTGATCCTGGCCAGTGTACTGAACTGATGTGTGAATTTTTCGGCGTTTTCTTGACGACGAGGCAGGTTCGGTCCTTTTGTTGACGACTTGCACATGTTTTCTTATTTTTCGTTTCCTGTACACTTTTTTTCTTCCTTTTTTTTTTCTTTTTGTTGCAACTTGTTCAATGCTGGCAAGGATGATTGTTTTCACTAGAAATATGTTCCCCCAATAACGATGTCAACAACCAAACTCTTCAAACGACTCATCCCCTTTTTTTTTTTCACGAGGCTTTCAGATATCATGATGAAGAAAAAGAACGCTTGGGTTTTTTTCCGGGTCTTTTCCCTTTTTATTATACTATATGAGCTTATTACTGCATGATGGTTTTGTATGGACTCGTCCTACTTGTATAATGGAGTGCTTGTACTGGTGCTTTTTCTTATTCACGAGTTTGGATTTTCCCACGCTGTTTTTTTTTCTCCGTGACTTTGAATATGTGAATTGCGCATGGTAAACACGCTATATATTGAAATGCAATAGATTGAGTGCCGACAGCCCTAAAATACGGACACTTGGCCACGGCCCGCGCCAACGGCCTTGACGCGCGCACCAATATCCAACGGATCCCCCTCTGTGACGACAAAGTGGCGTCCCGCATGGTCCGCGGGCTCGTCGATGCCCAGAATCGTATACACATTCGTCGACACGATATCGAGCGCCTCGCGCTTCGAAATCTTGCCGTTGCTGTTGCGCCACGCGACGCCCGCTTCAAACGCGAGGTCACGCACGCGCCACTCCTCGTCGAGCCCCGCGGCGACGACGACGCCCGCGGCCACGAGGCGGTCAACGACGGTGCCGTTGTCGCGCGGCGCGCCGACGAGCGCGCGGCGCGTGTCCCAGGACGTGCCGAGCTGCTGCAGGGGTGTCAGGACGACGCCGACGTGCGCGGCGGCGAGGTCCGCGGCCACGAGGTGCGACTCGGCGCCGCCAATGATGGCGAGTCGCAGAGGCGAGGACGTGGCGGCGTCGACGTCGGCCTTGACGCGCAGCGCCGAGGCGATGCCGTCCGCGGACGAGATGCTCAGCGCGAGGACGAGCTCGCCCGCGACGACGCGGCGCAGGTACGCGGCTTCCGCGTAGGCATCTGTCGCGTTGCCGTTCTCCTGGGAGGCAGCAGCGGCCGCTTCGAGGAGCTTGCGGCGGAGGTCGCCAAAAGCCTCGGCGTAGCTCTTGCCAGCGCTCTTGGCGCTGCTGTCGAGCGTGTAGTGTACGGCAGCGTCGTTGGCAAAGACGGCGCCCTTGTCGATGCTCGTCGCGGCCGTGGTCAGAAACGCGGCGCTGACGCCCAGAGGCCCGCTGTTGCCGAGCGGCGGCGACACGGCGCGCGTGACGCCGTACTGTCCGGCGACGCCGAGCACCTTGCCGCCGAGCTGCAGGCCGTCGACGGCGCGCGTAAAGGCGTCGGTGCGGCCGTTGTTGGTCGAGTCCTCGGCGGAGATTTCCACCAGCCCGAGGTTGCCGTAGGCGGTAAACGCCTTGTGGATGTGGCCGTTTTTGAGCGCGACAATGGGGGTATCGCTGGCGGCGGCGGTGCAGGTTCCGACGCAGGAGATCTTGCCCTGCTGCACGGCGATGCTAAAGGGCTTGCCGGCGGCTTTGGCAGCAGCAATGGCGGCGGCATGCTCAGGAATGTCCAGGAGCACCTTGCTAATGCCGGTAAACAGCACTGACTCGACCTTCACAGGCTCCTCGGGGGGCATGTCGCCTAGGCTGGCATCAGGCTTGATCGGGCCGCGACGGTCCTTGTCCAGCTCCACCGGCTTGGCAAACTGCGCGACGCCGTCGATCCAGACCTGCACGGGTGCGGCGCCGACACTGAGCGGGTCCGAGTCCCAGAGGGCGAGGTCGCCGTCAAAGCCGGCTTTGACTTTGCCGAGCCGGCGCCCGAGTCCGAGCAGCTCCGCCGGAGCCGACGTGACGCTGGCGAGCGCGGCGTGGTACGGGAGGCCCCAGTGGTAGCCCTTGGCGGCCTCGAAGAGCACGTGCTGCGCGTTGAGCACCGGGTTGTCCGACACGTAGACGGTCGTCAGACCCGCGTCGTACAGGTACTTGCCGGCGTGCTCGGAACCGACGTAGGCTTCGGCCTTGTAAAACATGTTGTCGGCGAAGAGGGCCGAGGCGGGGGCGCGGCCGCCCCAGGTGCGCTTGAGAATCTAGTAGAGTGTTAGTAGAAGATGAAAAGACGAAGGGCGGGTGAAGAGCATACCTCGGGGACGAGGTAGGTCTGGTGAGCGTGGTGAAAGGCGCGAATGGGAAACTGAAACTCGTTGCTGTGGTCCACCATGGCCTCGAGGTCGGCGATCTTGTAGCAGTGCGTGTTGACGTGCACATGACCGCGCAGCACCGCGGCCAGCGCCTCCCACTGCAGATCCTGCGGGAGGTACTCGTCCATGTTCTCGGCGCCGACAGCCTCGGCCTTGCGGCACCAATCGTCCTGCCTGGTGACGAGACTGCGGGCCGTCTCGAAGGCGCGGCGGAAGCGGTACGACTCGCCCATGCGGCTGTACGGTGCCTTGTCGATGCCGCCGTGCACGCGCTTGGCGTTTTCGCCGCAGGCCATCTTCATGTACCGCCAGGTGCGGTCCGGGTCCGCGAGCATGTCGGCGGCGGACGTCTCGGCGCGGCCGTCGGGTTTGCCCACGGCGTGCTTGACAACGTACGCCTCGCCGCCAATGTTGTTGCCGGAGCCGGGCAGAACGAGGGACGTGGTGACGCCGCCCGACTTGATGACCTGGATCTGGATGTCGTCGGGGTGGATGGCGTCGAGGGCGCGGGCCCACGGGGTGATGTCGTCGGACATTTCGTTGGTGTCCTCGTCGCCGTCGAGGCCGGGCAGGGGCCCGACGCCCGCGTGGCTGTGCATGTCGATGATGCCGCTGGTGAGCAGCCGCCCGTGGGCCTCGACGACGATTGTGTCGGCGGCGAGCGAGCTGGTGGCAATGGCATCTTGCACCCGCTGGATGAGGCCGTACTGGACGTAGACGTCGCCGGAGATCCATTCCCAGCCTTTCCCGGCGCGCGCATCCGCCTCGCTTGTACCAGCGACCGGCTCGCCGACCCAGATGGTGGCATTCTTGATAAGCGTGGGCTTGCCGCCGTCAACGTAGCGGGCGCTGCGCTCACGCCCGAGCCCGATGGGATCTTGTGGCTTGGTCTGCAGCGTCTGGCAGGTGGCGAGGTCGGCGTGCAACTGCGCCTCGGAGAGCCGGGGTGCGGCGCGGTCGGCGTACCATACCTGCTTCCACTGCGACAGCACGAGGAGCGCCAGGCAGGCAAGAGAGACGAACTTGATGGCGCGCGAGCGGCGGATGCGGCTGCCGGCGAGGCGTCGCGTGCTGGTAGGCAACGGGCGGTAGTCGCTGGCCGCGGCGGCGTAGGACGGCAGGCCGGATTTCTCGTCCATGGTTGACGGTCGGTTGTTTCTGGAGCTGTGTCCAGTTGAGGGAATAGGTACTGAACTGGGAGAGTGCTGTCACATCCGAGCTGGGGTTTGTTTGGCTACTTATACCTGGTCAAGTACTGGTGCCGGGACAATCTGGAGCTTGGGCCCGGTGGCGTTTGTGGGGGTGATACGGATAACAAGAGGAGGTGCCTGAATCGGCTGTGTTATATGTGCTGTAGATCTTTTCCGGGTGTCCATTTTAGAATTCTTCTGAACCGTCTAGAACACAATTCTCGCTTATCTTCTTTACTTGTTGCATGCCGAGGTTGATCGCTTTGATGCTTCCAAAGATAGACCTTTGAAGAGGCGAGCTGAACACTGATCAGACTCCCAGCTCTCGTCTCCAGTGGCGTCACCTTAGACACTAATAATGACATGGCCGGTAGCGGGTACCAGAACCGGTGGTGAGCTTCCCGAGACAGATACGGATCTTTCAGTAACTAGTCAACTAGTTCAAGTGTACAGATTGAGTACGAACTTATATATTCGGTATTACAAAATGTTCCTCATTCTTCTACGTTGGAACTACTCGGTGTTCTCCTCCAAGTCGAGCTAATGACTCCGGATGCCGCCACCTTACTTCATCATGCCGTCGCCTCGGGCTAATCTTTAGGTGCTTTATTGCATCTGTGCATTTTAATCCATATATGAAGTACATATATATCATATCGTCTCTCTGGTGGTCTAATGGTACGAAGTGGCACGCCCCACTCAACGAGCTTATCCGCATGACGTCGGGAAGAGATTCATGCGGTGCGCTTGATTTGTTAGGTTCTGATGCTTTTATTAAAGTATGTAAAGAGAAAAACACAGTCTCCCAAGTTTCCCCCTTTCCCCTATTCTACGGTAAATGGAATCAGTACGGGTTTCAGGTTGCTTGCTACAGAACCAGCGGTCAGCCCCACTACAAACGGACATCGCGGGGCTGGGAATTGGATAGCGTCAGGTGAGATGATCGCCACAAACGCCAACAACCGACTCTCTTCCTCACTCATCCGGCTCACTTGCCAATTGATTCCTTCACATTGCATCCGGCATCCTCGTAGCAGTGGCCGCACAAGAACTTCGCCACGATGCGGTCGATGGAGGAAACGCAGTACGTACCGCCACCGCTCCAAAGCGCCACACTCACTGACCTGCGCAGGGTGCGATGGGAGGCGACCATCAAGCACTGCACATCCGTCTCCGATCTGCAGCGTGCCGTCAGAAACTACGGCCCGTCCAGTCCGTGTCTGTCCGGCTGCCGCTCCGTGTGCTGGAGGGTAGGCCGTGTCTCATTTCCTGTAGGCCTTAGCTGACGGTGATAGGTCTTTCTGTTATTTCAAGAGACGGGCACCGACAGCTGGATACAGACGTTGCGGCATACCCGCGAAACATATACAGAGCGGCGAGACCATTTTCTGCGCTTTATCCGCCACCCCGAGTCCCTGGCCGAGGTCAGCTCTGATCCCCTCAACGATGATCCCGACGTAAGCGCTTCACGCCTCACGCCTATTGCTAAGCTCCCTAACACGTCTTAGTCGCCATGGAACACGCTCCGCCAGGACGAAGTGATTCGCGCCGAAATCGAACAGGATGTGAAGCGTCTGCCCGACGAGGCCAACTACCACGACGCCCGCATCCAGCTGCTCATCCTTGACGTCCTCTTCCTCTACTGCAAGCTGCACCCCGACCGCGGCGGCTACCGTCAAGGCATGCACGAGCTCTTGGCGCCTATTGTCCATGTCCTGGAGCAAGATGCCGTCAAGCCTGCATCGCTCGTCCAAGACGATCTGCTCGATGGCGCCATGCTGGAAACGCTCGACGCCGCCTACATTGAGCACGATGCCTACGCCGTCTTTGCCAGGCTCATGGAGCGCGCGCAGTTCTTTTACGAAGTCAAGGAGGCGGTGCCGGGGACACAGTCGCCGCAAGAAACCAGCTCGGCAATTGTCGAGAGGAGCAAGCATGTGCACCAAGTCTTGCTCCGCAAAATTGACCCTGATCTTGCGGCCCATCTCACCAATATTGAAATTCTGCCACAAATTTTCCTCATGTAGGTTAGGTATTCCGCCTCTCGACAAGTGTTTTCGCTAAGTCTTGTAGCCGTTGGATACGCCTGCTGTTTAGCAGAGAATTCCCCTTTAACCAGTCCCTCACTCTCTGGGATACCCTCTTTGCATTCGATCCGTCACTCGACCTGATCGATTTCGTCAGCTGCGCCATGCTTCTTCGCATCCGCTGGCAGCGTACGTCTTCCAAACAGCTCCCTCTTCCGATACTGACAGCGCGCAGTCTTGGAAGCCGACTACTCCGTCTGCCTCCAGCTCCTCCTCAAATATCCCGCCCCGGACCCGCAACACGGCCCGCACACCTTTGTCGACGACGCCGTCTACCTGCGCAGCCACTGCGACTTCCCCGGCGGCGCCCACATCATTGCCCAGTACACGGACCGATCTCCTGCGACGCCGCGTGCTCTCACCATCAGCCCCACCGCCGCCGCCGCGCGTCGCAGCCTGGAAAGCATCCGGCAGCGCGCGCTGCGCAGTGGCGGCGGCGGCGTCGAGGAGCTGCTCCAAGGCGCCGCCAAGAGCGCCCGCGCCGCGTATGAAAAGGGCGAGCAGCTGGGCATCAACCAAGCCGTGCGCGAGGCCATGGGCGAGCTGCGCCGCAACATGCAGAACCTGAATGACGCCAGGGTCGCGCCGCCGCGGGGAGGCGAAGTGGCAGCGGCGGCGGCCCTGGACAGACGCAGCAAGCAGCTAGCGCGTTTCCTAGGCGAGACAGTGGCAGACCTCAAGACGCTGTCGGCTTCAAACCTGGAGGACAAGGTCAAGAGCCTGCAGATGCTCGAGGTGGCCGCCGCCAAGGTGCAATTTGTGCAGATTTATCTCGAGGACTCGACCATGGATGTCCCGCTGTTTCAGAGTGATGAGTCTCGCGCGTCGGAGGAGGCGGCAGCGGAAGCCACAAGTGAGGAATTGGGGAAGAGGGATGCAAAGAAGCAGAATGCAGCTATGAAAAAGAGTGCCAGAACATCACCGCAAGTTAAAGGAGAGGGTGCGGAAAAGATGACGGTTGATACGCCACCAGCTGTCCCGGAGAAATCGGCCCCGACAGAGAAGAAGAAGCTCGTCACTCCGACGGAGCCTGAAACTCCCGACTCCTCAGCGGCAAGCAATCACCCTACCACGCCAGCGCGACCTGAGGCAGCGCAAACCCCCCCAGAGACGCTGTCCAAGGACTCCCACGAACCAACAGAAGCAGTCCCAGCACAATCAATAGAGACCCCCAGCCAGCTAGTCCCCCCCGTCGCCCGACCGCCTCTCCCCGCAGTCCCCACGCGGTCCACGATTGCCCAGTCGTCCTTTTCGTGGATGCTCGAGCCCGACGAGTCCACGCCCTCGGCGGCGGCGGCGGCGGCGGGCAGCAAGTCGCCGCAGCTGGGATCAAAGAAGCGCATCTCCAACAACATGAGCCGCGAGCGCAACGCGTTTCTCTTTGGAGACGGGGAGGAGGACGCGGTTGGCAGCAAGCCGTTGGCGGCGCATGGCATCTTTGGGCTCGAGGCCATGGGCAAAGTCAAGGGCAATTGAGATATGACACCCTGAGACGAGATGCATGTTGTGTCATGTTGGTATTTCTATAGACAGGTGTATATTTCATAGAGCATCTATAATATCTGGGTGTTTTTTGTAGGCACCATGTTTTCTACACTTGACCAGTTGACTGACGAAATTGATGACTTGCGGAAGTTGTAACCATTTCTCTTGCGTTTATCTCTTGTTGTTTATACTTACTGTTTCTTATCTTGCGTAACTTGATAATTCTTGAAATCTTTCTATTATATCATAATTAGTCATCCTTTTCATTCCCTGGTCAGGCTGCTGCCAGTTCTCCCGTCCCCTATTTCCGAATCACCGTCTCGCGCACCCAAAACGTGCACAAGAACGCGGCGCCGGCAAAGCCAAAGGCCGGCAGCAGCGAGACCAGCGTGGCGCGCTGGTAGCTCGCGCGCACAATCTCGGCGACCTCGGGGGCCAGCTCGCGGATGTAGTCCAGGTTTTGGCGGACGCGCTCCTCAATCTCGCGGGCGCCGTCGCCGGAGAGGCGGCTCTCGAGCTCGCCGCGGAGAACCTGCTGCAGGACGGCGGAGCAGACGCTGATGCCGATGCTGGAGCCGAGGGAGCGGAAGAGGTAAGAGCAGGCGACGACGACGGCCGTGTCCTGGACCGCGGCGTTAGCGAGCAGGCCGATGAGGGATGTCGTGACGCCTGTCAAATGTTAGCAGTCATTCTCTGAAACAGGACCGGTGAGAGTCGGGGACATGCCGGAATAAGCGCCGATGAGGCACAGGACGTAGCCCGTCTCCTCGAGGAGCACGTCCCGCCGCCACAGCCCCGCGGCCAGCACCGGCATCGCCGCAAACAGCAGCCCGAAGCCGGCCACGACGAGCCAGTAGAAGCGGCCGGTGCGCTTAATCACCCAGCCGGAGGCGATGGACGCCGCGACGCCGGTGACCATGCCGGGCACGAGCAGCGCGCCGCTCGCGGCGGCGCCGAACCCGTGCACGGCCTGAAAGTACAGCGGCAGGAAGAAGAAGGCGCCCATCTGGCCGGCCATGCTGAAGAAGTTGGCCAGGTAGCAGGCGACCAGTCCCGGCGCAAAGACGACGCGGCCGGGCGCAAACGGGTGCGCGGCCACGCGCGCCTCGACGTACACGAAAACGGCGAGCAGCGCCGGCGCGGCCACGCCCAGCGCGAGCACCGTCGTCCGCTGCGTCCAGCCCCCGCGCGCGCCGGCGTCGAGGCCAAATAGCAGCGCGAAAACGGCGCCGACGAGCGTCACGGCGCCGAGAAAGTCGACGCGCCGTATCTTGGCGAGCACGCGGTCCGAGGACGGCGGCGGGAGGTCGAGCGCAAAGTAGACGATGAGGGCGGCGACGACGCACAGCGGCGTCTGTCCAATAAACGACCTGTTGTTTTATTTTCTTCTTCTCAGCAAATTTGTCTTTGTTTGTCAGTGTGGTTGGGTAAGAAAGGGAACAGGAACGCACCACCGCCAGCCGATGGAATCGGCCAGCAGACCGCCCAAGGGGGCGCCGGTGGCGGTGCCGGCGGCATAGACGACGTTGATGTAGCCCTGCCAGACGCCGCGGTCGCGCAGAGGCACCATGTCGGAGACGAGGATGGAGACGACGGCGGTCATGCCGCCGCCGCCGACGCCGGCGACGGCGCGCGCCACGCACAGCTGCAGCATGGACCGGGCGAGGCCGCAGCCGAGACAGCCGAGCCCGAAGACGGCGTAGGCGAAGAGCAGGCACTCCTTGCGGCCAAAGATGTCGCTGAGCTTGCCGTAGAGCGGCTGGCAGCTGGTGAGGGTGAGGAAGTAGGCGGTGGCGATCCAGCTCACGCTGTCGAGGGCGTCGAGGTCGTTGCCCATCTTGGCGTACGAGGCGAGCGTGATGAGCTGGTCGACGGCGGAGAGCAGCAGCTGTGATGATGTATCAGCACTTGTACTGGCAAAACAGAAGAAGGAAAAGCTGGGAACAGGCAGGGGGGGGGGGGCATACACCGATGGCGACGGCGGGTAGGAGGACGTAGATGCGGTTCCCCAGGTCCTTGACGCCGTCGTCCTTGCCGCCGTTTGGCGCGCCACCGTTGCTTGTTGAGTGCGGCGCAGCGGCGGCATTGGCTTCCGGATCATGGCGGTCGTCGTCGTCGTCGTCGCGGGGCGCCAGCAGAGGCGACGTCTCGGAGCGGTCAGACTTTGTCATGATTGTGTGTGTGTTTGTAGGGTGTCTAGGTCGGCGGGGGGCGCGTTACAAGAGAGCAGGGCCTACGCGAGAAAACAGGGAAAAAAAAAAAAAAAAAAAAGGGAGCCGTGATGCTAGTAAGAAAGAGAGCAAAATATGCAAAATTACATGGCTGGATGGCGCCATGGCGCTGATGAATCTGGGGGTTGCTTATCTAGTGGGCGGGGGTGAAGGCCGGGAAGATGACCCGGACAGCAACAAATTGTCATGTATTATCACGACCAGTACAGAGGGTAGGTACATGCACGGATGATGAAGATGGATTGACCTGGAAAAGTGCAAGTATGTATGGGATTTTCTTTGTGCCGCATCGGACAGCTTTAGCCGGTCGAGAATCTGGGGTAAAAAGCAGGGTCGCATCGATGGTCGCTCACACGGTAGCCGTCGCAGAAGAGGGTATGCATGGGGACGGATGCGGCCTGTGCCTTTTTGATATTTGCCACGATGAGATGCAGACGATACATTGGAAACAGGACTTTGCTCTGCATTTTCAGAGACTTTGTCATGGGTGACGAAATGGGCGGTGTTGACCGAGGACAGTACGCGGCAACGTTACTCTGACGGTCGTTTGGAGGATCGAGGGTTCGTTTGTGAGGCTCTCTGCAATACCTGTTCGAGTTGCTTTATCAGTCCCAGCATTTCGATTGAACAGGGCCGGGTATGGTACCCCCCCCCTCTCGCTCCCCTAGCCCGCCCGCATCTTCATCCCGACACCTTCTTGTGTGAAACACTGGCACGGATATGGATGTAGTTGGTTCTACTCTCTTATCCGTTTGTCCACACTTTGGCCGTCGGGAATAAAAATGGACAATAAGGGTGGTCATCCAATGTCGTAAAGAGGAAATAGCGAGCATCGCCACGCCCAAACAGGGCTGGTTTCACTATCTAGCACTACACAGACAGAACAGGCCCAGCAAGGACCACTGCATCACCACTTACTTACTCACGTACCACAAGGAATAAGCGCCGTCCGACTCATGTGCCCAGGTCTGGCCTGGGCTTACATACATACATACTCGGCTCTCACCATTCCTTGCCCGGATCGGCTTGCCCGCCACGCTGCTCCTTTGAAAAGACGCGTCCAACGGCGGGTTGAGCCCGGCTATTACTGATTGGACCTTGAATGTCCTGCACTCCTCTCCCTTGTTCATACTGACGACAATGACGACACGTCTGCACAGCCCGCACCCCAGGATGCATAGTTCTGCGCGCGGCAACATCGGCAGTATAGCCAAGGAGAATGAAGAACAGCCCAGTAGTATAAATGCGCATTTTGCGACAACATCTGCAGTTACCAGACCAGCACTGCTTCTAACCCAGGTGGATACCATGGACTTGATCTCCATTGGATTGAGCGCCTGTCTCGAGTCAGCGCATTGTTACTACATTGTCGTCCGGGACTTGGCATGCCAGCATGAGCATTTACACGGCGAGTCAGGTGCAGGCTGTTCTCATGTAGTGCTTCTGTTCCTGTTGGCTTCTTTGACTGTAGGCAATATCCAGCATGACAACATATATATCAAGAGATACCCAGTGACTTGCACATAAACGCTCACAGCAACGACAGCCAACTGTTCAGTCACTCATTTATCCCATCTTCTTGCAGTTGCAATTCGCCCCCGTCGCCCACGGTATGAAAGCGCAAACCGCCCTCTCCTTCGCGGCCCTGGGCCGCCTCACCAGCGGCTGCCTCCTCCACGAGGAGCTCAATGGCGAGGAGCACACCATGGACCGGCGCCAAGCCTCCACCGCTGTATTCATCCCCATCGGTAAAGGAGACCGCTTCGAAGCCGGCGCCAAGGCACCGCAGGGCATCGGCTCCAGCCCAAAGGACTTTGACGACGACGCCGCCCTCTCCGTATTCAGTGTCGCCGAGGTCGAATCCGCCATCAAGGGCCTCCAGAAGACGTACCCAGACAAGATTCGCTTCGAGCCCGCCGCGGCCAAGACGCACGAGGGGCGCGACATCCACTACGGCGTCGTCGGCGGCAAGGAGCCGCGCGCCTTTCTCACCAGCGGCGTCCACGCCCGCGAGCGAGGCGGCCCGGACAATGTCTTGTACCTCGTCTCGGACCTGCTCTGGGCCGACAAGCAAAACACCGGCCTCACGTATGGCAATAAGAAATATGACGTGTCCCAGGTTCGAAAGATCCTCGACGCCGGCATCGCCGTCATTCCCGCCGTCAACCCGGATGGCATCAACCACGACCAGACGACAGACTCGTGTTGGCGCAAGAATCGCAGACCGATGCAAGGCGGCAGCATTGGGGTTGACATCAACCGCAACTTCAACATCTTCCGCGAGCAGCGCCTTTTCTCCCCGCAGGCCAAGCTCTCGCAGTCGGCTGATCCTAAACTGGACAGCTACATCGGGCCGCAGCCCGTCTCCGAGGCCGAGTCGCGCAGCATCACCGACGTGTTTGAGCGCGTCAAGTCGCTGTCCTGGTATCTCGACCTGCACTCGGCCCTTGGCCAGGTCCTGTACAGCTGGGGCACCGACGAGGCGCAAGTCGAGGATCCCACAATGAACTTTGCCAACAAAGCATTCGACGGCCAGAGGGGCGTGCCGGGGGACGCCTACAAGGAGTACATGGAGCCAGACGACTTCGCCGCGCAAAAGGCCATTGCCGAGAGCATGGCCACGGCCATGAACGGCGCCGCCCAGACGAAGCGGTACTCGGCCGCCGAGACGATTACGCTCTCCCCTGCCATGGGCAGCTCCGACGAGGCCATGTCCCGGTACTACAACGGCACCTGTGGTGCGAACCGCATCAACGCCTTGACCTTTGAGTTTGGATGGGGCAATGGGCGCCATGGCAAGCCGCCAGGCGCAAACAACTTCCAGACCATTTGCCACAACATCTTTTACCCCAATGCGACCGAGTACCGGGACAACGTCATGCATACGAGCGTGGGTATGTTGGAGTTTCTGCTCAACGCGGCTGGCAAAGCCGGCGAGCAAAAGGTGAAAAAGTGCGACAATAATGATGGACCGCAATCGCCCAGTACGCAGGCCCCCCCGGGCCCCGGGTCGGCTGAGAATAGCGATGCTGAGAATAGCAATGTTGCCAACAGCCCTACTCAGAACAGCCCTACTCAGAACAGCCCTACTCAGAACAACCCTGAGGAGAGCGGCCTTGCTCAGAATGATCCTACTCAGAGTGGCGATGCTGCAAATGGCCCTACTGAGAACGACCCTCCTCAGAACAGCCCTGCTCAGAATGATCCTACTCAGAGTGGCGATGCTGCAAATGGCCCTACTGAGAACGACCCTCCTCAGAACAGCCCTGCTCAGAAAGGGCCTACGCAGAATGGCCCTACCATGACGCCGTATCAACAGTGCACCCCCGCGGCGAGTGCGGCGGACGCCGCGTGTGGCCCAAGTGACAAGTCGTGCAAGGCCATGGTTACTCGAAAGGCCACTGACTGTATTTTACGTGCCAACTTTGTCAACGTGAACGCGACAGACCTTCAGGCGTGGATCCAGAAGGACTTTGACATGATCCGGCAGACTACCGGCCTCCAGTCCGCAATGGACGCCGACAAGTCTCTCAAAACCCAGCTGGAAAGCAAGCTTGACGCCGCTCAGAAGGATCTGGTTGAGAATTTTGGCGATTTCGAGTTCAGAGCACGAGTGGAGAAGCATTTCAAAGGCTTTGACGACGTGCCGGAAGTCGGCCTCGCCAAGAAGAAAGATACGACGTTGAATGTCGAGCTCCCCAAGGCGTTTTCAAAAGCTCAAAAGGACATTCTCAGGACGGACATGTTGCACCTGATCAAGACAACGTCCAAGGGTGAACCGGTATGGGGAATTGCAAAGGGCAAATCCGGTATCTAGGGAATAGAGAGCGCATTTCGAGACTCGAAGAGAGCGCATTTCGAGACTAGAAGAGAGCGCATTTCGAGACTCGAAGAGAGCGCTATTGTGATGGTCACAGAGTAACTAGTGAGGCGATCTTCAGGAGCCATTCAGCGCAGTGTGCTCCGTAGTATCATGTCGAAGACAGGATTTAGCCAACGGCACGTGGTGAAAGTGGCAGGTGGACGTGCTGTGGAGCACGTGACCCAGCAGTGCATATGGTAATTACAGTACGAAGTGTAGTATCATCACTCATGTATCAATAATAAAGGATCTGAGCATAAATAGTCATGTGCATGGGCCTGGACTCGAGATGAAGAAGGAAGGGAAAAAAAAAAAAGAAAAAACCCCCCAATCAGATGGGGGATGATTGGACTCGGCATGAATAGCTGAGATGGGCGATTCAGCGTGACAGGGGCGCGTCCAGGGCAGGGGGGCGGCAGCATGGGGGTGACGTCGGGACAGTAGGGGGGATGCATGAGAGTATTGAGATGAAAGCAAAGGGGGGAAAGAAAGGGAAAAAATAGTTAGGGCTGTGCAGGCAGGGTTTGAGTGATTTGAGTGATTTGAGTGAGTTTTGGGTATATTGCAACGTGTTTGAAATTGTGTCTGTGATGAATTTCAATCCATTGTTGAAGAGTGGCAGCGTCATGGCACTGGTGGCACTGGTACCAGTGCTGGTACCTTTTAGTACGCTGGCGGCTGGTACCTACCTACGCTGGCGGCCATCGGCCAAGTCAGTTGTCTCAGCAGGGGGACTCGAGACTCGTGGCACATGTTGGCGAGTCGATACAGGCGGGCTTGTCTTAGTTTTTTTGTGCAAACGTGGCAGTTTTTGATGTGGTTGCACTACGACGTTGGGGCTTTTGGGTAGCAACGTAAAAAGCGGTGTGTGTGGAACAATGTGAGGATTCTCTTTGAAAGCAGATTAGGGATAAAATGATAAAATATGCCAAGTCGAGCTGAGTGAAAGAGAGTTTTGTGGTGAATGTTGTAGGTAAGGTACAAAGTTCATGTGTGCTAGTGGTAATTTGTACCTACCTAGGTACCTCTGTACTCGGGCAAGTGGAGAAGGACGGGCAACTCTCCAAGGCCCGCCAGCCCAAATGCGCCTGATGAGTGATTGCAGGGAGGCAATCCGTCAATCCGTCCCGCCGCATCCCGTTGCATGGGAAACCCCTGCAATAAAGAAACTCCATTGCTTCCGCCTCGAGACCCGCCTGCCGCACGGCCGCCCTTCCTCTGCCCAGTGACAAGGCGGCCGTCGAGACAAAAGAAAAAAAAAGGGCTGAGCCGGGCTCCTCTTTTCCAGGAACCGACCAGGGAACCGACGTGCGTTGACTACAGATTACAGTTGGTAAAGAAATTTTGACTATTTTATGCTTGTGACAAGTGGATGACTACGGAGTAGTTTGCTGCTAGTTTTGCTGACAAGTTTTTTTTTTTCTTCCTTAATCCCGGCTCCCCGGCTGCCTCCATTTCTGACTGACTGACTGGCACGCTTCCAACCTCCGCCCCTCCCGATCCATCTCTGGCTAACCAAGTCCTGCTGTCCTGGTGGTCCTGGCTGGCTTCAAACGCCGCTCCCCAGCCTAACTAACAGGTAACCTCCAGCCTTCATACCTCTCGCATCATTTCGCATTATTCCCTCCCCTCGCTTATCCTCCCCATCTCCATTCCTTCAACCTGCGCCCATTCTTTCCATTGTCTCTTTCCATTTTTTCCCATTCTTTCCTTCGACTCTTCTCTCGCTCCATTTTGCTTCCTAATCCCTCCCCCGCCTTTGTAAACGACGGAAAAAAAAAACCCTGGCTCCCTCGCCAACCTCGTTCGCACACGCCCGCATCGCCACACGCCTCCGCGCCCCCCCATCCCCGGCCATTCTCATCATCGCAGCTTCATGCGCATCCCATCGCCACCCGTCTGCACCCTGAACCGCACCCTCGGACAGCCTCTCGCTCCCCCTACTTACCTGCGCGTCTGGTTTCCGGCCTCTCATCGCCGCGCTTGACCAGCACACCCTGCACTAGTACATACGATCCTCGACCTCGGCTGTTTGAGCCCCCCCTCCCTCTTCCCATCGGGAAAAGAAAGAAAAACCGACCAAAATTACACACGGGATCCACGGCGCATCGCACCATTAATCAGCCCTCAGTCTTTCACACGAATGCTCCTCGCGCGTTTCACCAACAACGGTCCCGCCCCAGCACAGACGATCCCGCCCTGCCATACTTGGTACTTGGTTCACGCCACTGCTTCGCACCAGGCGTCTAATCTGCCAGAGTTCACGAGCCTCTCTGCTCACGGTCCAGTCACATCACTCCATTCCCCAATCCCTTTTGGTCCCCAGTCCATAGCGACCCCTTCCATAAACGGAAAAGGTTGTCTGTCCGGAGCGGCCGCCGCCCACGGCTTGCATTGCGCGCCGCACCCCCTCTAATATCACCGGCTGCCCTCCCTTTTTCTCTCGCCTCTCTTATTAAGGATGGCACAGTCCGCTGCCGCCCCCAAGCCTAGAGGCTTCTCTCGCTTCTCCAAGGCCCTGCCTGCTGTCCCCCAGCTTCTCAGATCCTCGTCTCGAAAGTCTTCGCTGCCCACCTCTCACCAGCTGCCGCCTCTGCCAAAAGACCTTCCCGAGTTGCCGCCGCCTCCTCCGCCGCCGCCGCACAATCAAGGCTCCGCGCCGCCCCAGCTGCCCATGTTGTTCGACAAGTCTCCTCCGCTTCCTCTATCCGCCGCCGTCTTGCCTGTGCCATCGGCCAAGATGTCTATACCGAGACGTCCCGTCGCTGCCGCCACCAACAATACTATGCTCTCACCCTTTCCTGAACCCTCACCAACCGCTTCTCTCTCGAGTCTGATTTCCGCCTATTCTCGCCCTTTTGACTCTCCCACCACAACCCCCCACACCGGCGCTTTCCCCGACACACCTCTAGCCTCGAGTCGTGAGGCTTCACCTCCCCCAGAGGTCCCGGAAAAGAAGACGGACAGCACTGCGAGTCACAACAGACTGCCGCCCCCCATCTCCAAAACATCCTTCACCGACACTGAGGTACCACCTGCGCCGCCTTCAAAATCCGAACTCTGGCGTCGCCGCCCTCAAAACGATAGCCGCGAAATCTCTGGTCTAAATCTCGAGCACAGCCACGGCTCAACCGTTTCCAGCACCACCTCTGTCGTTTCCGCCTCTACGACTTCCACGCAGCGTCCCTCCACAGCCGTCCAGGAAGAACTACAGTCGCAGCCTGCCAAGCTACGGAAACCTCCGTCCGTTGGCGGCCTCCCGGGCCGCAACGTTCGGCCTTCGGCTGCGGCCAAGGAGGACCCCCGGCCCTCGACTACTCCCAGCAAACCGACCATCAATATGGTGCAAAGTGAGCAGTCTTTGCCTTCTTTGAGCAAATCCGCAACCCCGCCACCGTCCAACCGGCCTCCCACGCCCGAATATCAAATGGGCGAGTCCCGCGCCGCCGTCGTCACCACATTCACCTCGCCCGCTTCGCCCGACTCGTCCCCGGAGTCGCCCAGCAGATTCTCCTCGGCCGACGCCAAGGAGCTCCCTCCTCCACCACCCAAGAACCCTACCAGGGACACCCCCACCACCACCACACCCAAGCCCGGCTCTGCACCGTCTTCCACTATGCTCACCGAAATGCCGCGCCGCAAACCCACCACCGGACCTGTGCCCAGTCGCGAAGCCCAGTCGCCCTCGGTCACATTGCAACCCGTTCCTCCGCCTGCTCGCGGAGATTCTCTCGCCAACAAGGTCCAGTCACCTTCAGTCACATCGCCGCCCTTTTCCCCGCCTGCTCGCAGAGATTCTCTCGCCAACAAGGTCCAGCCACCCTCGGCTACATCGCCGGCCGTGCCCCCGCCTGCTCGCAGAGATTCTCTCGCCAACAGGGTCCAGCCACCTTTGGCTGCATCGCCGGCCTATCCCAGCGACCCGAGTCGCGCCCGCACACCGCTGCCGGCATCCACGCCCTCGGACCAGTCTCGCGGCTCTAGCGTGAGCCCGACCCGCCAACCCCGACGCGACCAGGACCAAACGCCGCGGCAGCAGCGCCGACCCTATAGCGACCAGCGCATTGTCCAAACGGAACTGGGGCCCATGTATCGCGGCCGCGACGGCACCTTGTACCCGGAGATGAAGACGTTGCGCGAGCCCGATCCCCGCGCGTTCCGCTTTCCCACGTGGACGAACCCGGAGACGACGGCCGTTTCGACCGACGGCATCTACGCCGCGCGGGCGCTCAAGGAATCTCACTATTCCTGCTTTCAGAAACATGCCATGATGAACCGCCGCTCGAACCGCCACTACCCGCTGACGTGCCAGACGTGCGACCAGGCCGACGCCAATGACCGCTGGGCCTGCGCATTTTGCCACTTGCGCATCTGCGAGCCCTGCTACCGCGCGCTGGTCAAGACGAGGCAGCGAGATCTGACGACGCTCGTGGCGGACATTGGCCGTCGCACACCGCTGCGGTTGTCATCGGGTGCGAGCCCGGCGGCGTCTGCCCTTGGCCTGTAAAAAACACAAATCCTCATTATGATGTCATGATGTGCATAGTTGTCATGTTGCTTTGAAGTGGTGCTCTTTGGCCACTTTTTTTTTTTCTTCAGTCATTTGAAACCACTCATTCTCTTTTTTTTTGTCACGACCCATTCTTACCTGGCTCTCACCAGACGGCATCGCTTGTTTTTCTCTTCATTTTTCATTCTGGCATAGATGATGATCAATCTCATCGCGGGCTTATCCTCGCCCCCTTTCTCTTTTTTTTTTTGTATTACTCGGATGAGAGGAGTTTTTTTTTTTGGAAACATTATGGACGGCCTGTGGGAGATGCAAACGCCTCATGGCTCAAAGTGGACAGACTGGTTGTAAAACGACGGGCAAGAAGAGAGAGTCAAAACACACAAGAACGGAAAAATGAGCACTTTTGTTTTATGTGGATGGGCTGGTGATGCGTCCTCTTAATTTAAATATGGTTCTCTTTCGTCTGTTGTTGCTCTGTGATGCAAGGAGGCGAAACAGCAGTACGGAGTTACTAGAAGTACATGAAATACACCCCTCATCGCGATCCAGCCTCCCTTTGTCGCCACCCTGGCCGGTATCAGCCCCATGACCAAAACGCTTTTTTTTTCGCGCTGGAAAGCCACCTCCAGACTACTAACGTTGAACAGCACCTCAGTTTCTGCCACAAATAGCGTGAGCCTAATTTGCAAATTCATGTCGTTGTTTATGACACTCTTCATTATTACAACGGCTTCCCTTTCGATATCCTACTTGCATATACCCAACATTCCCTCGTAGGCCTCGCCTCGTCTGACCGTTTTATCAATCAATCAACTGTTATACCCAATCCAAACGCTCTTCCAGCCAATGTTCCCAATTACGCCCAACCAAATCAAGGTGTATATACATATATATAGACATAAAACAGGACTGGCACCATAGCACTTTCGATTTAAAGCACATAATTTCAAACAACAAGGAAATTCGTACCGGTCCCGGTCCCGGTCCCGGTCCCGGTGCGGGCCATTATTTTGCCTGCCCTGCTTCCAGAGCGCCCGACATCTCCCCCGCCTCCTTTGGCGGGCGGTGCGGGTCGTCGCGGTGCTGGCACCACTCATCGAGGGTCAGCTCCTCTTGGCTGGCCGAGGCCGGATCGTGCCAGGGGTCGGTACGGCGGACAGACCGCACGCCGACGCTTTTGTGGCTCTCGGGTTGGGAGAGTATGGCGCCGCTACTGCTGCTGTCGCCGCGCGAGGTGCGGGCGCTGACGGGGTCGCCGCGCAGGCGGCGGTGCAGTCGGCGGTAGAGGTGACGGGTAGTGGGGAGGATGCTGGCAATCATGTAGATGGAGGGCTCGACGAGGGCGTAGATCATGGGCCCGCCCGAGGCATACCAGGTGGGGTCGCTAAAGAGCGGCGTGGTAAAGAAAACAGAGAAGCGGATGGCGCAGGTGATGATGCCGAGGGAGGCGGCGAGAAAGGTGAGCATGAGGCCAATCTTTTCGCTGATGGGCATCTGCAGGCGCAGAAGAATGGGCCAGGGAATGACGAGTATGACAAGGTCGGTGGCCAGGCTGGGGACGCTGTAGAGCTTGTAGAAGAGCATAACGTCGCCGCAGGAGCCATCGTGGATGTCGACGGCCTGGGTCCAAAAGTAGCGGAAAGGGCGACAAATGGAAAAGGCGAGGACGAGGGCGACGATGCCTTGCAAGATGATGACGACGCCGAGCAGGATGATGAGGCGGCGGTAGCCGGTGACTTCAAAGACTCGGTGGTAGAGGAAGAGGGCGGCGGCTGGGGTGTAAGTGAACTCGAGCACCTTGGAGAGCTTGAGCCAGGTCTGAAAGGTGGACACGGGAACGGCGGTGACGTGGTGGCCGACGCCGCCGATTTGGGTCATGACTGTGTGTGGTAATGGTTAGCATCCTGGCAGAATAATGCCGACGTGTTCCCCGAGGACCGAGACAGGGAAGAGAGAGATAGATGAGATAGATGTGTGCTTACGGATGCCGGCGGCGGCACTGCCGAGACAAAAGACATAGCAGAGCGTATTGCAGACCAACATGGGCGTCCCCACCGCTTTCGGGTTGTAGTAGCGGCTCACATAGAAGATGGCGAGGAAGAAGGTATTGATCATGGTAAAGGCGATGCTGACACGCTGATCCAGGGCCGGATTATTGGTCTGGGCCAGGTATTCTGGCGAGCCCGGCGTCGGACCGGCCATGGTTGCGACGTGTGGACGAAGGTCTTGGGACGAGGTGTTGTGCGCGTTTGCGGTGCGCGCGGTGCGTCTTTGCTCTTGGCCGTCGTCACCGCAATGATGCAAGGCAGGCAGGTTTTTGTTTGTCAAGAAAAGGGATGGTCAAGTGGTCTCCATCTCGACAGGAAATTACCAAGAAACCATATTACGGACTGCGGATGAAGAGCTGGGTGGGGGGGCGAAAGTCGAGAGTCGAGAGAAGAGAGGAGACATGGCGGGCCTCTTATTCGGCAAGCCGGGCGGTCAGCGATGGACCGAGAGAGCCAAGGGGGGCCAAGGAGGAGGACCCTGGAAAAGAGCAGACGCCAACTATCGCGCGGGAAATGTAAAGGGTTGTCCTGAGTTATTGCAATATCAGACAGCGGGGAGGGGGGCGGGCGCTGTTGACGCTACAATCTGGCGCGGGCGCCTCGTTCGGACTTGGTGCTGATGGAATCCGCTTCGGGACGATGATCGCCAGGTCTCCACCACAGGATGCTTAAGTCACGGGCATCAGACGGCTGCGGGGGACGGGTTTCGGCCAGGGATTGGGACGAGACAGGGGCGGATATGGGAAATAAAAAGAGCAGGGGCATCGGCGACGTATCTATGAAGGGGAAATCGATGAAAGAAGATGGAAAGAAGGATGGCGCTTGGCAGGGCTGGATTGATTGAGTTGCCGTTGCAGTTGCAGGTAGAGAGAGGTCTGTGATGCGCGGGTAATGCGCTGTAGCCTGTAGCTTGCTCATTGGCTTGTGGCTGCAGCCCCGCTACCCAGTTATTACGTTATTACCTGGTAGTTACTAGGTACCTACGCGCGTGAGGCCTGTTTTCTAACAGGGCACTGGACACGTTTTCCGCTTAATATATAATTTTCCCCTATCATAACGCTGTTGACGTCTCTAACACGGCTTATAAAAAATATAAATGTTTTTTAACATATAGTGGCAACCTAACAGCGTTATGACAGGGGAAAATTATCTATTAAAAAAGCGACCTATCTACCTACTAGAGGGGGGGTGTTTTCTAATATAGGTCTACATATAGTATATAAAGCAAGGTGTCTATAAATATATAGGCTTACTATAAGGGTATTTTATATACTAGAAAAATATTATATATTAATTATAAGATATCTTAGAACTATTATAAATTATCTTAATTATATATAAATATATTATAATTAAGATATATAGTATAGAATAGGTATTAAGAAAATTTACTATATAGGTTAATATATATTAGTTAAATAAAATATATTAATATATAGGCTATATTAGAATATATAGGTTATTAAAATATATATTTATTAGAAATATTATATTTAGGTTTTAATAGTTATATAATATATAGAATATTTTATATAGTATTATATTTATTAAAATTAATATAGTTAATATATATTAATATATTAAAAAGAAAAATATATAATTTATAAAAGACTTTTATATTATAACTATATTTAATACTTAATTAAGTTTACTAATATAGAATATCTAGTAATTAACCTACTTTTTTTAGTTATTATATATATTCTTAGTATATTATATTATCTAGCTTTTTTATATATTACTTTAGTATCTTTTTAGAAAACTCTTTTTAAAGCTTATTTAATATTAAAATTAGCCTAACTACTAATATTACTTAGATTTATATAATATATAGATTTATTATAAGAATTATATAGGTATAAGGTAAGCTAATAGTAAAGAGAGGTATACTAATAAAATATTAATAATATAAAAGGTATAAAAAGAAAGAAATATTAAAATATATTTTTTAATTAATATAGAATTAGGTTACCTTCTTTATAATTTTTATATTAATAATAAAAAAGTTAATATTTAAAACTTATTATAATACTTTTTTAAAGTTATTTTAAGAATACTTACTAAGGTTTATAAATAAAATAAATTAGTTAGTTTTATTACTTAATTTTAAATATATTATAATATACTAAAGATCTTTATAATATATATAGATAATATAGTAAAAATAAGGTAAGAGGTAGAGTAAGGTAGAATAAGATAAGAGGTAAGAGAGTAAAAGAGATAGTATAAGATAAGAGAGTAAGAAAATAAGATAAGAGAGTAAGAAAGGCAGTATAAGATAAGAGAGCAAGAGAATAAAATAAGAGAGTAAAAGAGGCAGCATAAGATAAGAGAGTAAGAAAGCAAGAGAGGTAGAGTAAGATAAGAAAGTAAGAGAGTAAGAAAGGTAGTAAGAAAGGTAGCGTAAGATAAGAAAGCAAGAGAGTAAGAAAGGTAGAGTAAGATAAGAGAGTAAGAAAGTAAAAAAGGTAGTATATATTAATAAGGACTAAGCTCTAAAGCACCTAATTTAAAGATAGTTACTTATCTCTAATATAGAAAATATATCTTACTATATATAAGTTAAAATAGACTTATATAGAGTTACTAAGTAGGTAAATATATAGTATATATTAGGAGTAATAGTATACCTATATAAAATAAACTAAGGTATTAATATATATATCTTACCTAACTAATATTAGATTATTAATATAGAAATAAAAAGAAACTATATTTACTATTTATTAATTATAAAATAAACTATAGTAGTCTAACTAACCTTCTTCTAAGTACTAAGTAATATATACCTAGAGTATAAGTATCCTAGTAAAATACCTAGATTATTTCCTACCTATTAGTAAAGATATATAGCTTTTTAATATTAAATAGAGATACTCTCCTTTTTAACTTCTAATTCTAAAGTAAAGTATCTTAACTAATATTAAATATAATATTTAATAGCTA